GCAAGGTGTATTTGGCCCAGCATGTGTTGTTGAACGCCAAGGTGGTGCTTAAATGTGGTCTTTTGGACGACCCGAATATCGTACGGGAGATATACTACCACCAGCAGCTTAAGCATAAGAACATTGTCAAGTTGTATGAGGTGATCAAGACGGAGCTGCATATCTGGATGGCGCTCGAGTACTGTGAGGGCGGCGAGTTGTTCTATTATATTTATGAAAACCGGAGGCTAGATATTAGTGTTTGCAGAAACTTGTTTTATCAGATCGTCACTGGCATTAAGTATGTGCATTCGCTTAACCTAGCGCATCGGGATTTGAAGTTGGAGAATATCTTGTTGGCAGATAAGAGGAAGCTGCTTGTGAAATTGACCGATTTCGGCTTTGTCCGGGAGTTCAATCCGTATAAACGGCTGTTCTTGTCGACCGTTTGCGGCACCACAGCCTACATGGCGCCAGAGATGCTCAAATCTGAAAAGTATTCGGGCTTTGCTGTTGATATTTGGTCAATGGGCGTGATTTTGTATGCTATGGTGTATGGAGTGCTCCCGTTTGACGACGATGACGATATGGAAACGAAGATAAAGATCGTTAATGAAGACCCGCCGTTCCGTACGGACAATGTCGACCCTGACGTCGTGGACCTTATACGAAAGTTGCTCCAGAAAGACCCTAACGCACGTCCTAGCATCCTGGAGATTCTCAATTCTCCGTTCATTATTGACCTTACCAACGAGCATCTGGAAAGAAGGAACTCTTCTTTCAACGACACAGAGTCGATCATTTCCATCAACCAGCATTACAAAGAAAACAAGATCCCGTTCCAAACGAAAATAGAACGCGAGCTTCTCAAGAGGCTCGAGAAACTCAACATCGACACCGATTCCCTTCAGGCACTGGTCCACCAGGGCCAAACCAACACTTTAACTGCATTCTACGAGTTAGGCCTCACGCGAGAGTTCAAAAAGAAGAAGTATAAGCATAAGAGGAGGCGATACTACGAGGCCAAACGACAAATCAAAAAGTCTCGAAAAAGAGTCAAGAGTGCTCTTTCTCTTCCTGACCAAGCCAATGGCACTCAACCACTTGAAAAGATCATTTCCACGTTGAGTATAAATTCCAATAGAGCGAATCCTGACCAGTCCAGCATCTCAAGACGGTCGACCGAAGAATACAGGAATAAGAACCCCAGGGCTTCCTTTAACAAAAGACTTTCAGGACGTTTCCTGGATTCTCTGGGTACTCATCCTCCACAAACGCCTGTTCTGGCTGGTAATGATACACCTCAGAGCTCTGACCAGGTTCCAGGTCGTATTGCAAGACAGGTGTCGTTTATTCCTGACGACAGATCCACGTTTAGTTACCAGGCATCAACTGACCAGCAAACCGGTAAAGGTAAGAAGATCCTTAACAAGCTTCAGTTCTGGAAGAAAGATCGAAAAGACAAGGATGAGCTCACCAATTCCAATTCGGCAGATCAAAGCGATGGTGATGTTCTAGAAATCAACTTACCCCACAAGCACAATGTGCCTGGTGACGGTACAGCAGAGGCACCCAGGAAATCTGACAGTCCTATTAGACCTACTGAAAGTGGTGATATGGCAGATGAAGATCCACTTGTATCTAATGGAGTTGATGAATCACTGTTACCAGACACTCAACTCCAAGGGCCTGCTGAGATTGTATTGAAAGATTTTGGTCACCAGCGTCATTCATCCAACCACACTGCAAACACTAATAACACTGGATCGACCCAGTTGAGTGAACCTATGGACCGCACCAACAACTCCCTCAACCATGATAGTTTCCTTTCCTCTGGAAGAAGACAAAGACCCGAGTCTATGGTTTCCCAAATCAGTCAGTTCTCGCAACTGAGTCAGCCTTACCCAATGTCGGAATCTGAGCTTGAAATGATGGAAGGAACCGACATGGATGAAGATTTCTACGATGACGATGGCATCTACGAACTGTCGATTAATAACTCCCAGTCTGACTTATTACATAGCAGGCACAACTCGACCAGCATGACCCCAACCAATTCATCAACGCTGAAGAAGAAACGGCCATCAGCAAGCCGAATGGCTTCTGATACGCTGATCATGACCACCAGCACGCAAGCCACAGGGCAGCAGTCCCGAAGCAAAAAGCATTCCCTCTCCCAAGTTTCCAGTAATTCTTCAGATGACAGCGAGCTGAGAGGTAAGTACATGGACGGATATTTCGATAACCAACGGCCGCTGCTGCCCAGGCTGAAACATGGGTTTGCCAGGAATGGAACCCATCCGTCGCTTCGAGGCCCACGCATCAACCCTTTTGGCAAACTCCCGCCGTCACCAGGCGTCCACACTCCTTCACCAGTTACACCTATCCCAGGCACCGGAATGGGCCGGTCTCCTTCCCCGCCGATATTCAAGAAGTTTAACACGATGAGTGGAGTTGTCAAGCCCATGAAGAACAATATGGATTCGAAGCCAGATAATTCGCAGAATAAATGGGCACCACCCAATGGAGACCAGAACACGAACGAGTCTCATTGGAGGCACGATGGCAGTGGCCCTTCGAGGATATACCAGAGACAAGCCATTATCACGGAGGAAGAGGAGGAAGAGGAATAAGGAAGTGCTGTGTCGAATAAAATGACTACAGAGCTTCGATGACTGGAAGTTTCTCCTCGATATTTGCCATCACGCTAAATACGATTCTTTAATACAAGGGTTTGACAGTTGTTGGTGATTAGGACTGTAGGATATCTGTGTAAGTGTAGTTGATGTCTTCAGGTTAAATAGTATAACTGAAGGTCCACTATCTTACCTCATTTAAGCTACTCAAGTAAGGAATTTATAAAGCCAAAACCACCACCAGGCAAATCCCAAAAGCGAACCTTTTCTTTCACTTTTTATACAACTTCCCTTTTTTCTCTTAATCCACCAAATCATAAAGTACGCCTAAACTGTCTAAATGGCTGCGAAATCTGGAAATCACCAATATACGCACTTCAAACACCCACCGCCAAAAACCCAAAAACCATTTAAACTCAAAAAGTAACCAAATATTCTTAATAAACCACACCAGAAAAACCCCCTACGTTCTTTAAATCCCCGAAAAAGTCCAAATTTGCCCTTTTGGCGGACCCTTCAAATCTCCATCTCTACCGGTCCACGCACGACCACTTCCTACGAAAAAAAAGTGTTGAAAAAACCACTGGCATCGTCAGACCTCGAACACACCTTCACAGAAAAGCCTCCACCCCCTCTTTAATAGTCTCGTCATGGCCTCTGTTATTGTCGTTGAAAACGAGATCAAAGACTCTGTCGAGGAGTTCTCGCAGATCGTCAACACGGTCCAGCAGAACACAGACTTTTCTGAGTCCATCAAGCCGTTTTTCAATCTTGCCGGCCACATCACAGATAAAGCCGGATTGGCCAAGCAGATCTGGTCGGTGGCCAAGCCTGAGGTGTTGTCGAAGTTGCCAGACAGAGAGTTTGAGCCAGTGTTCTATTTGCTCGCGTACCTTACGTCTGAGTTGGAGCAGAAGTCGTTTGAGACTCTTTTGCAGAAGGATGCGCCATTGGTGTCGCTTTTAATTGCTTCCACGCCTGAGGAGAAGCCTTCGTTGAGAGACAGAAGATCGCTTAAGCCCACGACGGTGTTGTCGGTGTTGAACACGTTCTTCAACTTCTTGCCTGCTTCGTCTCCTACGAGGATCTACTTTATTGAGTTGATCTTGAAGATCGTCACTGACACTGACATCGACTTTGCATTGATACAGACCTCCATTGGCGCCCACTTGGTGCTGTGGTTGGCTGCCGCCGGCGCTCCAGAAACCCAGATCAAGAGCCTTTTCTGGCAGTTCATCTCTTTGGACAAGCAGTACACGTTAGAGTCCTTGTACTTGATCAAGAAGTTCACTTCCCAGTTTTCTCTTACTTTGGAGGAATTGCACACCATGATCGGGTTCGCCTTGGCTTCTCCAGTGGTGGATGTCACCTTCTTGGTCAACAACAACGTTGCCCAGGCATTGCAACAAAACGGCTCCGACGAGCAGGTCAGCATTTTCGACAAATACACCAAGGGCGAGCTCATCAGCTCTGTTCCTCTGTCTGTTTCTGACAATGTCATTGATAAGTCCAAGGTTTTGGCCTTGACGAGGTTCTTTGTCGAGAGCGACAATGCCGGCAAGAACGCCTTCAAGTACAGCGATATCCCAAGCGAATTAGCATCATCTCAGGAGCAGTTTGAGAAGTTGTTGATTGACTCCATCAAGGCTGGCGTTATTGAAGGTAAGATGAACCAGGTTGACCAGACTTTCAACTTGGTCAGAGCCAACAGAATTGTGCTTGCAGGAGACAAGCAGCAGCTTGCACAGGATTTAAACACCGTCAAGAAGTCATTGCTCGAATGGAGACACTCGTTGGATAACATAAACGAGATTGTTAGAGATGCCAAGGACAACATTGTCAACAACAACTCTGGTAACTAATTGCAAATTGCCAGAAAACATACACCAACATAAACTGAGAGAAAATCATGGATGGGTCGAGATATTCTTTCTTCTGTACTTATAGCTATCATATACAAAACAGGATAAAGAAACAAAGAAAGAAAAAAGTACACGGAATGAAAGTACAAGTTGTAATAAATAGCAATTAGTCTCTCTCGCCTTCCAACACAGCGAGGAATCCTCCACCAAGTGCAACGAGCCACAGACGAATGCATCAACGTGATGGTCGTCGTTGGTCAAACTCTTTATAAAGTTAAGACTGGTCTCGATGTTTGGGAAGATATGCTTTCTAGATGTCTGGCCCTTGGCCTGATCAAGAGCGTTCCACTTCTCGGCCAATTCCTTCTGGATAACCAACTTGTCGACTTGCTCTTTGGAGTTATTAAGCGAGACCAAGTCGCTGTTGTAGCTTCCATCGGACCAGGTAATGTTAGTGGTGAAAATGACATGGTCAAATTTCACATTCGCGTCGGATAAAGTGCCGTGGAGCTTCTCCAAAAGCTCCAGGACGTTTTCTCTAGATTGCTGGTTGAATAACAAAATCTTTGGAGCTCCAGGACGTGGTTTCTGTTTGGTGACACTGGAAGTAAACCATTTCGAAGCCACATGAATGGATTCTAGCGTATGGGCGCCGTCAATGTACCAAGTAATGTTTTCAAAACCTTCCTGGTTAGTGAGTTTCTGGCATCTTCCGTCCCAGCGGGTGTTCTCAAGACCGGCAACGAACTTATCTGGCAAAGTAGGAGAGCCATTCCACGTAGGCAACTCAGCATCGGGCACACCGAGCTTACGAAGGTGAATATCAGCCAATTTCACCGCCACAGCAGCGTTTTGTCGTTGGAAATCGCCCGCAAGGCCCAACTTGATATCTGTAGGGATAATAGAGCCGTCAACGACTTCAAACAGAGAAACGCCAATCTCGTCAGCAGCTTTCTTCACGATATCTATCAGTTCGGGAAATTCCGATTGTTCAGAAACAATGGCCGGACAGTTTTTCTTAAAAATGCCAGCTTTATTCCACGCAATTGAGTCTATTGTATTGCCCAACATAAAGGTATGGTCGATTCCAAGGGAAGTAACGCCAGCCACGGTAGGATTCTGAATGATATTCGTCGAATCGTAGCGTCCACCCACGCCCACCTCGTAAATAGCAGTATTCACCCCCTCAGCCATGAAAACATGAAACGAAAGAATCGTCAAGTACTTAAAGTACATTGGTTTCACGCTCTCACACGGCTGCAACGACGGAAACTCCAGCGGCAGCGAACTCGTCGCCGAAAGCTTATCCCAAACCTCATAAAAATACTTTGTAAACTTCTGTTCCGTAATCGGCTGCCCATCTATCCGTATTCTTTCCCTCACCGACTTAAGATGGGGACTGGTGAATAAACCCACCTTCCCCACAACTCCACCCTTATACTGTCTAAGCACGGAATCCGTAAACGCACACGTCAGCCCCTTCCCCTTGGTGCCCGTAACGTGAACCACATTCAACCGATCAAACTCCACCGGTTTATACCCCAAGCGTCTGATATACTCATAAACCTCAGCAATCGAAAGCTCCGACCGCTGTTTGGGCAGAAAGTCCTTCTGCAGCTTGAGCGCCTCAATGGACGCAAAGTTCGACTGGAGGCTGTTGAGAGCAGCGATGGCGTCCTTGTATGAACGGTTTAAGTTGGACATGGAGGGCAATCGCATAGAAGGTTAAAAGGAGGGAGAGTGGTGAAAATATATAGTGAGCGACGCTGCGCGCTGAAAGTAGGCCCATACTGGGGGAAGGAGGGAAGAAGAAAAGGGGAGAGTTTGGAGGGAGTTTTAAGGGGAGGGAGTTGGGAGGAGAGTATAATTTGTGGATTTGAAAAAGTCAGGCTTGGTCGTTGGTGGTTGGAGAGTTGGAGTGGGTTGACTGGAGATGAAGGAATGGTTGCAAAATGGCCAGAGTGAGGGAAGGGTAGATAGTAAGAGGTGAAGACGTAGTTAGGTGATTTGTGATATTTTTAGGGAAGTTCTGAAGGTCCAGTTTTGACCGTTTCAGGCCTTTTGGGTTCTTTTTTGCCTGCTTAATTGGATGATTGGGGTATGGTATGCTTATGGCCTTTGGTGGTTTGATGGACAGCCGCATGGACAGCCGTATGAGAATGAAGAATTGGGTGGTTTGAGTGAATTTAAGGTTTGAAGCATTCGGGCAGTGATTGGTTGGAATTTGGAAGGATTGGGATGGGATGGGAAGCCAGGGATGGGTTTAGGGTTCAGTGGCCTGTGATTTATCGAGTGTGGCTCAGGCTGGTTATTGGAGAGGTGGGAGGTGGAGGGTGGAGGGTTGAGGAGGAGGAAGGGGAAGAGGTGGAAGAGAGAATGAAAATGAAGAAGAAGAAGAATTGGAGCTGTTGCTTTTGTTTGGCAAAAGATGGGTAAGTGTGTACTGGTATGGCTTTGTAGGTTATTCTCAGTTCGCTGAAGAAGGTTATACTAAGCAGATATCAACGACAAAAGAAGAGTGGTCGATAAGATAGATTTCTTTGATATTCAGAACCTGAAATTACATTTTAAAATTTTAATTCTTTCCATGTACTTCTCCAAGCTTGGGTATTGGTCTAGATATGCATAGTCTTGTGGGCTGAACCAGTAATGGAACACCATATGGTGAAACCAGTATTTGTTAGTTGATGCTATTGTGGTATAATAAATGTTTTCTCTCATATTAAGCAATAAAATGATTTAGATGTTCATTATATGATTTTTACATTTACTTGTTCCCTCATAGCTTGAACACTGAAGGAGTATTATAGTAAGTTGTCTGTATCATCCACTCTCTAACTCTATTATTCCTGGAAATTATTCCATTCAGAAACTCTCAAAGACTTGAATATAAAGCATTTGCTTTTAAGTTAAAGCTTTTTAGATAGTTAATCAGTAATGTGCTTCAGTATCTCTACACCTACATCTCATGATGAGCCACTCCATACACCTCTAAAACCCTCCAGTAATAACTAACCATTTTCCAAGACAAAGACATCCAAAGAATCAGAAACCGAGGAAAATCACGAAATAACTTAATTTACACCAAAAATCAACCCCACCACGAAAATCCACATCTCTGGTCAATTCACAGCCACACCCACCCAGACGTAAAACAGCTTCCACAAAAAACACGAAAAAACAAAAAACACGAAAAAACACAAAGAAACCCGTGCACCTTGAACCTCCCCTAGTAAATACACCAAACTTTCTTCCCAAATTACCTTCCCTTCACTGCTTTCCCTCCATCCATCGGTCTTTTTAGGGCCACACCAATTTGCACCCAATCGGGCGATCCCGGTCGGCCATACACTTTTTTTCGGTGCGAATGAGTCAATCCGAGATCCGGAAGGGTGGACACTATACAATGAAGGAGTGATTTTATGGGAGAACTAATACCACCACTGGAATCCTTGGATTTTGGGGATCACGGAAATGTAATTAAAATGGCTGGGGGACGCCTGGGGAGCCCGGAAAGTGGCGTTTCACCCTCAGTCACGTGACCAAACCCACCCGACTGACTCATCAGCGCGGTACATACAACCGAGAAACTCCCCTAAAACTCACCTGGCCTTCATCCTTCTTCATCAGTTGGTCTGCTAACACGCCTTAACAGAAAGCCGTTCAAAGTACTTTTTAAAAGTTTCTTCTTTTCATTCCCATTCCCGCAGTCAAATTCCCAATTTCTACAATGCATTATTGAGCGAGCTACGAGCTTTACCCAATCTACCCGTTTTTCAACAAAAAAGAGCAAGATAATTTCGATTAAAGTTCACCAGAATTACATAAATTAAGGCTTGCCCATCGCGTGTGTTTCAACTACCCCCATCCTTTTGTCGCCAACTGATTTTACCGTTTTTTCCCCCTGTTTTGATCATTCTTGATCGTCCTTTTTTATATCTTGACCATAGTAGCCTATATTCATTGAAAGAATCTGTGCTACGCCATCCTTTATTTGATGATTCCCATGGTCACTATCTCAGATAACATATACTCCAAAGTGCCGTCCCATCTGCCTCGTTTGCACCGGAAATCCGGTCTGGGTCCAGAAGAGCCTGACATGGCCTCTGAAGGCTCATCTACTGGTAACGCCACCGAATCTTTCACGGAGGCGTTTCTAAGAGCCTCTTCAAGACCACATTACCATCAACTTCCCACTCCTTCCTCTTCTGTGACGGCTTCGATGACCGAGCAGAAGGAGGAATCCAACAACAAAGAAGAACAAGAGATTCGCCTAATGGATTTTATTGATGTGCCTTCGTTAGTTTCTGATAACGAAGAAGAAGAATCCGAGGCGGAAAGCGCTCATTCTTCGAAAGACTCTTCTCAGCGTTTTCCAAGACCTACTGCTAAACTGCCTCCAGCACTGGCTGCTGCTGAGGAAGTTAAACGGTCACTTAAAGAAGAGAAGAGTGAGAATGACGCTGCTGCTGCTACGCCTGACCAAGCAGAAGCAGACCTGGCTCCATCCCCTCAACCTTTGCCTACTCCAGATAGCGTTTCTAACGAAACCACCATCACTGAAGCCCAGTTCAAACTGGAACGTTCTCAGTTGATGAAAATCGCTGTCAAGTATGTGGCTATGAAAATCACCAACTCCTTCCCTCCAGAATCTGCCCGCAAGATCGACCCCAACGAGATGCCGTTGGATACGTTTCTTCTCATTTTAACCAGTCGCTTGCAGTTGACTTTGCCGCTTTTTATGAAAGGTATCATTTACTTGTTCAGATACATGGACATTATATACCTTTTGCGTTATTTGAACCAATCCAACAACTTCCTCAACTACACAGAGATGGGGTTTGGACTTAAAAAGCTCATTGTGGGTTGTTTCAAATTAACTTTGGCTAGAGAACGTGTGGGTAAAGACTGGAGCGGAGTGACCGGCTTGGCCAATGCCGAAATCAACACCATTGTGAAAACGGTTGTTAAGCGTTTGAATGGTAAGTTGGCCATTAAGAACATTGAGCTTCTCAGATTAAAGCTGGAGATCTACCGTTTTGTGAAGATGGTAGTGAAGGAGACCAACTAAAGGGAAGTTCGATAGCGGCCTTTTTTTTTGGCTGCAAAATTTACCCTGGCATGCTTGCATGTCAGCCAGAACCTTCCAGCTATGATTATGCACTGGACTGGTTCTAAATTTTCATTTTATGACATTAACACTAAACCAAGTCTACGACTGATTTTTTGATTTTTTGTTGGTGTTGTGATTCTTACGTGTATACTAGGGCCTTGGAAAAGGCGGAATTTACAACTTTTAACACCAGTTTCAAGTGGTGCGTCAGTACTGGCATTTCTAGTGTTTGCTGAGTCACCGAGCGTAGAATTACGTAGTTGCGGGCCGATGAGCTCGCGGCGGCCAATGGGTAATTGCTCGTAGTCATCCCAGGTCACGTGACCTATACAAAACCCAGCTTTTTACATTTTTAACGACATAGGCTCAATTATTTGGTCTCGGCAACATCTGATCGGGCTCTTACGATCCCGACCAGTCCCAATCCCTCTCCAAATCTCCCAAAACACATAATTTGTATGGGTCGTGCGCGTACCGCTTGCCGGCGGGCGCGCGGAACAGGCCCTGAATCCATGTGCTATCTTCATGACTCATCAGCGGATACACCCAGATTATGCCATCGAAAGAACCAAAAAAGAGATGAAAAATGTAGGGACATTCTTGCCTTCCCTTATGTATGGGTGTACAGGTTTTTCTACGTCCAAAAACCCAAACCTCCCTCTTCCACCGCCCTCCCTCGCTGACTCATTGCATTGGCTGCAACGGCACTATCAGCTGGAGGGTGCCTCGCGTCCTGCACACAAGACCTCCATTCGCATTATCAGTCATTGAATTTCCCCATAGTTAAACCAAGAAACCCGCTAATCAAGCATTTATTAAGTATGCACAGAAGGTCAAAATTTTTCACTAATATATAAAGCCACAAAAACCCACCCTACATTTTTTTTTTCCCTCTTTTTTCTTCCCAACCCAAAACCAACAAAAACCATGTCTATGCCAAACCCTTACGGACCTAATCCCCACGATTACCTCTCGAACGTCAACAAGTTCGAGGTGATCGAGTCCACTTTGCGTGAAGGTGAGCAGTTTGCCAATGCCTTTTTCACCACGGAAAAGAAGATCGAGATCGCCAAGGCTTTGGACGATTTCGGTGTGGATTACATTGAGTTGACGTCGCCAGTGGCTTCTGAGCAGTCTAGGAGAGACTGTGAGGCTATCTGTAAGTTGGGCTTGAAGGCTAAGATCTTGACCCATATTCGTTGTCATATGGACGATGCCAGAGTCGCTGTGGAGACTGGTGTGGATGGTGTGGATGTTGTCATTGGCACTTCCCAGTTCTTGAGACAGTACTCTCACGGTAAGGATATGAACTATATTGCTCAGAGCGCCATTGAGGTGATTGAGTTTGTCAAGTCCAAGGGCATTGAGATTCGTTTCTCTTCTGAGGACTCGTTCAGATCGGATATCGTGGACCTTTTGAACATTTACAAGACTGTGGACAAGATTGGTGTCAACAGAGTCGGTATTGCTGATACCGTGGGCTGTGCTAACCCAAGACAGGTGTACGAGCTTGTCAAGACGTTGAAGTCGGTTGTTTCGTGTGATATCGAGTGCCATTTCCATAACGACACTGGTTGCGCTATCGCCAACGCCTACACTGCCTTGGAGGCTGGTGCCAAGTTGATTGACGTTTCCGTGTTGGGTATTGGTGAGAGAAACGGTATCACTCCTCTTGGTGCTCTTATGGCCCGTATGATCACCGCCGACAGAGACTACGTTCTTGGCAAGTACAAGTTGCACAAGCTCAGAGACTTGGAGAACCTTGTTGCTGACGCTGTCCAGGTTAACATTCCTTTCAACAACCCAATCACTGGTTTCTGTGCCTTCACTCACAAGGCTGGTATCCACGCCAAGGCCATTCTTGCCAACCCATCCACGTACGAGATCTTGAACCCATCTGATTTCGGTCTTACCAGATACATCCATTTCGCTAACAGATTGACCGGTTGGAACGCCATCAAGCTGAGAGTCGACCAGTTGAACTTGCAGCTTACCGACGACCAGTGTAAGGAAGTTACCCACAAGATCAAGTTGTTGGGTGACGTGAGACAGTTGAACATTGACGATGTCGACTCCATCATCAAGGATTTCCACAATGAGTTGGGAACTCCTCAGTTGAAGCCAACCAACGGCCACGCTGCTGTGCCTGACGTTGCTGCTGACGCTGACGCTGATGGTGAAGCTGATGCTGCCACTGCCAATGGCGACGAGCCAGCTGCCAAGAAACAGAAATCGGAGTAAAAAGTTATACATTGGCTCTTTTTCTTCCGGTTCCCTGTTCGCTTAACGATGATCACGACTAAAAAATTACAAGCAAAAAAGTTGAAGTCTGGCTGTTATTGCAATGGCCAGTTTGTACTATAGCGTTTTGGGACTTTTGCTGCATAGCATGAAAGTAAACATTCAAAAAAAAAAACATTCAAAAAAAGAAAAAAACAATTACAAAAACACACCTTGATAACGATGGAGGAAGGCACTTTTTCCATGGTTGCTATTTATTTAGTTCTTCAAGAGCCTATGTTACAAATATGAATTGTAGATCATGTAGGGTGGAAGTTAGATCTTGCAGATATACATTTACGAAACAGGTTGTTTGGCTGTGATTTCGGAGTTGAAAGGCGTTCTGGTTGGCTAAAGCAGGCTGCCTTTGCCCAAAGAAGGTTTTATAAGTAGTTGACACTGCTTTGGCTGTTGAGGTATACTTATATGAATAGAGATATAACCATCAGTTAAAAGGCATAAAGGAAGCATTTTTTTTCATAAAAAGCTTAATTTCATGAACTTTGGAGGTTATTGAAAAGTCTAGAAACCAAAGAAAGCTACTAGATACCATTTTTCAGTGTCTTTATATGCCCTTTGGCTTCCTCCTTCGGTACATATAACCTGTCTACATTCCCTCCAAACCCTTAGCCAAATTCCATACTTTTCCAGCCCAAAAACCCACCCCAGTCTTTTGCCACTACTCTCTTCCCCCTTCCAGCCGCTCCACCAGGAATCAGTCATTTCCAGAATCACCAGATCTCCATCCACTGGCCATTCTCATAGGCCTCATAAATGGCCGCGAAAAGCATATAAACCCCACCACAAGTGCACGAAAAGTCAATAAAAATTTCCAGAAAAAACGCCGTTCGCCTATACCAATCCCGGAGATTCCAAAAATACTCTTAGTTTTCTTCCACCCCTCTGCTGACGAAGATGTGGTGGGTTGGCGTGGAAAGCCGAGCCGGAGGGCTCACGTGAGTACACGACCTCTGGAGGCTCATGAATCGATTTTCAGTAACCTTCAACCACTTCCTACCAACTACACTGATAACGCTCAAAAATGGCTAAAAAGGGAGGCGAAAACACCAAAAAGGCTGCTGGTAACGCCAAGAAGGCCGAAAACGCTAATAAAAAGAAACAGGCTGCTTTTGACGCTGCTGAAGCTGAAGAGGCTGCAAAATGGGACGAAGGGTCCAAGAAGGGAGGCAAGAAGAAGGAAGATGCCCAGTTCAAAAAGGAAGAAGCTGCACGTAAAAAGGCTGAACGTGACGCTCTTTTGGCTGCTGAAGAATCGGCATTGCCTGCAAAGGGCCAGAAGGATAAGCAGAGAGGTGCTGCTAAGGTGGCTGCTAAGAGAACAGGTAAGATTGACGATTTCCTTGACTTCAACAGCGACAAGCCTGAGCTTAGCGCTTCGGGTATTGACGGTGCTTTGGAAGCTTTGTCATTGACCGGAAGGGACGGTGGTGTCAGTGCTAAGGACATTGAGAGACACCCAGAGAGAAGAGTGAAGGCTGCGTACGCTGCTTACGAGGAGAGGAGATTGCCTGAGGTGAAGAAGGAGAACCCAGGTTTGCGTCAGCAGCAGATGAAGCAGTTGATTTATAAGGAGTTCCAGAAGTCGCCAGAGAACCCTATGAACCAGGCCAACACTGTGCTGTACAACGCTACCGAGGGCGATGTGGAGGCCAAGAAGAGCGAGTTGAAGAGCCTGCGTGAGAAGAAGTTCAACTAAAGGCAGATTTTGGAGAGATGTTGGAGTTCAGGATTCCAGGGTTTGTTGGAGCCGCCGTCACTGTTTGAACTGGCCTTTGGGCCGGTAGTCAGAGCAGAATCGCCCAGTGAGCGGCTGCAACTTTTTCTAGTGTATAGAAATGAACGCTGCTGGAGTTGATACGGTGGTTTGGCGGCGAATTGGGAAGCCAAGTGGGTGGAAAGGTGGGAGGAAGTGATGAACTCAATTGGCTTCGCCAATTGAGTAGTATTTTCACTAAAAGGTGATTCACAACTATCTGAAGAAACCACTCTCTACACCTTACCATCTAAACCATCTAAACCAAGTAAAACTAAGTACCACTGAAGATAGCTGCCATGGAGTACTGTCCATCTTATTATACCCCATACCACCACCTACTGCCTCCCATATATGTCCAATCCTGACAAAACTTACACCAAAATGATCGCCTTCTCCGCCTCTTTCAAACCCAGCCCATAAATCTACATTCCCATAGTTTCCCCATTTCCATCCTCCCATCCATTCCTTTCCCTACCTACTATTCCATGTAGTCGCGCTGAGCCTGAACCCATAAACCTTCACTTTCCACCTCCATCTCCCCCATGTCCCCCACTAAACCCCACCAAATCCCCCCTTTTCGAAACCCTTGCCTCCCGTGCCTTCCCCCGCTGCCAACTATAAATACAGCCCTTTCCCCCCGATAAATTTCCATATAAAAAATTCAAAAACCGTCCCCCCTCGTCAGTGTCTGTTTTGGCTGCAGCGGTGGGATGCCAAAAGTCAGCGCGCCTGTCAAGCTCCAGCGCTCGCTTGGCGCGCAGAAGGGCAGATATATAAAAGGGCCTTCGCGCCGCCAGGGAAAAAATTGGAATTTGAGAAGCTCCATTGGAATAAACTAAACTTGAAGAGGTCCCCCAGTGCACCCGTACACCACAGCCAAAACACACATCTCCATCGACAGCCAAACAACACTAAACAAAGGTTTCCTGATCTATATATATAATTTTCAAGCATGTCGCGTTTGGACCGTCTCGTGGTGCTTTTGGAAACGGGGTCCACGCCGTATATCCGGAACACTGCCGCAGACCAGCTATCAGACTTGGCCAAGGGCCATCCGGAAGAGATCATCAGTCTTTTGGGTAGAGTTTACCCTTTTTTGAAAGCAGACAAGTGGGAAACGAGAATTGCCGCCGCTAAGGCGTTTGGCGGTATTGTGGGCCATGCTCCAGAATGGGATCCAAACTCTGAAGAGGCCATTGAAAAGGAGAAGCAATTGCAGCACATTGAAGATGCCAACACGGCGACGCGAAGTACAGAAACAGAGGTGAAGCTCGAGCAGGACGAGGAATTGAAGAAACTAGATGAAAATTTGCTGACTTTGGTGAAATTTGAGTCCTGGAACTTGCACGAGCTTCTAAAGTCTGGTAAGAAGCTTCTTGCTTCTGGTGGAGCTGAGTTTGAGCCTAAGAAACCGGCAGTTGATAAGAACGACGAGACGTTGCTTAATAAGCTAAAGCAGCATAAGAGTTTGGTTAAGGAGGAAGAGGCTGACCCTTCGAAAGTGTCTGACGTTTCTTCTCCTCAGATCAAGACAGAGGTTAAAGACGAAGTGAAATGTCAATCTCAGTCTCCTCCTCCAAGCGATTCTGGCAAATCGGCTGCTGCCAGTGCACGTCTTAAAGCAATGCAGAAACGGAGAGCCAAGGCTAATGCCAAATCTGTGGTCAACAAGAACGCCCCAGTAGACTTATCCCAATCTTCCATTTCCCGTAAACTCGTTGAGCATGGCGAAGTTGACGGTAACGTTAAAACAGAAGATTCTCCACAATACGATATGACCTCCCAGCAAGGCGGCTCCAAGTTGGTCATGGAAAGCAAAGCACCTGAACTTTCACCATTATTATCACAGCATGCTAAGGTCGTTGGCCTTGTATGGCAGTTTCAAGGTGTTTATGAATTGCTTCTACACGACTTGTTTGATGAAAAATGGGAAGTCAGACACGGTTCTGCCTTGGGTCTTCGTGAGCTTGTTAGAGTCCACGGTAAAGGTGCCGGTAGAGTGATGAGAAAGTCTAGGGCTGAAAACGACGCTAATAATGCTGCTACCTTGGAAGACCTTTCCGTTAGACTTTGCACTCTTTTTGCACTCGATAGATTTGCTGACTTTGTTAACGATACTGTTGTCGCTCCAGTAAGAGAATCTGGCGCTCAGACATTGGCAGCTCTTTTACTTCATCTAGATGATAGGTCCATCGTTGAGACCTTCCATTGCCTTAAATCTTTGGTGTTCCAAGAAACGCTAGGTCCCCAAACACGAAAATTTTGGGAAGCTAAGCATGGTGGTATGCTCGGTGTGAGATACTTTGTAAGTGTCAGAACAGATGTGCTTCTTCTGAAACCAGAGCTTTTAGATCTGGTGGTTTCCATGGTTTTGCATTGTCTTAAAGAAAGTGAAGATGACGTTCAGTCTGTTGCTGCATTGACCTTGGCTCCAATCGCTAGTGAGTTTGTCAAACAAGGTACTGCTGTTATAAAGTCTCTTTTAGACGTGGTTTGGGAATGTCTTTCTAACTTCGAAGACGACTTATCTGCATCCATTGGTTCGGTTATGGACCTCTTATCGAAGTTATGTACCCATCGTGAGGTGATCGAGATAATGCAATCGGAAGCTGCTGCTAATCCAGAGAATTCGTTCGACAATTTGCTACCCAAGCTTTATCCCTTTCTCAGACATTCCATCACGAACGTTAGAAAAGCAACTCTTACGACGCTTTTGGAGTTCTTATCCATCGAAGACCAATCCACGAAACTTTGGATCACTCCTAGGTCTATGCGCTTGATCCTTCAAAACCTTCTCGTGGAGCAAAACACAGAGGTTTTAAAACTTTCTGAAACAGTGTACCACAAAATGTTGAACGAGATCCGCAATAATTCATACCTAGAAAAGGTGGATACTTACATCGCCCCACACTTGCATTCCATTTTAGCATTGCTCATGACGCCGATCGGTATTGCTAGACACAACTACCATTTGAACACAAGTCTCATTATCAAACCATCTGGCGCTACTTTTGAACCAAACCCACGCAGAGATTCTCCATCTGAATCTGACATTTTTGAGCCTCCCACCAATGGCGATGTTGCTCCTACTCCTCCACCAAAGAGAGGACGCAAGAGAAAGACCGAAGAAAAACCAAAGACCATCGCTCCAACTTCCGACGAACTTAAAATTAATATCGATGCTCCAGTCCATAATGGTGATGTGATGTTTGTTGGATTTGACACATTTATCGCTACCAGAACTGCGTTAGCCAAGGCTCTTGGGTCTACCATTGCACTCATTGAAGGTGATGACCTTTTGAAGAAGACATATGATAGTCTTCTCATCTATACAAACTCTCCACATGCTACGCCACGCCTTTTCAGTGCCATTGTTCTTGAAGAATACGCTAATGCTTTGACTGCTATGGATAAGAAGCCTCCAGCTGAAACGGCAGAGAAGTTTTCTTCTACATTGTTGGAAACACTCACTACGCCAGACAAACTTCCATTCTTTCGTGAACTCGTGCCAAAGCTCAAGAGTGTTCGTACTTCTTGTCTTCAGCTTTTTGATGTCTTTGTCACCCATGGAAAGCTTTCTTCGAGCAAGATTCCTCAGTTGCCTGTCGTTGTGCAAGGCGAGAACGGCTCTGGACCAGGTGCTTTTGGTATAGAAAGTGCAGAAAAGCTTGTCGACGAGACATATCCAAAGCTCGTGAAGGCTTTGTCTTCATCCTACAAGATCCAAGCCAACCTGGCATTGGAGGACTCAAAGCACCGTATTCATGTTGCATTGGGTGAAGCTAAGCTTGCCCTCAGCCAGAGAACCACCAGCATCATGGCTGCTTATGCTGCTGCCATTCTTGCCTTGACTGGCGTGCCCAAGAAGCTTAATCCAATCATCAGATCTCTTATGGATAGTGCTAAGCAAGAGGAAACCGAACTCTTGCAGAAGAGATCTGCTATTTCCATTGCTGCCCTCATTGATCAGCTCAAGAAAAACAACAAGGTGGGTGCTGCCGACAAGATCTTGAAGAACCTTTGTTCCTTCCTTTGTGTCGACACGTCTGAAGTGCCTGAGTTTGTTCATAATTCTGATTTCAAGGATGCTATTCTCTCATTGAGAAAGGAAGAAGCAAAGACGGATCCTGCTGATATTGCTGCTCATGAGAAGGCTGTGCATGAAGCAAGAATCAAGAGAAATGGTGCTTTGCTTGCATTGGATGAGGTTATCAACATTTATAAGGAGGAGGTGTTCACTCAACTTCCAAAGTTCAAGGAGATTCTCTTTGGTAGCCTTGGATCAATGGAAACTGTTTCTTCGGATGACATGTCGAAGGACAATGCCTTGGGACAAAGTATTGTTGATGCTTTGGGTGTAATGAGAGCAGTTCTTCCTAAATTGAGCTCCACTCTTTATCCTGAGATCGCTGAACAGATGCCTCGTTTGCTTGCTGGCTTAAAGTATGAATTGAGTGTGTTCCGGTACTCATCAGCAAAATGTTTTGCAACCATTTGTTCTGTCATGCCCGCAAAGGCTTTCCCATTCTTGGTTCGCAACATCATTCCTATGCTTAATAACGCTGGTAACTTCCGTGAGCGTCAGGGTGCTACTGAGGCGATTTACCATGTTTCCAATGCCATGGGTGCTAACATTCTTCCATATATTGTGTTCCTTATTGTGCCTGTTTTGGGTAGAATGAGTGATTCTGATCATGATGTTAGAATCTTAGCAAGTACTACTTTCGCCTCCATCATCAAGCTCGTTCCTTTGGAAGCTGGTATCCCTGATCCTCCAGATATGCCTCAAGATCTCTTGGAAGGTAGAGACAGGGAGAGAGAGTTTATCCTGCAAATGATGGATCCAACCAAGATCAAGCCTTTCGAGCTTCCTGTTGCTATCAAAGCCACTTTGCGTAAGTACCAGCAAGAAGGTGTGAACTGGTTGGCTTTCTTGAACAAATACCACCTTCACGGTATTTTGTGTGACGATATGGGTCTTGGTAAGACGTTGCAAACCATTTGTATCATTGCTTCTGACCACCACATGAGAGCTGAAAAGTTTAAGGAAACTGGCGCTGATGAGTTTAGAAGATTGCCAACTTTGGTTGTTTGTCCTCCCTCGTTGACTGGTCACTGGGAGCAAGAAATGAACCAGTATGCTGAGTTTATGAAGGTTGTTGTTTACGCTGGAGGTCCATCGGTTAGATCTAACCTTCGTGCCCAGATTCCTTCTGCTGATATTGTCGTGACTTCCTACGATGTTTGTCGTAACGATATTGAGGTTATTGCTGGTCACTCATACAACTACTGTGTTTTGGATGAGGGTCATATCATCAAGAACTCTGCTTCGAAGTTGACGAAGTCTGTAAAGAGAATCAACGCTGAACATAGACTTATCTTGTCTGGTACGCCTATCCAGAACAATGTCCTTGAATTGTGGTCATTGTTTGACTTTTTGATGCCTGGATTTTTGGGTGTGGAAAAGGTGTTTATTGAGAAGTTCGCCAAGCCAATTGCCGCTAGCAGAAACAGTAAGACTTCTTCAAAGGAACAGGAGGCTGGTGCGTTGGCCTTGGAATCTCTTCACAGACAAGTGCTTCCATTTATGCTTCGTCGTTTGAAGGAGGAGGTGTTATCCGACTTGCCACCAAAGATTATTCAAGATTACTACTGTGAGCTTTCCGATTTACAGAAGAAGCTTTATAAGGAGTTTGCAAAGAAGCAGAAGTCTGTTGTTAAAGATGAAGTTACGAACGACGAGCCTGCTGAGCCATCCACTGAACCACCAAAGACGCATATCTTCCAAGCTTTGCAGTACATGAGAAAGTTGTGCAACCACCCTGCTTTAGTTATCACTCAGAACCATCCACAGGCCGCAGAGGTTGCTAGCTATTTGGCAAGCAAGAAGTCTGATCTTAGAAGTATCGAGCATGCACCTAAGTTGAAGTCGTTGAAGAACCTTTTGCTTGAGTGTGGTATTGGTGTGGGAGACAGTGAATACTTCAGTTCGAAAGCCAAGAGCAAGCAGAAACAGCAGCAACAGCAGCAGCAGCTTGTGAGTTCAGAGGGAGTGATCTCTGAACACAGAGCTCTTATTTTCTGTCAGCTCAAGGATATGGTGGATATTGTTGAAGAAGAGTTGTTCAAGAAGCACATGCCATCTGTGACGTACATGAGACTTGATGGTCGTACAGACCCCAGAGAAAGACAGGCGATTGTCAGAAAGTTCAACGAAGACCCTTCCATTGATGTTTTGCTCTTGACAACCAAGGTCGGTGGTTTGGGTCTCAACTTGACCGGTGCAGACACAGTTATCTTTGTTGAGCACGACTGGAACCCTATGAACGATCTCCAAGCAATGGACAGAGCGCATCGTCTTGGACAGAAGAAGGTTGTTAACGTTTACCGTTTGATCACCAAGGCTACTTTAGAAGAGAAGATCATGGGTCTACAGAAATTCAAGATGAATATCGCATCTACAATTGTCAACCAGCAGAACGCCGGTCTTTCGCTGATGGATACCAACCAGCTCTTAGACTTATTCGATGTTGACGAACAAGCCACCAAGATTGAAAACGGTGGAGACGAGAAGAAGGACAAGAAGGTGCCCGACGAGTTGATTGGCGGCGGCATCCCCTCTGAAGCAGTTGGCGAGCTCACGCAGCTCTGGGACGAGTCCCAATATGAAGACGAATACAACCTCGACAATTTCATCAAGACGCTTAAATAAGCTTGATACTTCCCTCCCCAAGTGCTTATAACGCGAGGCCTCTGACTGGTTGGAGGCCCACCAACACCCACTTTTGAAGTATGAAAAGCCCCAAAAGACAATATAAGTTGTGCACTCAAAAAACCTCGATACTTCTCCTGATCATGTCTACTACAGTTTCCAAAAGTTTTCAAATCTTCCCAGATTTTCCACTTCTCTGAGGGGCAGAGGGGCATCTAAGCGAGGTGCGATGGAGATGGCGATGGCATCTTGGGAAAGGCGGTATGGGGGTATTCTGCAGGACAGGCAAGCTAACGCTAGGAAAAAAATCTCTGGAAAGTTACCCAAACCGCAAGAGAACACCACTGGCGTCTGCAAATCCTGAAAATGAACGAGAAGGAGGAAAGGGCCATGAAACAGCTCGAAAAAGATGCCCAGACGTCGTTTGGGTACCTTGGGTCAGATGAAAAATCGAGCACTACCCGCACGCCAGAGGCCATGGATGTGAAAATCCAGCAGGCTGCTGATGTGACGAAACTGTCGCCTAAATGGGTGCATTTTGTTGCTGGCGGCGTTGGCGGCATGGTTGGTGCTATTGCGACGTGCCCGTTGGATGTGGTGAAGACTAGACTTCAATCGGATGTGTATAACAGAAGTTACAATAAGGCACCGAAGTCGAGCAATCCATTGATCAAAGGTGCCCAGCACTTTAGCGAGACGTGTGGCGTTATTGGCCAGATATACAGAATCGAAGGTCCCAAGGCTCTTTTCAGAGGTTTGGGTCCTAACCTTGTGGGTGTCATTCCAGCCAGATCGATCAACTTCTTCACTTATGGCGCTACTAAGGAGTTTGTCTCGAGTCAATTTAATAACGGCAACGAAGCGACGTGGATTCATCTTGTTTCAGGTATTAGTGCTGGCTTTGTCACTTCTACAGCAACCAACCCTATCTGGATGATCAAAACAAGACTTCAACTAGATAAAACGAAAGGAAAACACTACAAAAACTCCTGGGACTGTCTTCGCTACATCCTCAAAAACGAAGGTTTCCGCAGTTTGTACAAAGGTTTAAGTGCATCTTACTTGGGTGGTATTGAATCCACCATCCAATGGGTTTTGTATGAACAGATGAAGTCTTTCCTCAACCGCAAATCCCTCGAAAGACACGGTCTTGACCAATCTAAGAAAACCACCTCAGATCATATTTACGAATGGTGTGCCCGTTCGGGTGCCGCTGGTGCTGCTAAATTCGTTGCCTCCCTTATCACATACCCACACGAGGTTGTCCGTACTAGATTGAGACAGGCACCTGTGGAGGCCACAGGAAAATTAAAGTACACGGGACTTGTACAATGTTTCCGTTTGATCATCAAGGAGGAAGGGCTTGTCAGCATGTATGGAGGCTTGACTCCACATTTGCTTCGTACGGTGCCCAACTCCATCATTATGTTTGGAACCTGGGAGCTTGTGGTTCGTTTCTTATCGCAGAGTTAATCTCCCCTTTCATTTTGTTTGGTTTATTCGGAAAAAGGTAGGGTATCGGTCTTGTGAAGACACATTTGCATATTTTTCAGCTTGTATATATTTTTCCATCTGTGCATAAATGTTCTTCACTGAACACGTAACTTTTTGGGTGTATGTTCGTCGCCTGAAGAAGAGCTGTAGCCATCGTCACTGTCCATATCTAGGTTTCTGGGAGCTCTAAGCGTAGGCTTAGGTTCTTTCTTGGGAGGCGCCTTTTCTGGTTCTTTCTTCTCGATCTTCGTATTCTGGGGAGATTTATAAAACTTAGGTGGTTCTCCTTCCGGCAAAGCAATACCCAACTCCCGTATTAGCGGATCAGGAGAGTACTTCGTTGTATGGCGTAGTGGGGCAGTCAAGTTAGGCAACAGACTTCCATCCTCACCAGCCGGAACCTTCCCCAACGGGTTCAATTCTGGGTTAAAGTAAACACTCTGATTCCCCCAGAGCCTTCGCTGGTCCTTCTCTATCTTAGCTTTCTTCTGTTTCTGCTGTTCTAGAAACCCATCTAGCTTATCAGCATGTAGCTTATGTTTCCGTATAAACAGCCAATCGTCTTTAAGCAGTTTCAACCGTTTCTCATCGTTCTTCTCCTTTTCAAGCCTTTCGATCTGGAAGTATAGTCTTATAGGATCAACGCTCTTAAGCTTCTCGAGCTGATGTTGATGTTTCTGCCGCTGCTGGATCTTCTGTTTCTGTTTCAGCTCATTCTGGCGAACCTCCTTTTGGAGACTCCAATTTGAGCGGATCATGGAAGTAAGGAAGTAGTGTATTTGGAAGTTAATTGGTATTGGGCTGGCAGTGGATGGGTGGTGAAGAAGGTGTAGTTGATATGTATGGAGAAGATGCGCGTTAAGAAATGGGTGCAAAATGGGTGAAGAAGGGTCAGTTAAAGAGGTGATAAAGTGATGGGGGATGGAAAAGGAAGGGTGTTTTGGGTTGCTGAGAGGTTGGAGAATTTTGCTATGAAGTTTGATTTTGAAAGAATGGACGGTTCAGGAGATGTATATATGGTGTCTCTGTGGAAGCAGAGCGTAGAGTAGATGTAGTCCAAGAGCTTCAGTTAATTTCATATTGTTTTAGTGGTTTCTATACGAACTTCATTGTGGTTAAAATTATGGGTCTCGAGAGATTAATCTGTTTTTTTGATGGTATACTGGTTGTTGGTTGACTTCTACTCTACATGGTTATGGTCTCAGTAGATAAGGCTTGATATGACATGGACATCTCCTTTGGATTCAAAAACTATAAAAAAGTCTCAATTAAAGCTAATGAAACGAAGATTATTATTCACTTTCTATTCTTTGTTCTGTTTACGTTTTCTAGTGGTTGTTCTGACAACCTTCCTCAGTAGATATATAGCCAGTAGGTCCATCAAAATAGCAATAGAACCAAATTAAAGACAGCCAAAGAATGCTTTGTTTTATATCTCTAGAACTCATATACAACATTAAGTGACCATTCGCTATTTCTGAATCTTCCAACGTTCATGGCCAACTACTTCTCTCTTGTGAGCATCTGATCCACTGGAGAAGCCATAACCATACATCATTTCCACCCAACCACACAATTTTATTAATACAGTATATCCATTCAGTTCATTTCCTCTCCCTCAATCAATATAAATCCAGTTTAATATAAATTTCATCCCTCTTCTTCAAATACTTACGACACCTCCACTCCACCATAACAAGCACTTAACCGTATTTCGCAGCCATTCCCAAACTCACCAACCAACCAACGACCCAAACAACACATCCCTAAAAACCAAATACAATTATTAGAAATGTGTGAACCTTCTATTAATTCACCGAAAATACTCCAACCTTCGTTCTACTACCTTTCTTCCACCACCAAGTACCACCACCTCTTATATGCCTCGCACTGATAATCCATCTTCAACCACCAAGCACCAACTACAGCCTCCTTCACCCACACCATGAACAAACTACAAAGACAGCCACCGGCACAGGCACAAAGACCCAGTCCGCTGCCGCAAGTGAATACGCAAATTCCAGCCGAATCCCTTGAACTCATCAGAAACAGACTAAGTCAGGTCCACCAGTCGCTAAGGAAACTAGCTGACCAGATCAACCTCCATAACCGGAACCCGGCCAAGGTTCGTCTTCCGTCGTATTCGAATCTTCAGTCCCAGTTTCAGGTGCTTATAACGCAGCTACAAACAATTGCTGCTAGGTTGGACTCTAACGATGAAACACTCAAGACAACGAACGTGTATCCACTTCCTGCTTTTCCTACTACACAACATGAAGGGCTTGTGACGACGTTGTTGAGAAAGAAACCGCTTCCTGAGGTGGACGAATGGATAGACGCTGCTATTGCTGAAAGTGACCAGTTTAAGTTACCTATCCACGCAGATGACGATTTTGCTGAGTGGTGTTATGCGAAAGTGAAGGAACTAGAGGATGAATTCACGTTTGAAGGGTTCCATACGGAAGCTGAGTTGGAATTTATGGAGACAGACGAGGGCCAGAAGGCAGAGGAGGCTCGGAAAGAGGCAGATAAGGAGAAAGAGAAGCTTAACAGTGAAGTTAGCGGTGGAAAGACCCCCATGTCCCCTAATGTTGTGCTTCGGTTCATCAACCGTGGAGTTATTCAGTAGGGGTGGTGATTAGACCTTGGAAGCGTAATTTCTGGGATTATTACATCGTATGAACCGTGTACTTATTGGCCGAAGGTAATCATATCATGAATGACAATTCCATTTGCAGGGAAAAAGACGATCCTGATTGCCTTCAATTAACTTATAAAAGGCCTGCCTGTCGCTTCTTTTGACCCTGCTGTCGCTTCCAATCACTCCCTCACTACATCATACATCATCATAAACGTACCATTTAAATACCTCAACAATTACCAAATGTAACCCTCCCCTATTGCCAATCCCCCGTCTCCTAGCAAGCACTTGATATTCTATAATTTAATGCCGACACCTGCCATCCGTCTGGCAAGCCGTACCCCATTCTCCTGTCCTGTCGGGTACTTACTCGGCCGCCGAAGCTGCTGCTGCACCCTCTGGGTGAGTGTAAAAGTCGTAGAAATACATGACGGCGAACACAAAGAACGCAGCGGCGCCGCCCAAAGTGACGTTTCTCATGGATATTCTGGTGGCCAAGAGCTGTCCGCCAATACAAGCAGCAGCGGTGCAGATGCCGTGGCCCACAACGGCACCAAGAATGACAAACCAGTAGTCCAGGCCAGCAGCCATGGCAATGGTTGCAATTTGAGAACGGTCGCCCCATTCGCCCAAAAATGTCATGACAAACACTTGGATCCAAACTGGTGAAAGAATAAAAGACGCAAGGTTCTCGATCTGGAGCCCAGCGTCCTGGTACCATGTTTTATTCTGGTTGCTTCTAACAGGAGCCACGCCTTCATCACCGCCTCCTCCAGCTTCTAAGTTCTCCATCTGGTGATTCATATGAGAAGAAGCGAGCTCTTCCTGGACCTCAGCCAACTCCTCATCGACACCAGCCTCTTTCGACATCGAAAGACCTTCTCTTAATAACTTAACACCGAAAATGACAAAAAGCACCGACGCCAAAAACTGCGTCACCCTCTGGGAAATGAGTGTAGGTAAAGCATGGCCCACTATACCCAGCAAGACGGTCATCACCGCCAAAGAAGAAAAGGCCGATGAGAACACCACGAGTTTCAGGTTTTTCATGGCCATAAGCGCAGCGATAAGGAACGTTTTGTCGCCAATTTCACTCACAGCGATCATAGACACCGCCATGTAGAAGGAGGCAGCGTGGTCGTCGTGGGCTTCCTCTTCGGACCCAGAGCCGGAGCCAGATCCGATGGATCCCACAGCTCCAGCACCACCAGCAGCTGCCGCTGGATCTTGCGATCCAGCTACCTTAGGCTGATTATCCTCACTATCAAGCGGTTTCACGCCCAACTTCGCCGCAGCCTTATACGACAGCACCTCATTAGCCTCTTCCTCCAAAGCGATATTAGGAGTAGTACCTGAATGAGGCAGAGCCACAGCAAACGCAACCAACGCCGAAACAGCAAGACGAGTCCACTTCATGGAGACAGTAGTAGATTAAAGAAGGATGAAAGACACGAAAGTCAAGAAAAGACGTGAACTCCAATGGAAGTCGGTAGCACTCGGAGTTGAAAATTTGAAGCGCGCTTGATAGTCAAGGGAACCGTCAGGAAACCGTAAGGTTTCCGTAACGTTCCCGTAGACGACACCAGGGAGGTTACAGACTAAGATTTCTACGATTTCTACGTTTTAGTGTTTCCTGTTTTCTGTTTTTTACATTTTACATTTTCTGTTTTTTCTTTCCTTCCTCATCTTTTTCTTCCCTTTGTGACTCAAAACCAACCTCAATCATCATCAGGCGTAAACGGCCTTCGCTTTTTTTGTGGCTCTTACCAGCGCGAGCCGATAAAGCAGGGGCGGGTGCGGATTGGAACTCCATCTGGACGAGATGGACCCGGTGGAGCCAGTAGACCTCGAGGTTGGTGCAGGCCAGGCAGTTTCCAGCAAATCAGGAAGGAGAAGGGAAAGGAGACTGTTAGGAGCCTTGGGATGGGAGTTTGGGGTTTGGAAATTCAGGGGAAGAAGAAAACGGAATGGAGATGGAGAGGTGGAGGTGGAGAGGTGGTGGAATGGACGGAACGCAGCGGAGTGAAGAGTTGGTAGGTAGTGGAGGCAGTGGATGGTGAGGAAAAAGAGGGAGGAGGAAGAGAAGGTGTATTTTCTGTTGGTGGTGGTTTTTCTTTTTTTTTTTTCGGTAGTGGTTTTTGGAAATGTAGAGTGGCTTGGAAATGTATTTATTTTTGGAAAATTCATAGTGGGATTCGGTTTTAGCTGGGGTGTTTCGTCACTTCTTACTCGAAGTTCATGCTTTTGTGAGGGTATTGCGTTTTCGCAGCCATTTGGAAATGGTGCATGAACATGGACAACCAGAGGGAGCCACTGGATATGAGGCGTGGGGGCACTAGAGGGGATTTAAAGAAGTTGGTTAAGTGGAAGAAGGTGGCTAAGGTTGTTTTTGGGGTTGGATTTGGTTGGGTTTGGGGGAAATGGTGAGTGGTTGTAGGTGCTTCTGGGTGAGTGCATTATTAGTAAGAGGGCAGATGGTGAGTGGTGGCAGCAATAGTGAGAAGATTCTGGTAATACTACGTTGGCGGCTGGTTAAATGCGGTAAGCCGTATGATGTTTGTAATTTTGTTCGTTGCTTTCTAGGCTTGTTTTGCATGGCCAGTGCTTCTTACAGTGGTGATGAAGAATGGGATGGATCCTTGGCTGGTGGTGATATAAACTGCACTGTTTTGCTTGAAGGGGGGTATTTAATTTATTAAACTTCACTGGATACTACTGGATATCCTTACTTACACGCTCTATCGTCTACTTTTATTTCAACGCTTTTTGGATCAACCATGACTGGTTGAAGTACGCTACTTCAGTATGGGAGTAAGCTTTTTGAAAAACTGAGAATTCCACGGCACCAAAACGAGTAGATCCATTAAGATCAAGTTAGAATGGAAAATCGACTTCTCTGGAGGGTTCTGGGTCGGTTCCGTCCTTGGATAGCTGGACAGATAGGCTAAATCCTGCAGGAACTACCTTATTGAACACGGCCATGATAAGGCAAAACACGTCTGGGAGGTCTGCAAATTCAGAGAAAACCATTATCCAAGTTTATCTAGTTCTCTTTAATGGTATTTACTTTTCCGGGCTGTTAGAACAGCATGAACAGTAGGAAAAGCCGAATTTCAAATATAGTCACGTGGAGATACGCACGTGTAATATTTCAAATTGATTCAACCCCTAAACAAGATGCTCCCATAATTTCCCTTACAAATAGAATTAAAGCCCTTAATATATCTTCTTGAGAGCCCCTAAAGCCTCCCCTCTCCGGGCACTATCCCCTTGATTGGGTGCAATTATCAAATGTCATCACATGACCATACATCACGCGCCGTTATCCACATCGCTTATCTGCTTTCCAGAACCAACATCAACGCCTCCATGGCCTCCAGAGCGTTTCTCCGTTATAACTCGAAATCAGCTCTTGCAGAGCGGTTCCAGCAAATCCTAGATGAAAAAGTCACCTCGGCTCCAACTTCCCTAATAGACCAGGACCCGAAACTTCGCCAGTTATACGCACAGTACTCCAAAGACAGTGCAGACAAACAGTTCCAGCAAAAGTACCAGAAAGAACTAGCATATGTGAAAAGTGAAAATCGTCTTCGAACAAAAGAAGCACGTGAACTTGCTGATACGATCACGAACCCGCCATGGAAAGGTCAAGAGAAAGTGGAAGACACTGCTCTTCGAATGCTAGTAGATAGTGTTCCCAAGGCCAAAGCCATGCCACGGCAAAAGACCATCATCACGCCGCCAGTGCCTCCAAAGGAACGGATTGCCAATGCCAGAGAGTCCAGTTTGGACTATAAAGTGTCGAAAACGAAAACACCAGAGGAGGTGGAAAAGGATAACTTTCGTGAAATGTATAAGGAACGATTGATGGGACCGTCGATGTTTATCGATGCCACGTCGCCTAGAACGACTATTGGCATGATTAGTTCGCTTGCAGATGCACGGATAAACGCTAAGATCGACCAGAAAAGTGGAAAGTTCAATGGTTCAGATATGGACACTGTAAGAGGGAAACCTCTAGATAGAAAGCGATTGGCCAACAGCACCGACACGAACTTCTTTGTGAATGAGATTTTGAACTCTCAGGATTGTTTGCCGCCTTGGATCGATAGTCAGCAGGGCGTCGAAAGGGAAAAGCAGGTCTTTCGTCTTGATATGCAAAAGAAGTGGTTTACCATTATTATCACCAGGTTACTGGAGAAGTATGGCACTTTGAAAGGTGATCTTTTACCGAAAGTGGCTCCTGGCAGTCCAGATCTTTCCAAGGATATTTACTATCCTGCTTTCCGTCGCTCAAACTATTCATATATCGTTGCCAAAGTGGCAGATTTGAATAGAGGTATCCGCAACTACAACTTGCAGTGTCCGTCGACCAGCTTACATAAATGGAAGTTGACAGCAGAAAAAGAGATTGATATGCTGTATGATGCAGTTGTTAAAAACATTGCGGCGTTGGTTGATGAGTGGGTGGAGAGACAACAGACCATTCGTCAGATTAGTCCAGTCGACAAGGGCGGCGGCAGCTCGATGTTTGGTCTTTTCGACCTGTCACGAGGCTCATACGGCTCTGGAAGCCATTACCAAGTGATTGAACGCCCCGCCGAAAAGATGGATTTCTGGAAACTGGTCAAGTCGATCTTCAAAACCGCCTAGGCTTAAACCAACAACTTATAGACCACAGCCAGAACGGCAATGATGATGGCACCGACCCATATCTTCCAAAGCGCCAACAAATTGTATATAGTGCCTTTATCGGCAGTTGATTTAGATGCATCGAGCAAGCCCTGGTAGAAGGCTTCGCTCATTTCCTCACGACTGAATAAAGAAGTAGCTCTTTTGTATCCGTTTTCACCCATGACTTTGCTCTTTTCGGAGTCACTGGAGAAAGCAATTTCCTTCAAAACAGATGCCCACGCGTCCACGTCGTTTTCACGGTTGAAGCCTGTAGCTTCGTCCAAATTGGAACCGTCGTAGTTAACAATGGACTCCAAAGGTCCACCATAGTTGATAGCCAACACTGGCGTTCTATTCAACATACTCTCCACAGGCACAATTCCGAAATGCTCAAATGTAGGCGTATAAAGAAGCAACTCTGTATTCCTAAGCATGGCATTCTTCAAAGATGTCTTTACAGAAGGCATAAAGAGCACTTCCACAGATGTAGGCATCACCACGAGTCTCCCTCTAAACGTATTATGTTTGAGGCCCGAGGAATCACACAATTGCTCGAGTTCCCGTAGATGCTGGACATTTTCAGCCACACGAGGGTCAAAACCACCGGCAATGATAAGTTTCGGAAGCTTTTCACCCAGGTGCTGCTCCTTAAGTTTAGCGTATGCTTTAATCGCCAACGGCACGTTCTTCAACCGTTCAAACCGGTTTATAGAAAGGAAAAACTTGTTCCCCTTCAAAAACTCAGCCAATTCCTTCTCTGCATCTGGATCCACCGTCTCTGTCTTATCAATACACGGGTAAATCACCTTCGGGTCCACATACCCTAAATTCGTGAACGTCTTATGAAAAATCAGTTTCGTAAACGACGAGTTCACCACGATCTGGTCACTTGTCCCCGTAGTCCATTCCTCAATCCTATCGAACGGAACCCTATAGAGTTTCTTCAACAAACCACCTTTCCTCACAAGCAACTGGTCAGGAAAGTGACAATAAAACAACACCTTCGCCTCCGGTTTCGAAAAAACCGACAAAAAAGGCACCGCAAACGAAAGCTGGTCCACCACAAAGTAATCATACTTTCTCACCTCGCCAGTCACCACTAGCGTAGCCACCAAGAACAACTGTCTCAAGATAGCAAACAAAATATGGAATTTCTGGAGGACCTGGGTCGGCAAGAAGTCGCCATGCACTTTCACACGTAGTTTTCCAGACGCCACCTCGTCAAAACAATGGCTCTTATCACAGTGAGACGTGAACACCGTCACGTCGTTGCCCAAGTCCTGAAGGCCCACGGCGGCGTCCACGACGAGTCTTTCAGCGCCTCCAATGCCGAGATCAGGGTGAAGGAACGCAATGGGGGGCATAGTGGGGGAGTTGGAGGAGGTTTTGGGAGTTGGTGGGAGTAGTTGTAGTTGGAGGGAGGTGCGATTTCCAGTACTGGATGGCTTAAGTATGGGAGTGGAGGGACGTAAGAAGTAGAAGTATGGGTGGATGGAAATTTTATTTTGGGGTGAAAAATGGGGTTTCTAGGGGGACGAGGTTAGTGGGAATGGTCTGGTATTTATAGGAAACGTGGTGGGGCAACGGACTGGGGGTTGTGGTTGGTTATGGGGCCACTGGACGGTTGGCCAGGGACGACAGGGAGGGAAGGATAATGGGAGGTAACAAAAAGAGATGGATTTTTATATATTTATGAATTGGTCGGGTTTAATGGAATTTGGTCTTTTATGTTAATTTGGGAAAGAATTGGAGGTTTAAGGTGGAGGTTTGGTACGTTGGGTATGTCTATGGTAGGCAGCTTGCAGTGAAAAACAGGGATACTATAACTAAGGCTTCAGATTATTATGAATACCGTTTTTGGTGAAAATGACTGGAATTGAATGAACAAGTATATTAGTGAGTTCTTATTAAGAATTTCACTGGCTTAATTGGGGAATCAGTGTGCTTGTTCTACAAGTAGTCTGTAGCTTCAGAAGTATATACATACATCTATGTGTATACCTTTTTTGGCCAAGATTGACTGACATCGAATAAAATAAACTTCTCTAAAAGTCAAACGGAGGCTTTGAACAACTGATGAGTCATTTTGCTTCTTTTAAAACCATTGAAGTAGTGTTCATGGCATATATACTATAAGCATAAATGCACTGTGCTACCACCAAATACCATATTTACCCCAAGAACCCTTTTTTCACCTAATGAAGATAACAGTTTTTTAGCTACTTTCTTAATTTCATGGCTTTCATACCATTTTACCCTTCTTCGCTTAAAATAAAATAACCATAAAATGCTCTTGTCTCCCTACCTTCTACTCCCTCTTCCCTCTACACCTACAACATTCATCACCATATCTGGCCCTGGTTGCCAGTTTGTTCCCTGTTAATAACCTATGATACAAAAAGTTCCCTTGTGTGTTCGGAAAACTCGTTGGTGGTGGCCTTGATGGACTCGGCCTTTTGGACTTGCAATGCCTTGGCAGCAGCGTCATCTCTGGCCTGCTTCTTTTTGAGCTTCTCAGCTTTTCTGTCGTAACGTGTGTCCTTTGGATTGAAACCACCTTCTTCGGCGCCCCAAACAGCCCATTCTGGAGTCTCACAAATGTAGTCCAAGTCACAGAACTCCTGGCCGCTTTCAAGCAACTCAAAGAACTTGGGGTAGTCAATATGCGTGTGCCAGACATTGTTGATCTTGAATTTGGTGTGGGCAATCAAAATACAGCAGGAATGGGAGTGTTCAGCTGCAAGTTCGTAATCAAGGCCTCTTCTTTGGAGCTCAGCAGTGATTTGACGACAGAAGTCTCTGCATTCTTCCAAAAATGGAATGTTTTGCATGGTAAGTGGGTTGCCGTTACCTGTAGAGCTTCCACAGAAGGTAGCACCTTTAACTTCAATCTGCGAAGGCATGGCTCTTTCAACCATATCAGCATAACTCTCCACTTCAGTCATATTGAAACCCTTGACCAAAGTAAGTCTGAAAACCGTACGCTGGTGGCTTTGAATGGTTCTCACAATGTCCAAACAAGACATGAGACGTTCCCAGAAATCAGAGTTCAATGGTCTGTCGACCTTCTTCAAGTCAGTCTTGGTAGGTGCATCGATACTGACGTATAATTGAGTCACCTTGGCAAGGTTGGCCAAGGGCTCTGGATGCTGTGCGTTGCAAACCAAGAAAGACGAGATGTGACGTTCGTGAAGCATACCAACGAATTCGTTAATGTGGGGGTAAAAGATAGGTTCACCAACCAAAGAAAGTGCACAGTGTCTGACCCTAAAGGCTTCCTGGAATCTGTCGATTTGGATCCCTGGAACACCACGCATTTGCTTAATCTTTTTATAGTGACCTTCAAGAGCACCAAAAAGAACCTTCTCTGGCGGATCCACTTCCCATCTCCAGTTCAGCTTGGCCACTGGATTCGTGCCGTGACGCCAGCAGAACACACACTTATTGGAACAAGCCAAGGAGGGTGTAGTTTCCATACACAAGTGAGACTTGATACCGTAGAAAGCAAACTTGTAGCAAGAACCACGGCCACGCATGGCACTCTTTGTCCAACGACAAATCTTCACGCCCGAATGGGAACCCACGATAGTGTACCCCTGTTTTGTGAGCGATTTGTAAGTAGGCGAATCCTCAGCAACCATCTGTTTAGGCTCCATGACAGCGCTATCTTTATTCTTGGAAGCTCTGATAATAGCACCCATATCTTCAACATCCACCACATCTTTTTCATCCTCAGCTTCAGCTTCAGCTTCCTCAGCATCGCTATCAAAAGCAGCAGGATCATCTTCCAAAAGGAAAGGCTGTTCATCCACCAAAAGCTCCAGGAACCCATTGATCCAGTCCTGGGTCTTTGGTTCACCTTCATGTTTCATACAAACCTCACCCACCGGGAAGAGTCGACGAGCCCCAAGCTTTCCAAGCCATTTATCAGCAGATTTGGCCTGGTAACAGAACTGCGAGCCGCCCCAGGATTCGGAATCTCCAAGGCCCAACACAGCAAAACCAGCTAACGTACGCAACGGATACTTATCCACCCTAAAGTCCTGGTACGTTTCTGTAAGATGCTCCAAGAAGTAGTCAATAGGCGAGTCAGTTTCGTACGAAGGAAGCACCAAAAGGTAAACAGGTGGGTTTTCACTCTTGGGCGTTCTAAGGAAGTACTCTTCCAAATCGTCCACATCGTCGTCAAGCGAAAGCAACCGAGGCGGCACTTCCACGCCATCTATACCCGCAATCTTCTCGTGAAGAGCCTTGGCCACCCGAAGCGACAGCCCCGTAAGTGTAGTATAAAAAATGTACACTGGACACTTTTCCAAGTGCACCAGAGAAGCCGTAAGGTGAGAAACAGCACCTCCACCACCACCAACAGATTTCCCAGGTTTCGCCTTAAACACCTTGGCAGTTCTTGTCTTTCTTGTTTTCTTCTTCAACGGCACCGTCTTCGGAAACGTCGTTTTCGTCTCTGGCGTAAACGCATTGGTAAAGTCCACCTCCATAATGCGAGATGACTTAACCGGTTCAGTGATTGGAGAACTTTTCAGGTCGTGTTTTTTCTGTTTATGGACGAAAACAGCAAACCAGGCTGCTGCCAAAACCGTCGTCCGGCCGCCCGAAAGCCAGTATATCAACAGGCAAAGGGCCAAAATGGGAGTTCCAGAAGCCATGGCAGGAGGAAGAGTAGATGTGGAGAAGAAGGTTGGTAATTTTTCGCAGACCAGATGGATGGGGTTGGGAGTGTTGTATGCAGGGAGGGTGGAAGGATATGGATTTTGCAGCCATTCAGGGAGGGCAGTTTGGGGGTGGTAGTGAAAGGGGGAGGGTCGGAGGGTTGTTTTGGGGTGCTGGGGGAGGTCATGGAAGGGTTAGGTGGGTTTTGGAAGGTTCTGGTGTGGAGATTGGTGGAGGATTTGGAGGAGGTTGGTGGGAGTGAGAAGAGGAAGGGAGAGAAGTGGTGGACGAGGTGGAGGATGGAAAGGAAGGAAGGAAGGTTGGTAATTTTGAATTGGTGGTGGTTTGGGTTTGCACTGGGAGTAAGAATCGACTTTTGGGAAGATCTTATGGGGAAGTGAAGAGAAGGTGCCATTGGACCTTAAGTACTATATGTAACTGTTCAATGTATCAATTAATGGTTGTTGGCTTCGTTTCTGGAAGTAATTCATTGTAGTTGATGAATGAGCTGCTTAGGTAGAATTGGGCTGATTGAGGGAGTTGGGGTGTTTAGGTGGCTTTGGAACGGTGGTTGGTTGTGGCTGGAGCTGTTTGATTAACCGGGCATTCACACACTATATGATCAGCAGTGGTAGAAGGCAAAAAAAAAAAACGACGAAACAGAAAAAATAAGTGATTTCAAAATAACGGCTTACTGAAGTTAGTGTAGATGCAAAGCTTGAGCTGGTTGATATTGGGTATGTACTTGGTGATGAGAGGATGGATAGACTGAAGAAATGGATTCCTACTGGTAGTTTCTACCTGGATTTCCCACCAATGAGTTTCGATTAAGCTCTATTTGCAAGCATTTTTGGTAGCCGGCTGTTAGAAAAAGATGGTGATTTTATGGGGTTTTGGTGGATGGGTGGTATAAAGACGGTGGACTTGGAGGTGGTAATCATACTACTACTTGAACTTACGTTTTGAAGATAAAAACTTATTTCATATTAAATACAACTAAAAATGTGGCTTTCTTGGAATTAAAAATGAAATTTGTTAAGTTAGCTGTATGGAAGTAGGTTGTTGGTTGTAATGAGGAGCTAGCGTGACGAGAGGTACTGAAGTGAAATACTATACTTAGTCTTCCAAAATTGTTAGAGCTATTGAGAACTAAATAGCTAATCACTTAATTCTCTTAGTATTGAACTGAAGAGTACCTTTATTCTTTGCATTCTCTCCTTAATTGTTACTTCTCTAGTATAAGTTCTACTTCTTCTGGTACGTATCTCTATAAGTTACAGCCTACCCACTATAACTATAAAGCACTTATTCGAAGCTACTCACACACTATTTAAATAACATTAATGAATGTTTTAGGTATAGCATTTTGATCATTATTGAAAACCCACTTCATCCACAACCCGAACCACCTCTCTCTCCACCAAACATACCTACCAATTACAATACTTACTCCAAACAACACCAACTCTTTTCCTTCACTTCAACTTCTATTCACGATTAATGAACAACCTCTTCTACCACCTCCCTCTTCACTACTCCTTGACCTTCCTTCCTGCCAACCTCTTCAAGAAATCCAAAATGTAATCCTTATCGTTGGTAAACGCAACCTCCGACTTCACTCTATCCGCAGCTGTCTTGCCCTTCTCCAACTCTTCATCCTTCACGTTCTCGTCGTCCAAGTTCTGACTATCTGTCAAACGATGGTCTCTCAAGAACATACAGAAGAACAACACAAGCACACAAAGCGAAAGCCCAGTAATCGAAAGTGCCCTTTGGATCTCAGCATACGCTATACTCACAGCCCTACGCTGGTTGGTGCCCCATTTGTACGTCTCGATATAAGTGTATGGAGACCCATAAGCCTCTTCAGCCAAAGAGTCGTCCACGCCAAACTCCACCATTTTGGATCTAATTTTCTGGTACATTTCCTGGGTCCAGATAGCTCCAGAAACCGCACCGCCAAGCGTATGGCCCACACGGTAAAAAGCAGCAAAAATAGCCATCACTGTAGCCATATACTCATGGTTCGTACAAGACTGGGCAGAAACAAACACAAGTCTGTTCAAAAAGGCCTGGGAGAAACCCAAAACACACATAGCAACGGCAATACCGTCACGGTAGTACTTCCCACGAAGTCCATCGTTGCTTCCTCTGAAATGGACAAAAAGACCCATGGAGAGGAAAAGCATAGCACAGCCAAAGAGAATAAACGCTTTTGTTCTTCTTACACGGCCAACCACGAACCCCAAAATTGAAAGAGTAATGGCTGTAACAAACGTATTCAACAGAGGCGTTCTGGTTGCAACTGTAGTGGAAGCGTTCATGCCCACAAGCAAAACAGGGTAAGCGTAGCCATTGACAAGAGCATAGACGAAGTTGTCTAGAATGCTAACCACGAGAGCTGCCCAAATACCACGGTTCTTCATCACTTTAAATGGAACCATAGGACGTTTGGTGATTTTGGTTTCCCAGACGACAAACACTGGAATGAGAAGTACGCCAAGTACCAAGGGAACGATAATCTTTGCCTGTTTCCATTTGGACGATGTCCCGCCAGCCAACGTCAATGGAACAAGCAAAAGACCAAGTACACAAGCTATCAAAACGCATCCAATACAGTCCACATACCAGAAGACTAATTTGACGTTATGGATAAGCGCTAGGCCAACATACTCTGCTTTATTTTTGATTCTCTCCATAAACAGTCCAGTATTTGGAACTCTCTCAAGGTTCGAATCAAAGAAACGTCCCGCCGAAGGCAATCCTTCAATGAACATCCTTCTCTGGTCGTGGTTCACCTGTTTCCACTTATCTGTCTTTGCAGCCTGGAGCGTAAGGTAAGTGTAGTGAATAAAAAAAGGAGCAAAGAACAACGGCGTGATGAAGGCCCACATGGCAACGCCAAACTGCCATGAAGTGTTCCCCAAAAGAGCAGTCACGATCTCTCCAGTGCTCCATGTGTTGATGATACTCTGAGTGTACGTCAAGCCAATAGCCAAAAGCCTCCATCTCAACGACGAAGCATCCGAAAGACTCACCTGCAAAAGAATCATCGTCCCTGAGTGGCCAAAACTCATCAACGCAGCTCCTCCAGCATACTTTTGCACATTGGTAGCTCTGGACAGAATGAGGATACCCACCACTCTGAATATAAGCGAAACACTCAACAACTCAAGACGTCCATAAGTATCAGCAAGTCTAGCGTAGAACGGTAACGACCCAGAAGCAACCACTCCACTTATAACACTCACCGTAGACATCAACGAGTGTTCTTTATAGTCGTTGGTAGCGTATCCCACAAACACAGAAAGCACATCACCTTCAACGTTGATGATGTAGAAACAAAGAAACACGGAAAAAAAGAAGATGATTTTTCTTTTAACCGTATTGACCTGTTCGACAATGATTTCTGATTTACGAACCCCAAACGATTTTGCAACCAACAGGGAAGAACTGGAAACGGATTCTGTGTCCAGAGGATCAGCCGAAGCTGTTTGGTTTTTCGTCAACACCTCTTTATCTTTGGACGAGAGGGACATGACAAGAAGAGGTTTATGGATTTAGGATTATGGATTTATGGAATTACTGGTGATTTATAGGATTAATGAAGAATGAAAAATGCATGGTTTGGAGAATGGATGGTTTGGAGGGCTCGTAAACTGGCGCTAGACCAGGCAGATGTGTCCTGATTGGATAAACGAGATAATGGAAGAATGGCCAAGAAATAAAAATGAATAAAGGGTACTTTGAGGCGTTTTTGGCACCTTTGACGGCACCAACATGCATATTCTCCTGTACGGCTGCATTATCTTTTCAATCACCATTGAAGGGGGGAACGAAAGCAATGGAAAGTGAATGAAATCAACGGCATTAGGCTGATTTAGGGCCCCGGGTTTGTTTGTGCCAAAAAAAGCCAGGTTTTTCCAGCTTATTTCATCAAAATCTGACCCCTTTCTGCGTTTAGCCAGGGTCTTGGCAAATGTGTCTATTGTGGATTCTGTCAAAGCCCCAGCCAATGAAAGAAGCCAGGGTAAGCCATTTACGATCTCCAGGTTTGATTATTACGAGGGGGAAGATGGAAAGTGGGAGTTTAGTTCATGAAGAGTAGGCTCTTTGGAGGTAGAGAGAGGGCCAGTTAAAGTGACCAAAAAGCGTCGGTTTTTCTTCATTTTTGGATTGTTTTGTTCTAAATTTTCGTCTCTTTTACGTCCCCTTCCCTTTGGTTTAGAAATGTTGACCGATTTCGATTTTCCAATGCATTTCCCTTGGCAAGGGCAGCAAATCAACGGGAGACGGAGAAAAACGATGGAGAAATCCAAGAAAAAAAAATTAATATGTTTAATGGCCGTGACTGGAAAATACGAGAAAATAACGCCGTTTTTGTTGGTTTTATGTATTTGGCTGGAATTGAAAGAATGGATTTTTTTGAAAAAACACATGCAAAGGTGAAAAATTTGAAAAATTTGAAAAAAGAACAATAAAAATGGATTTTATGGGTTTTAAGAGGGTCTTAAAAAGTTTTGAGAGGTTTTGAGAGGTTTCAGGTATTTTTCCGGCGGGTTTGGAAGTTTTAGGTGGGTTTTGTTGAAATTTACAACAATTTTGCAGCTTTTATCTATGGGCATTTTCATTGGAGAAGGTGAAAATGGACTAGGTTTGTGGGGAGCTGAACGACTGAGGTTGTCTGGTGTACGGGTGCGAAAATGTAACATTTCGCTTGCAAAAAGTGAGAAAAGTGAAGATGAAATGGCAGGTTTTGAGCTGTTTCTTTGGTATTGGGGAGCTTTTGAAGGAATGGTAAATTGGGTTGGATTGCGTGGTTTGAGGGTGATATTATAAAGTTTGAAGTGCGCAATATGGTGGGATATTGGGTGAGAAACTTGGAGGTTTGTTGTTTCTCAAACACACTTTCATGAACCATCACCGGTAAACCAAGTAGAAATCTCCAATTTGTGGTTTATTAGGTAAAAGCAACCTACTTTAATTGCCTTGTTTGATTTGGAGCTGTTTTATTAACATTTGGTTGCCTTTTGGTGGGGTAAACTGAGTTTATAGAAGCTATTGAGGCAGCAAACGACAGGAAACAAGGACATATTGGAAACGAAGGTCTTTTATTTATCTTGGGTAAATAAGCTATCTTTTTGATTATTAGATGTTGACGTTTGGTGAGTATGTGGTGGTTTTACTGGACTTTAGTACACCCATGGCTTATAAGTAGTATGGTACCATAACCAATACATGTCTATTTATGTAAACAGAGAGTATACTAGATTTCCCAAATGACCGACTATGGCGTTTTGAGTCGCCTTTTACTCAAAAACAAAGCATCAAAGTAACCCAACAACTGTAGTTATATGCTCTCTGGTATACTCATTAAGTGGCTGCAAATGGTCCAATCAGAAACCACAGTTCATTCAATTTCTCAAGGAAAGAAGAGTATGTCGATATAGAAGATTATATTCGATGGTTATGATTATCCAGAAACCCATTTTTTATTGTTTTAATGCGTTTAGTTTACTTTAGTTCACTTAGTGTTTCTCACTGGAAGCTACAACCAGTTATTAGAACTTATAAACGTTCTTAATTGAAACAAGAAAAAGGCTTTTAAAAAATTAACTGAAGTCTCTTTAAATAATTAAAATGCTCTTTTCTTGTTTATTTATTGTTCACTTTGACATCTCTCTTTCTACTCTTAACACTTAAATCCCATAGATCCTATTTTTGGCCACATCCACTCCTTTTTAATTTTGAAAACTTCCAGAAATCTCCAGGCCTTCGAATACCAACACTTTAATCCCAAAAAAACCAAAAAAGCCAAATTGCCATACAAATACTGGAAGGTTAGTGGTTCTGGAGCAGTGGTGACAGTTTGAGGTACGGGTGTGAAAGTGTAACAAATCGCTAACAAAACCATATAAACTCAGAGGAAGGTGAGTAAAAAGAGCCACTTCTCAACGAAAAAACCTCTAAATTAACCAGTAACAGTTTAAATAGGTTTTGAAGTACCAGAAATGCTCTCATTACGTCTAAGAGCTTCTAAAAATAGCTACAAACTCTCTCAACAACAAAAAGATATCTCTAAAACCACTCAATTCGTCAAAACCCAAAAACCTACTTCTATAGCTTCTTGTAATTACCGTTCCCCAAAAGCACCTACACTTCTTAACCGTATCGTGTCTCGTGATCTATGTAATTATTCATCGTTGAGGATTCCATCGACGTTGGCCACCAACGCCTTGTACTGTTCGTCGTCCACGCTCAATATGTTGCTTCCCATGAGCTTGATATTAAGAAGCGTCAATCTCGTCACCCAGCTGGTCATCTTGCCTTTGTACTGTGCGGGGCTCTGGGAGCTATTAAGCAAGTACTTGAGGAGGTTGACAATAAGCTGTAAGTTACCGTTAAAGTCTCCAATACGGTGATTGACATCGCTTCTGGGGAGGTTTTCATTCTTGAGTGTTTTAAGAAGCGACAGCAAGTTATAGTCAATCACCTTGAAGAACTTCAGGAACCAGAAGAACAGGTAGAGCGAGATTCCCGAAACATCCTTGTTTGACAGTTCATTAAGAAGCAAACTGAACGAGTTCGAAAGGAACTGGAGGGTGAACTGGAAAGATTCTGTAGATGAAAGCTGGTCAATCTCAATAAGCAAGTAGTAGTAGTCCAAATGAACCACGCCAATGACTCTGGTGAGCAAAGGCAGTTCTGAGTACTCGTTATGGACAACCAGCAGCACTGAAACCCTCCATGATTCCAAATCTGACGACAACTGTCGAAGCGTATCTTTGGTATTTTCCTGTAGACCAAGCTTAAGCGACAAGACACGGTCTTGTAGTTTATGGAGTTCCACGGCTTTGGTCATGAGCGCAGCTAGATTAGCATCACTTTCGAGATATGAAAAGTCTGCGTTTTGTTTGATAATGGCAACAGGCACAAACTGGCTGGGCTTGTTTAGCATTAAACTGAGTTCTCTGTCGAGATTGTGAACAGCCCAGAAGATGTTATTCGAGAAACCGGTTCTGGACGTACCCACGAAGTCTGTTTTATAGATGATGCTTCGGTTGAGGTAGCCCAAGATACTCCAGGCCAAGTCTATGTTGCTGGCGTTGACGGCGTAGATGCAAAGGAGCACCAAAAGCGTCGCTGACTGCGTGTCAATCTCCGGATCATAAGTAATGATATCAATAATCGACTCAATCAACTTATCGCTGAAAATCCGATTATAATGGGACGTGCCGTTGTTGCAATCGTACACAATACATCCCACAGCCATCACCAAGTACACTTCCAAAGAAACCAACGTTTCTGTAGCAAACGAGATCGAAATAAACGATTCCTCAAACTTCAGCTTATTCACCACCGGGTACCGCCAGGAATAACTAGCGAAATACGCCCTAGTAAACGCCAGCGGGAGCAGCTGGTCGGCAATCGGTTTCACCACCAAAAACTCGTCCAGCAAGTTTGGCGGCGCCAGCGTAGCGTGTCTAGCAATAGCCCTATTATTGATTTTCTTCGCCACAGCGCTTTTCGACGCCAGTTTCTTCGTCGGCGGAAGATCGATATTCTGAAACGGTTGTTCTGTTTCTTCCGAATGCACCAACGACGCTATAGACACCGATTTGGGATGTGAAACAGGCAGAACAGGTACACTTGCCGGAACCGTCAGGTCATCATCTGGTTTCCACAAGCAAGCCTTCTTGCCTCTTCTATCCACATATTCACACTCAGACCCTGCTTTCAAGCAATACAAGCATTTCGGGTACGTTCTCGAGCACTTCTTCTTGAGTCTATAGCACCTCGTACAGTTGGACGGATGATGAGTAGCGCCATTCTCCAACGGGACAATCTTGGGCAGCGAAACCCTGGGTTTATCGTCGCCCTGTGGAGCTATCCTGAACTTCGACGTCACGGCGCCGTTGCCCATCAGCCGGCGGTAGTAGTAGTCCATGAAGAAAGTGGATGGACTTTTAGATGACGAAGCGGCAGTTGTAGATGGTAGATGACGAAGCAGCAGATGACTAAGTCAGGGAATTCACAGTTTCTGGTTTTGGTTTTGGTTGTTTTTGAATTTCAGTTTTCAGTATTTTAAATTCCACTTTTTGGCTTTTTCAGAATCTGAATTTTCACTTTTCTTCCTTTCCTCTTTTCTTCTTTCCTTTCCTTCTTCTTCTCTGTTTTCCTCCATCGCTTATATATAAAATTGGCAAAAAAGTGCGGCGGCGGGCCCGGCAGCGGTGGTGGCCCGAAAAGGCAGGTGGGCGCATCGAGACGAGGGGGAAAAGCGAGAAAATGTGGTGGAGGCAGCTGAGGTTGCCTGGTGCACGGGTTTCTTGGGGGAGGTCAGTAGACGGTTTTTCCAAGGCAGGAATGACAGAAGAAATATTAAGGATTTCTTGAGGTGGTGGGTGAGCTGGAGGTGATGGTTTGGTGAATTTTCTGGAACTTTGGAGGAGTTTTCGTGGTTTGGGGAGCCACAGTGCTGGGAGTGAGCGGTGGTTGCGAAATATTGGAAACTTTTGAAAAAATGCGGTGGCTCCACTGTGGAAATTAAAAGTGAAGGAAGATTTGAAGAAGGGAAGAAGAAGAAGACAAAAAAGGTATTTTTTGCTTTTTATGAATTTATTGATTTTACTTGAACTTCATCGAATTTCCCTGAATTTGCTGGTTTTCTGCGTTTTCCTCTGTTTCTTCTTCCTCTTCTTCGTCTTCGTCTTCTTCCCTGAGACAACTGTGGATCCAGGGCCTGTTATCAGTTTACATTTGGGTTTGTGTAACTTTTCGTTGTTTGTGGATTCTGCATTTTTTTTTAAATTGGAACGGCGCCGGTTCCCAAAGAAGAAAGGCCCACGAGACAACAAATAAAAAAATTGGAATTAAGAGGTAATTGGGTGAAGGTCGGTTGGAGCCACAGAGTTAGTGGTTGTTTGAGGGCTGGATTTTGGGTGAGATGTGTTTTCTATGGTTTTTGGTTGATTTTGGTTGGTTTGGGGTTTAAAGTAATGCTATGGCTTTTTTATGGTCTAATGTTTTATAGCGGTTAAGTTTATAGTGCTTGGTGGCTGGGAGAGTCATAAGGCTTTCAGTAGAACTACTGATACTGTTCTTGAAACTTCAACTCTTTAAATTTCATTGATACTGAATGACGGTTTAGAACTCCTTTTTTACTGTGTTTCTTCTCTTAATCCACTATCACTTTTATTTGCTTTCTTTGTTGGTTGTCTATCTACTTACTGCTCTTGCTGCCTCTCTATACATATTCAACGAGTACATTATCGAGCTCCTAGAGCATCTCCTAATATTATTATCCAAACACAATCCAGTGCTTAATTCAGCCTTTATGAAGATACTACCATCCCTGGTTCATCCAATTGTGTTCTCTTACTTCTCTATTACACCACCGTTATGGCACCATCCGTAACAGAACTAACCCAATTTCTTGCATCAGAAAACACCAAGATTATGCAATAGGCAAATTCTTGATCGAGATCGTACGGCGGCGGCTCTGTTTTGCTTGGAAGCCGCCGAGGCGCCAAAAGGCACCAGCATGTGCTTCGTGGACCAGAACTGTGGATGCACTGAGAGCGAAAGGGACGAAATGGGAATGTAGAGGTTGATTTATACGAGTTTGGTTATTTCTGGGGACTAATTAGAAGGCTTTTCTTGGGAAGTAGACTCTTGGAACCTACTATCAGTTCTTGAAATCTGTAGTTCTGGTCTGAAGGGAAGGTTCCACTTTCTACGTTTCACCGATGATATTCAAGAAAGGGCCTGAAAGGGCTTCCTGAGAAATAGAAGCTCTCTTTGACGTTGTCACATTCTTGTTGATTTAAAATTGAACAAGTAGGTATGTCTATGTGGACGAGTAGTGTTATCTACATTGGCGGCTGTGAATGGACATACCGCTTTGCGTTACTTATTGGATTTCGTCATAACCAATTCCAAAAAATGACTGATCTTGGAAGGCTGTGGTTTCCATTTATAGGTCATATGTCTAGCAGCGTTATCTGATGTAATGTATGATACAATGACCAACTCAGTTTGGCCAATTACATAATATTCTAAACGACCACAAACCCAGTGGTCATGATTTTAATGACAAGGGGGGGCACTAAGGAGCCTCAAAATAGACAATTGTGATAGTGGATAAAGGATGATTAGAGTAAAAGGTGTAACAGAGTAAGTGTACCCTTAGACTCTACATGACTAGGGGCGTCACGTTAAGTTAGCGTATTCTGACAATGAATGGGTCAAGATAAATGTAGAATTGAAAAAGGTATTGACTATTGAATTGAGAGAGGTTGGAGGTATCATTATAGTGTAGTGGTCCAGTTGAGCTTTGATCTCAGGAAGTAAGATACTACTGTTAACCAACGAAACCTCTGATGTATCTCTTATTGCTTCCTTGTAAAGATAGCCGCTAAAATAGAGCAGTTCTTTAGGTCAATCGGTCATGGTAACAAAGTTTCAAAACCTGGTGGTTCTGGTTAGATAGTATGATGTTCTCTCTGTTCAGTTAGTTAAGACTTATACCAATGAACAATGTAGTTACCTAATCCCTTTGAGGTCCAACAAGAAAAAGAATGAATAAGCAACTGCTAACAAACATCAGTAAAGATTTGAATCGAAAATTAACAAGAAATGGCTTTGACCATTTACACTTACCAGATGAAGAACTGAGACCATTCAAAGTGACTTCCAACGCCGCTCTCAACTTTCTTCATACTTGAGTAATCCCAGTAGCTCAATTTAAGTCTCTTTTAAGTCTCTTCCACCGTCAAAACTTCCTCTTTCCATAAGACCTCATTTATCAATGGACCCTGGTGGACCTTCTCAGTCCTGGCTTCCAGCACCACCACCACACTTTACCATCTTCCCAGCAGCACCAAACTGAGCAGAACCACCAAAGCCCTCCCCCAATCAACCTCCCTTCTTCCCATCAAATTCTCTAAATCACTGGAACAGCAGCTGACGTCCTCTCCCTCTCCTCCCCTCCACTTCCCCTATCTTTCCACCACAGCAACTCCACAAACCCACAACTCCTCACCAAACCTTCCACAAAGCCAAAAACCACATCATATCACTTATTCCTATTTATAGCAAAAACCCTTTCTGTGCCACAAAACATGCATCCTTACATTGGCTGTGCCTTCACCTTCTAAACCCCTATGTCTTCCAAGAAAGCTTAATCTGTCAAAACAGCTTCTTACGTCATAATGTCTTTGACTTGACATTTCTATGGTTTTAGACTAACGCTTGAGAAGTGTCTAAACTGTTAAGCGAGACCTCGCTTAACCCCCTCAAATGTGTCAAAATCAAACAAAAAAAAAAATAAAAAATACCCCTTCCTAAAAGAACGCAAACCCTCCTCGTTTGACGTCATGACGAATAAATCTACTGTGGGGCCAAGAAACCATCCAGGGCCAAGAAATAGCCGAGTACATACTCCAGGGGTGCATCATTGGCTATCTATTCCATCACCAAACCTATAAATACAGGTTCTCTCCAACTTGTCTTTTCTCTCCACCATGAAGTTCTTTTATTCTGTTTTAGCTGTACTCGCTGTGGCCAACGCCCAGATCATCAAGGTCGACTCCAAGGGCCCTGAGTTCTTTGGCAAATCTGAAATCAACGTCAAAGACGGCTTCTTCAAGCCTTACGAGAGCTACCGTGACGACGCTGGCCATGATATTACCTACTTGACAGATGGCAAGTTGGAGACTGATGATGGTTTGCTTGTTATCTCAGATAACACTACACCTCTGTATGACGAAGATGGAAACTTAAACCACCCTCAGTTGACAGACGGCAAGAAGATTATTCCTGACCCAGATGGAACCTTGTATCTTCAGTTGTTGGAAAAGATTGACGCTGAGTACATCCACTTCAAGTGGGAGGATGTCTTGTTGGAGTAGGTGTTTGAAAGAATGCCATTTACGATGCTTTAATGTCGAGTTGTTAAGTTGTTTTACTTTAGTTCGTAGCCAAAGAGGGTTTATATTTTAAAGCTGTTTGTTTTATCAAGTGTAGAAGGGAACTGCTGGTGTTTATTTATAGCACTTTTGGGTCATAACTGTATTTATTGAAGTACTTTTGGGTAATGGGGATGTGATATTGTGTCATTATGGTCACAAAAGTGGAAGGGGGAAGTTAATGTCAAGGGGAGGAGAATAGGCGTTTTGGAAGTCAAGGGTGGTTTTCAAGTATTTTGGTGCTGTTTCTAAACCAGAATTAGATATTACCTTAACTCTGATAAAGTAGTATTATGAAATATAGTAAATTTTGAATTATTCGTTGTAAATTAGAGGAGAGTATAATAGAACACAAAACCAGTTGATGAATGTGAATAATGACAGAACAGGAATTCCAATTATGGTGAACAGAAAGCTTAAGAAATGGCCATTGGATTCTGTAGCAGTCATGTATTCGATTTAGCTAAGTTCATTAAGTTCTTAACTACTAAACTCATTTAATATAAGCATATTATGGGAAGTCAATAATGAAATATCCTAAGTAGTTAACCAATTGGCGTTATAGACTGACTCTCAAATAGTAGCTATTCATACATTACTTATAGCTACCTTTAAAGTTATAGAGGTTACTAAAGGTCCTTACTCTAAATCTCCAATATGTAACTTACATCTTTTAGACACCAATTGACATTTTCTAATTCAGAATATTAAAATAAACGAATCTCTAAAACTCACAAAGCGAAACAGAATCTCTTATATCTCTTAATAGAACTCATTTAGTAACTCTCAATAAATCTCTCAAAACTTTTAATTCAACTAGAACCTCTCCGTTTAGAGCTTCCAGATCTGGTTGGGGTCCTGGCCACCATTATAAGCAAACACATTAGGCGTATCCTCCGAAATATCCTTAACATTGCCTCTAGTAGCAAGCTTAAGGTACTGGGCCTTAAGATCACGAGGTCTAACTGGATTAGTGTTAAACTCGGACTGCAAGTCTGGGTGCAAAGAAAGGAAGTACGAGATCATACCAGTAACGTGAGGAGCTGCCATGGACGTACCAGTCATGGTTCTGGATCCCCAGAGATGGCTCACAGAGACGATATCTTCACCTGGAGCGTAGAGATCCACACAAGGCCCAAAGTTGGAGTGGATCTCTCTGACGTCGTTCTTATCGGTAGCACCAACGACAATGGCGTCTGAGTTCACCGAAGAAGAGTAACAAGCGTCCATGTTCTCGTTACCAGCAGCGACGACAATATGAATACCAGCGTCAATCAAAGCGTTGGCAGCGTCAGTGATATAAGTAGCCGTCAAGCCAGAAATAGACAAGTTAAGCGTAGAACCTCTGAAACCTGGAATCTTGGCTGCAACCTTCTTCTGGTGGTCTTTAAGTGCATATTCAAAGCCCTGGGCGACTCTGGACGTACGGACGATTCCAATCAACGTAGAAACATCAACTGCAGTGATATTCACCTTCTTGGCCACACCGTATGTCTTGGAACCAATAGTACCAGCTACGTGTGTACCGTGGCCAAGGATATCACCTTTATTCCATGGGAACTCCAAAGCAGCACCGTAAGAAGCTCTGCCTTCAAACTCTTTCTTGTCCACAGCAATGCCAGTATCTAAAACATAAGCATTGACGCCTTTTCCACCTTCATCGTCATAAACGTAATTCGACTCAGAAGGAATCTCACGGCTGGAGATTCTGCCAAGGCCCCAAGTGGCATCCTTTTGAGTAACAATGCTGGCAACTTCAAGCTCTTCGTCTTCTTCAACGTACTTGACCAATGGGTTCTCCTGGATCTGGTCCAAGAGCTGCTGGTCGAAATGACCAGCGTACCCTTTCACGCTGGCGACCTCAAAGAACTCCAATTGGTCGTCGTCGCCGTCTGGAATAGCGTCTCTTTTGACAGCCTGGTCCACGTTTTCCGAAATCCATTCTTTGTCCTTCTGCTTATCCTCAGCACTGATATCGTCGTTGTAGATAACGACGTACCTGGAAGGAGCCGGTTTGGCGACTCTGAGCAACGGAGCACGGCCATTTTCTCTTTTGAAGGATGTGGTTCTTTTGGTTTGGACGTTGGAAACAACGCCAGACTCGCCGTTCAATGGGATAACTGCTGCTGCTGCTTGGGTTGCAAGTAACGCAGGTATAGACAAGATCAGGAACTTCATGGTAATGATGAAGAAAACCGATATTCAAAACGGCGGGAATTGCCTCTATTTATACCTCTGGGAGGCCTGGGAGGCGCCACGAGACCTCCTGGGAAGCGGAAAGCACGAAGGGTTCTTATCAGAGAAGGTCCAACCGTAGCTTTGCGTTAACGACCGGGCACATCTCGGTAGAAGTTGCTTGCACGAAAGGTACTTCGCTTAAGCAGAGAAGGGGAGTTTTTGAAGAAGTAGGGAAGATATGGAAGTGGTGGAGTGTCAATTGGGCGAGTTGTGGGTTGTGGTAGTCAGATTTGACTGTGTTTGACAACTGAACTTTGCTGGACCTCTGGAGAGCTGCTCCTTCGAAATCAACCACAAAAGGAGGATCGAAGAATACCTGAGTAACACAAACATCAAAGGATATGTAATGCCAAGCCGGTACTAGCAGTTCTACATGTCACTTCCTCGGAACCATGGAAGGAGGTAGGTGGTGAAAGAATGGGATACTTAAAATGAAGAAAAAGCTTTAAAAAGATTTCTTTTTGGTTTATTTCAGTTAGTAACCGTCTCCTTGTATCACTTACTGTTTAACCTTTTTAGTTGGAGTCTAGTTGGAGTCTAGTTCCCGTTTTGTGTAACTTCATCCAGTGGACTGGTTTTGAGGCAGTTTACGATATCTCGCTGACTCCATCCACCCTGGTTGTAGTTTCCGTTTGGCGGTTTCCAGAACGTCGGCAACCCGTTTTGGGTTGCCATTGGTTGTTGCTTGTTGCTTGTTGTTGGTTCTTCTTGGTTGGCTGCTGGAAGGGTACAATGTATACTATAAAGGAAGTCTGGAAGGAGTTGGTTTTGTTCGACGTAGCGGGACGAAGGTTCATGCCTTGGCGACTTCTTGGACGTTTAAGGAAAGTGCAGATACGAAGAGTGGTGGAAGTGGAATATGGATTGGAAGAGATGGGAGGATATTGGATGGAGAGCAGTGGAAGGATGACAATTGAAGGAGAAGACTTCCTGGGGCTTTCTTTTGCCTATAAAACCTTCAAAAGGGGGAAAACAAGTAGTCATTATTCCCTTAGAGCCTCTTTGGTGCCCTCTGGGAAGCGTCTTTGTGAATAACGGTTGTCATGTCTGGCGGTTGATTTTACCGATAAATGGACGAAACGACGTCGACGACGTCGACGTACGTCCACATGGGCCCTCCTGGGCCCTGCCAGAACCACCCTTTTCACCAGTTTGCTTGCTTTTCAAACGAAAAAAAATGGCTGCAAATCCACTGTATGCTTCTTTTCTGCCTCAGCTTAAACCAGAACTTCCCTTCTCATCCTCCTCCTCCTTCTTCTCCCCCTTCCTCTCCTTAATCGTCTCCTCCCTGCCCTACACCTTCCTCTGTATCCCATTTATTTACAAGAACTCTATGCTACAGTCTGCGTCTCCTTCTCCAACGTCTCCATCGTCTCCAACGGCTCCTCGGCCTCCTCCTCGGCAGCCGCTCTCAACTCCAGAACGAAATCAAGCCCCTTCAATCTCATCTCGTCAAGAACAATGCTCTGGAACTTGGGCGTGAACGCAGGTAACGTTTCGTGCTCAGCCAAGTCCATTCTCCAGTGAGCGTCATCTCCCTTTCTCCAAACATTCTCCCAGTGGATCTTGGTGTTTTCCAACTCAAACTCGTCAATGACATGTGCCAAGTCGGCCACGGCTTCCTGTGAATGCGTGGGTCTGAACTGACTCCAGTACCATGTATTACCATCATCGTTCTTCTTTCTCATCAGCTTGGCCTCCTTTGCCTGGTGGATATCTCTCGCCTGCCTCAACTTCATCAACCCGTTATAAGCAGCAATAGCGTAGTTATAGTTAGAAAACGAAGCCACACACATGAGTTTCCAGAGATCGTTTCTTCTGGCTGGTCTTCTGTTTTCCCAGTTCGGACGTGGGAACAGCGCATTGATCTGGTCCTGGTGGTATGCTGGCACTTGCGAGTACATGACCTGGCCAGAAAAGAGGTTTTTGAACATGAACACTTGAGGAGCCAAGTTCAATCTGATCAAGTCTTCCTTTTTCTTGTAACCTTGGGCGATTCTGGCGCCGAGGATCTTACGGGCCTTGAGTTGTTCGAGGAGATGTTTCCTCATCCTCTTTTCGGCACTCAAACGCATTTGCGGCATTTTGGCTGGGGTTTATAGGGGGTTTTGCTTTGGGAAGGTAGGTGGAATGGAGGTTTTTGGTTTTCCAGGTTTTTCACATTTTTCGTTGATGTGGTCACGTGAGCTGGTGGGGGATGTAGTGGATGGAAGGGCCCAGCAATTCGGTTAAATATTGAAGGAGGAAAAGAAAGGAGAGTGGGTCTTGGGGTAGTTTTGGCCGCTGGTTAACGTGGTGGTATTGGATTTGTCTGGTCGTGTCTGTGCGTGGAGATAGCTGAAGACTGTTGTTTCCCGCTGTAGCGCGCTTTTCGCAGCCATTCAGTCCAGAGGGAAGAACCAGAAGCTCCAAGTCAACAGGACCCAGAGGGAAGGAAAATAAAACGAAAGTACTTTCCTGTGTTAAGCGGATTTTTAGGACTCCAAATATGCAACTATATTTCAAAAATTCCCATTTTTCGTCAATTTACCTGAACATCTTCTACATCCCCATACTATCACCACCAGAAGCCCATAACCTCCACCAATTGCCCCTTCTTCACCTCAAAAATCCCCAAGAACAATATTAACGCATTCTCCTTCCCCCAATAACCCATAATAATCCTTCCTTCTGCCCAGAACTGCCCTCCCTGTCCACTTCCCCTTCCCTCTCCAGACCCTCAGTTTCCCCCACTATAAACGCCCAAAACCCCCACTTCTTTCCACCACTTCCCCTTCTCCCCCAAATCTAACCGTACCACCATAACCACACCCCCTTTCTTACCCCAAATCGACCCTCCAATTCCCAAAACCACCCTCCCCTGTCCTTTTCCACCAACATCTCTCCAACCCTCTACCTCCCACCTGCACACCAGTATCACCATACATTCAGAACCCAGACTTTCCACCTTTCCACCTTCCAACTCCCACTTTTCCTCCCCATTCTCCCATGTCCAGCATCCTAGGCGCCGCCGTCGCCCTACCGGTGCTTTCTGCATGGATCTACAAATTTATATTCAACCACGACCTCATTCGAAACTCCCACTTGAATCTGTATAAGAACAAGGCCAGGATCAATGAAAAGATTGAAAAAGTCAACTACAAGCACGGATGCAAGCTTCTACGGGTGGATGTGGACGACGAGAGCTCAGAAATATATACACATAAGAACGACGCTTTTGCACGGCAGAAGTACGTGCACCGAACTGCTGGAGCTCTCTTTTCACTGGTGATAGCCATATCTTTGGAACTAGCGTTTGCGCTTATGGTGCAATTAACAGGGTTTATCGAATTAGATCCAATGCTTTTTCAGTGGGCGATTCGTTTGCTTGTGGTGCTTGTGGCGGTGGTGCAGCCGCTTCTTATTATCAGTCTCTATGTGACCCAGGACCTATCTCCACCTTTGGATACAAGCAAGCCAGGGGCGTTGTTTAAATGGGGCGTGACGGCGCTCTTGTGTATTGCCTGGTTTATGATTTTGGGCAGGGTGGGCTCGTTGGCCCATGCTTTGGAGGAACCGGGGTATAAGGACTCGAGGTCTTTTTTACAACACATCACTAACGATATTGTGCTTGCTGGAGTGACGTTTACGGCTATTTTATCGGGTGTGGGGTCGACGCTGACGCCGTTTAGATGGTTCTGGGAACGTTCTAGACGGAGAAAGGCCGAGGCGAAGCTTGTTAATGAAGTTACCGTGAATGACCATATTCAATCGTATAACAACACCAAGTCGCTTCTTCGCAAGCGCCAGCAGGAGTTGGAGAATGTGCTTTCGAAGAATAGCGGGTCGGTTTATAACGAACTGGAGCAGCCTGGCGTAAGGCTGTTGAAAGGGCTTCGAGGGTCAGGAAAGAAGCTTTTCAATAAAGTGCTGAGTTTCGCTAGTCTTTCGGCGTTTTCCAGGCTGAAACCTGAAGACCAGGAGCTTACGATGGAGATTGACTCGCTTAAGCTGCTTAAAGAGCTGATTTACGACGATGTGGCTAAGGAAGTGGAGAAGTTTGTGCGTACCAAAGAAAGAGCACCGCTTTCACAGACTATAGATAAAGTGGCGTCCATTGTGCTGTTTCTTTTTGCGTTTTACTGTGTTTACAGGGTTCTTAGTGTGCTTTTCATTCGGATTCCGTCCAGGTACTTCTGGGAACTGGAGAGTATGAAGACTAAGGATGCCTTGGCCATTACGATCGCCAAACTTATCCAAACAACTTTTACACAACTTCCAATCTCCGAACAGCAGTTAGTGAACCAGGTGAGTTTCATTCTTTCAGGATCCCTCTTCGCCTGTTCTCTTCAGAACGTTTTGGTTACTGTTAAAACACTCACACGAGTGCTTCCTGCTGCCACAACCACCTTAACTGCCCAAACCAAAACATGGCTTAAACATCTTCTTGTCAGTGAATTCCTAGCCATCTACATTGTGGCCACAGCCCAAATGATCAGGTCCAACCTTCCTCCAGAACTCAGTGGACAAATGCAAAAGCTTCTTTCTCTTACGCCCCAAGGCGAAGCAGACACAGAAACAGAGTTTTTAGATACTTGGTTTGACCGGGTATTCGGGATAACGTGCATTGTGACATTGGTGGTTTTGGCTGCGAAATACTTTGTGGAAGCCGAGGACGAGTATTATGATGAGGAGCTGATGATAGAGAAGCTGAATATTTAGCGACAGCGGCTTAGCCGCTGGAGCTAAAGCAGATCCGATGCCAAAGCAGCCCAAACCAGCCAAAGCAGCCGCTGGACTAAACATCTAAATTGCACCTGCTTCGAACAAAAACAGCTGATAAGAGACAATGAGGGGCACGGCTCGGGTCATTGTGGGCTGCCTTGACGAAAAAGCGCCAGGCGGCAGAGACTTCTTGGATCAGGAACAAGATCGACCCACAATTGCAGAAGAGAAAAAAAAAAAAAAAACGTGAAAAACGTGAAAAAGTAAGCAGATGGCATGTTTACGTGAAGCGTGAACGTGAGAAATTTCGCAGCCAGCCGTCCACCGAGGCTCCCCCGCGATGGGGCATCTCAGGAAAAAGTGAAATAAAGTGAGTTTTTTCCTTGGAAAAAACGATCTACTTATACTGACGAAGCCCCTGGCTCCTAATCTCCCATGCCTGTTCCACCTCGTTTTTTTTTTGATTGTTTTCCGGAGTTAGAGGCCCGGAAATACGTGTATGTCATTTTTCAGGTGAAGGTTATCTGCCCCCGCAATTCGATGAAAATCCTGCATGCAATGCCCCCAAAACCTACCCGCTGCTGCCGCCAGTGTCAACACAAAAATAAGATTCTATATCTCCTCTGCGCATCCACTTTTCATGTGCAACTGGCTTTCCTCGAATATATAGCAGGCCCACCGCACTGCCGATTTTTCGAGTTTTTTTGATTTTTTCCAACAACCCATTTTTTAAAAAATGTCCCTTTTGCACAACCCAAGACGCAGTCACCAGGACCCAGAACGCTACAGAGCCAAGTTTGAAGATACAAACGCAGTTTTGGGTCCAGACGTGGATTTCTACCAGGACACGTCGAAACCGGTGGAAAAACAAGCTCCAAAATTTCTATCATTGGAGCTGGCTTTGGCGGTATTGCTGCTTCGTTGATGTGTAAGAACAAGTGGAAAACTGAAGATTTTGCTGTTTTTGATAAGCACGAGGAATGGGGTGGAACCTGGTGGGCCAACACGTACCCTGGGTGTGCTTCTGATATTCCAGCGTTGTGGTATTCGATTTTCGCTGAACTCAACTCGAACTGGTCGACCTTGAGACCTCCTCAGTATGAGATGGAAGAGTACATTTTGAATGTGGTGAAGAAATATAAGCTTCATGAAAAGTCTCGTTTGGGTGTTGTCGTGCACGAGGCTAACTGGCAGGAGGAGTCCAGCACGTGGTTGCTTAAAGGTTCTAATATCAAGCTGGGCCAGATGTTTGAACATACTACCCAGATTTTGCTTAGTTGCAGCGGTGGCTTGGTTTACCCTAACCAGCTTAAGGCTCCTGGCTTGGATAAGTTTAAGGGTGCTTACATGCACTCGGCTCTTTGGGACCATAGCGTTCCTATCAAGGGTAAGAACGTTGTGGTTGTGGGTAACGGTTCTTCTGCTGCTCAGGTTGTTCCTGCTTTGATTGACGAGTGTGACGCTGCCCTGGTGACCCAGGTGTTCCGTTCCAAGCACTGGATCTCGCCTCCTCCTCCTCCTTTCTTGCACACCATCTATAGAGCACTTAGCAGGTTTAGAATTGGGCTTGTGCTTTTGCGTTGGTTTGTGGCTGTTTTCGCTGAAATGCGTTATCCTTTGTTCCAGGGTAACGGTCCTCTTGCCAGAATCCTTAGAGCCTTGAACCAGTGGCTGTGCAAGCGTTATGTCCGCAAGTACGCTCCAGAGTACTATGATAAGATTATTCCTGACTTTAAGCTCGGTTGCAAGAGACTTATTTTCGACTACAAGTACATTCCTTCGCTTAGGAACCCAAAGATTGAACTTAACGATACTGGTATTGATCATATCACTGAGGATACTGTTTACTTTAAGGACGGCCAGAAGGCCAAGGCTGATGTCATTGTTGCATGTACGGGATACTCCATTCCAAAGGCTTTCTTTAACGGTGTCAAGCTTACAGGAAAGAACGACATCAACATCCAGGAAATCTGGAAGAAGGAAGGTGTTAGCGCCTACAAGACCCACATGGTGAGAGACTCGCCCAACTTTTTCTTCTTTGCTGGTCCAAACTCTGCCACTGGTCATTCTTCGGTGGTTTCTGCCATTGAAAATGCTGTGGCCTGGGTAGGCAAGGTTGCCAAGCCTGTTGTGGATGGAAAATACAAGTCAGTTACCGTGAGCCGTGCCGCCTACTACCAGTGGTTTGAAACTACGCAGAAGCAGTTATCCACGGCGGTGTTTGGCTCGCCATTCGGTGGTTGCGTGTCGTGGTACACTGACGGAGACTACAACCCAACGACGTATCCATTTTCGCAAGTGCATTACTTTATCAAGTCGAGAATCTTTGGAACGAAGGACTTGACGTATGAGAAGGCTGACGATAAGAAGACGGTTTAGATAGAGGCCTTTGTGGCAGTATACAAGCGAAGGAGCAGGACTCTGTTGCTCGCCATATAGCAATAAAGTACGTAGGCCGCAGGCCGAAGTACAAACAGGTATGGAGGCCGCAAGGCCGACATACCGTTGGTTTGTAGATTCCATTAAATAAGAGTTAGAGTTAGAGATATCTCCATATGTCCTATTTTTAGATGACAATAGCTGTCAAAGGGTACTTTCATTGTATCTGGCGCATCGCTTGATTTAGAAGATGTCAAGTTGACTATTTATGCTCTTGTCTGGGCTGTTTCTGGCTTCCTGTGGCGTCTTTTGGCTACTTGGAGTCTATATGGGATGGCAGTAGGAGAGGATGGAAGTGAGAGTACCCAAAGTTACCGAAAATCTTCAAGAAGTTAATTTTTATACATGGTATCTGCTGCTTTTGTGAGTTACAGAGTCGAAGAGGCCCTTTAAGTTGATTTCAGCCACCTCTTGGTTGCCTCAGTTTGGCTGGAGTGAGCGGTAAAGGAAGGCTCCAACAGTTGAACCATTACATAAGGAAAATGCAGTTTTAAGGTTATTTTGAGATATTTATGCTGTTAGTTTCCCATTTTAACAATTTTCTAATATTTACCTTCTTTTCCTGGAAATGACTGAGCTGTGGTGGACGTTGATGGGTCGGTGAGAGGTAGGAAAGCAGTAGCTCCAGCTTTGAACAGAAACAGGAAGAAGGGGCCTCTAAAACAAAGCTAGAATAATCAGAAAAGGCTTGAATATGCTTTGGTTCGATTTTTTATATTTTCTTTTTTTTTTATTTTGCTATCTTTTGGTAGTTATGTGTATTTACATTGAACCTCAGAATCCACACAAAATATATAAAATGAGGAACATTACCCAATTTTCACAGAAGTTGTAAATACCCAAAATTCAAATCTCTTTAAATAAATAATAAAACGAATTCCACCAAACCAACGACCAGGACTCTAGCCTTTGCCTCTGCTCTGCTTCCTCCTAGGACCCTCAAATGCCATATAACCATGGCAAGAACAGACTCTACATCTTGGTCTTTCGTCTCCATACAAAGTCAACAAATGTAAACAAAACCCACCCTCAGCTCAATGAGCCTAACTCTCTTATGCTGAGTCAGTATTTATCCCCTGTTTCCCATCGTACCACTTCACAGTACTTAGGCCAGTACAGAATGCTATAGATAGGTCAATACCTAGAAGCCATGACTTCTTTGAGGTCTACGCCACCACCAGCCTTGTATTTTCTTAAATACGGAAACTACGGTTGTCCAGGCCTTTGCCAAGAGCTTCCTCTGTTTCTCTACATGCTTATTCAAGTGAGTCCCCAGGCTCTATGACCATACCAGACAGACCAACACTGCATTCCAAAACCGAGCTCCAGCAATGGAAATTCACAAGTATGTTGGGTAAATCCTGCCCCTTTTGTCCCTTTTTGGCATGGTGTTACTGCCAGTGCCAAAGAAGTTCACGAACCAGGTGAACTCTCGTCTCTACTTCTTGAATACAAGTAAGTAAAATGAAGTCCAACTGAAACCGTGCCTAGAATGTAAAAAGAGCCGATTTTTTACTGCTCTTTTATGCAATGCCATAGATCGCCTAGAAGAAATTCCCAGAAAGTTTCTAAAAGCCGTACAAGTTGGATGTCTCCCTGGCTGGTGCGGCTGGAGTTTGTTCGCTTAGGTGGGTTGTCAACGCAAGGTTGTTTAGCGCTGCAAGGTCCTGCGAGTCTATGTAGGAGATGCATAATTGAAAGAGGAAAGATGAATACAAGGAATGGTCTGATTTTTATGAGGATGGGATTTTCAGTGATTTTGGGGTTTGAGAGTGGTGGGGAGTGTTTCATTGGTTCCCATTGGCAGTCAGTGTTGTTTTATGTGTCCATTTTCCATGGAGAACCTGATTGGAGTAGACAGATTGAGCCATTCTTCTATTGGGAATCTGTAGAGGATAAAGATGGGTTGAAAGCATTTTTCTTAGTTAAATAAGGCCAATTCAATTGAAAGGATGATTCCCTAGTATATAGGAAATTGAAGGTGGTCCATTGGAGTAGGCAACAAGACATGGTCTTAGCTGTTGGACAACATCATACAGAAGGAAGTGTCTTTGACTTAATTGAACTAGGGCATCTGTTTTCATAAGGTGCAAGTAAAAGTGATGTAAAGAGTGTTATTGAAAGGTGTGAACAGCCAATTAATGTTGTAATAGGACAATGCTCTTACAGTGTAGACTGAAAGAACGATGGTACCATCAATTCGAAGGTTCCACTTGATTTGAACTTCCATATCTGAATTTTTCAGAAAAGAGACGCTAGATTATATCCAGTAGTAAGTTTAAACAGTCACTTCCGTTTATACTTCTATTGGCATTAGTACCTCCAATTTGTAGCACTACATTCCAGGTCTAAACTTGACATACTGAAGAATGACATCACAAACCGTTCCAGGATCGTGGAGAAGAAAGAAGAAATGAATTACTCATCATTTCACTCTACTTGGTATTGCCAGTTCATCTTTTTCAGTTGAACGCTTTAGTACAAATTGAAGACTCAGAGGATACAAGCCATGTTTGAACCAAAGTACATAAGAACAAGAACAGGTGCTGGTAAGGTGACTCAGAGTCTTAAGTTTTGAAACCAGCTTAGTATGACTGATTTTCAGCCTGTTTATTGCCCATTGGTATGGACAATTAATGGCTGCAAAATGACATGTAGAGGGCATTCTAAGAGTCACGTAAACAGGAACCACACTGAAGTTAGTCACGAATTGACACTACCAGGGCCAGAAAAGCCACGGCAAGAACAGAATATAACAATAAAAATTCCAAAGAACATAAGTCACCGTTGGAATTGGTGACGATATAGGAAAAACTGGGGGTAGAGGTGCCCAGTGTCCTATATGCAGTACATCAAGGTCAGTCAACCCCCAAATATCTCCACCCCCTGAGTCACCAGAACAGATTTTCCCCTCGGAGTCGGTCCCCAGGGCGTAATTGACCGTTACCCATTTACCTGTATTATCTTGATCTTCCCGTGCCGGCTGTGGCCGTCACTGGAAGAGTCCGATGACTCAAGCTCCTCACGTGACCTGCGTTTCACTACATATAAAGCACGAAAAAAAATTCCACCAACTACTCCCCTCCTAAAACCCCCAATCTGTTACGCTTCAGAACCCTAATCCAAAAAGCTGCCATGTCATCAAAAGCAGCCGTCCCGTTCTCCAGAGACTCCTTGGAGCAAGTGCTCAAAAGACGCTTCTTTTTCGCCCCAGCGTTCGAAATCTACGGCGGTGTTTCTGGTTTATATGACTACGGTCCTCCAGGATGTGCTTTCCAGGCCAACATCGTCGACACGTGGAGAAAACACTTTATTTTGGAAGAGGACATGTTGGAGGTCGACACGACCATGTTGACTCCTTACGAGGTGTTGAAAACATCTGGCCATGTGGACAAGTTCTCTGACTGGATGTGTAGAGACTTGAAGACAGGTGAGATCTTCAGAGCTGACCATTTGGTGGAGGAAGTGTTGGAGGCCCGTTTGAAGGGTGACAAGGCTGCACGTGGTCAGAAGGTCGAGGAAGAAGAGGAGGACGATAAGAAGAAGAGAAAGAGAAAGGTGAAGGAGATCAAGAACGTCAAGTTGGACGATGAGCTTGTGGCTGAGTACGAGAGTGTGTTGAACCAGATTGACGGCTACTCTGGCGAAGATTTGGGTGCGTTGATTAAAAAGTACAACATCAACAACCCAGCTACCGGTGGTCCATTGGAGCCTCCAGTGGAGTTCAACTTGATGTTTGAGACAGCCATTGGACCTTCTGGCCAATTGAAGGGTTACTTGAGACCTGAAACTGCGCAGGGCCAGTTTTTGAACTTTGCCAAGTTGTTGGAGTTTAACAATGAAAAGATGCCATTTGCTTCTGCTTCCATTGGTAAGTCTTTCCGTAACGAGATCTCGCCTCGTGCTGGTTTGTTGAGAGTGAGAGAGTTCTTGATGGCTGAAATCGAGCACTTTGTGGATCCAGAAGATAAGAGCCACCCACGTTTTGCTGAAATCAAGGACTTGAAGTTGAAGTTCTTGCCTACAGCTGTCCAAGAAGCTGGTTCGAACGAATTGGTTGAAAAGACCATTGGCGAGGCTGTTTCGTCCAAGATGGTTGATAACGAAACCTTGGGTTACTTTATGGCCAGAATCTACCAGTTTTTGCTTAAAATCGGTGTGGACCCAAACAGATGCAGATTCAGACAACACTTGCTGAACGAAATGGCCCACTACGCTTCTGACTGTTGGGATGCTGAATTAGAGACCTCTTACGGTTGGGTTGAGTGTGTGGGTTGTGCCGACAGATCAGCGTACGATTTATCTGTTCACTCTGCCAGAACCAACGAGAAGCTTGTGGTTAGAAAGCCTTTGGACGAGCCAAGAAAGGTGAACGACTTTGAGGTTGACATTGACAAGAAGAAGTTTGGTCCTAAGTTTAGAAAAGACGCTGGTCCAGTGACGAAGTTCTTGACTGAGAGAACTCAGTGTGAATTGGAAGACTTGGCCAAGGAGTTGGCTGACACTGGCAAGATCGTCACCAAGGTTCCAGGCGTCGAAGGGGAAGTGGAAGTTCCAAGCGAACTCATCAAGATTGAAAGAGTCGAGAGAACAGAGCACGTTCGTGAGTTCACGCCAAACGTCATTGAACCTTCTTTTGGTCTTGGACGTATCATCTATTCCGTTTTCGAGCACAGTTTCTGGGCCAGACCAGAAGACTCGTCCAGATCCGTCTTGTCGTTGCCTCCATTGGTTGCCCCAACCAAGGTTTTGGTGGTTCCATTGTCTTCCCACTCCGACTTGACTCCATTCGTTTCCAAGATCACCAACGCCTTGAGAAAAGCACAGCTTCCTTTCAAGGTCGACGACTCCTCGGCCACCATCGGTAAGAGATACTCTAGAAACGACGAGTTGGGTACTCCTTTCGGTATCACCATCGATTTCGATACTGTCAAGGACAACTCTGTCACTTTGAGAGAGAGAGACTCCACCAAGCAGGTGAGAGGCACTCTTGATGACATTGTCAACGCCGTCAAGACCATCACCTACGACGGTGTCTCTTGGACCAAGGGTACTGCCCACCTTACTCCCTTCGAGACCCAGTCTGAAGAGAAATAATGACTACAACGAGAAGCTTTCATATCTAAATTGCAAATTAAATTTTTTGGAAACACTCAAGCGGAGCCCAAGATTTCCGCCATGAATGCCTCCGAGTTGGGCTCTCTGCCAAGCAACTCCTTCAAGATGTCCAACACCTCTTTGGAGCCGCCGTTCTTGAGAATGGTATCTCTGTACTGTAATCCTCTTTCCACATTCATGGGGTCCGACTTGAAATGAGTGTAGTAGATATCCGTTGCAAACACTTGCGAGTACAAGTATCCGTAGTAGCCGCTCTCGTAGCCGCCAGCAATGTGACCAAAAGTGGCATATCCTCTTCCAGTGACTCCACCGTTACTAATAAAAGTCAATTCCTCTCTCAACTCGTTCCACAACTTGTCGAGATCAACAGAATCGATTTTTCCTTGTTCAGCGATCGTGTGGAGGTTCATATCGAAAAGAGCAAAGTGCAACTGGCGCAAATTGGCCAACCCAGTGTTGACGTGCTTGGATTTGATCAATTTATCAAGCAAATCTTCAGCAAGAGGCTCGCCAGTTTCGTAGTGGGAAGACAATTCCTTAAGTTCGTTAGGAGACCATGTCCAGAACTCAAGCATTTGAGATGGACACTCCACAAAGTCTCTAGGGACGTGAGTGCCATGGAATCTGACGTGCTTGGTCTTGGACAATAAACTGTGGACGCCGTGGCCCAATTCGTGGAAGAAAGTGGTCACTTCGTCGTGTTTCAACAAAGAAGGCTTGTCGCTTTTAGGTTTGGTGAAATTACACACCAACGAACAGAATGGCGTTTGTCTGGACCCGTCAGCCTTTTCGTAGCCTGCTTCGAGTTCAAATTCAGCAGCGTGGGTGTATTTACCTTCACGAGGGTGGAGATCAAAGAAGATCCAGCCTCTGAACTCGTTCTTTGGCTCGCCGTACTTGATGTTGGAAAATAAGGCGAACTTACGAACATCCTGGTGCCACACCGAACCGGAATCGGAATTGTCCACGCTGACAAACTTGACATCAAATAAGGTTTCGTAGAAACCAAGCATTTTCGAGATGGTCTGGTCCAACGGGAAGTACTCAGAGATTTTCTGGTGGTCCACCTGGTGCTCCTGCTCCAAGAGCAAGTTGTTGTAGAAACTGTGGTCCCAAGCAAAGTATTCATCCTGAGCAGGCAAGCCTTCAGCCTCCAAGTACTTCTTCTTGAAGGCCTTCATTTTCTGTAATTCTTGTTCGCCCAAAGGACTCAATTTGCCTTTCAAGTCGTCCAAAAACGAAAGCACAGTCTTTTGGTTCTTGGCCAATCTCTCTTCAAGCACAAACTCAGAATAAGTTTCGTAGCCCAAAAGCTTAGCGAGTTTAAACCTGATTTCCACAATTTCCTTCAAAATTGGAGCATTTTCAGGCACCTTATTCTGGTTTTCCACGTACGCCAATTTCCTGGTTTCCTCCTTCTTGGCATACTTCAACACCGGCAAGATATCTGGGTACTTGAACGTCACCTTGTACTTCCCCTGGTCAGTTTTTTCAAACTGTTCAATCACCAGCGGCGGCACGCCGTCCAAATCCTCCAAACTAAACTCCAAATGCCCATTCTCTTCATTGGTGTTCTTGGAAAACTTCGTCTGCAAATCAGCCAACCTCAACTTAAGCTTCTTCACCTCGTCTCTCTTCTCCTCTGGCAAGTCCAACCCATTCCTCTTATAGTACTTCACCGTCTTCTCCAAAAACTTCAACGTTTCCGCATCCACCACGTCCAGATCCTTGATCTTCTCCCACAACTTCTTATACACCCTGAACACCTCAATCCTCGAGTTCTGTTCAATCAGGTTCTGGTCCAACAAGTTCTCTGCCTCTGTTGATGCATCCCGAACCGCCTTATCTGGCGAAACGTACTGGTAAAACGTGAGCTTATTCACGGGAAAGTACTCGCTGTTTTCGTAATTAGTTGTAGGAATCAACACATTCTCCACCGTAGGCTCTTCAATGGCAGCTATCTGGTCATGGAAGGCCACGTCTTTTGCAATCAACGCTTTTGTTTCGGTTAAGATTTCTTCAGGCGTTTGCGTCCATTTGGGAAGCGGCAACTGGGCGGCGATTGAGTGGAGGTCGGTCATTGGGGGTTTGAAAAAAGTGGGAATTGGTGGGAAACCTGGGGAAACCTGTCTCCTTATATAGTGCGACGCACCTGATGTGAGGGACGAAAGGAGGGGAAGGTTTGGAAGGGCGAGGGATAAAAAGAGGAGGGCAAGGGGGAAAAGGAGGTGTTTCTGGGGGAACCAAGGCATTGGAAGGTACTGGAAGGGAAGAAATTGGACAAGAATTGGGGAGTTGCTGGAGGGTTTGGAAAGTGTGGATGGTTGGGAAGGCTGGAAAATCCTGCATATAAGACCTCGTTTTTTTGGTCTGACAGGGCCATTCGCTTATACGGCTTCAGATGGTTAGTGCCATGGGAAAGGAAGGATTGAGGGGTGGGGGTGGCGTGGAGGGTGGTTTTAGAATGGAAGGTGACTCGGGTCACGTGGTATAGGGTTTAAGAGTGGTAATTTCTCGGAGATAACCGGAGATAACCCGGCGTTACCGAGAGTGCCAGGTATAGACGTTTTTCGCAGCCATTTGGCAGAAACCAGAGGGTCCAGATATTAAGGTTAGTTTGATTTTTTGAGGTTTTCGTTGGTTGGAATGGATTCGTCGGGGCCGAATTGTAGAGGCTACCTTTTTTCGGCTCTTTCTCGCCATTGGTTGCCGTTCCAGGGCCGTTCCAGGTTTTGTGGATACTGGTTGGTTTTGGTGGATTTGGTGGTTCTTTGGTTTTGTGTGTTTTTGGGGTTTGGTGATTTTGGGGGAAATTGGAGGTGCAAGAGTCAGTGGGGGAGGTGGTGGAGTCAGGGTGGTTATTTGGTGGAAGTGGAAGGAAGTAGAGTTGGAAATGGAGGGTTGATGGAGAGGATAAATAAGAAGATGTGGATTTCTTGGAAGGTCAATTGGGAGTGAATGGATGGTTTTGGGTACCAGGAATTGTCTAAGTTACTGGAGGAGCTTTGATAGACTAATAAGTAGTGGGTAGCTGTGTATTGGTGCTGCCTTTGCTTTATGGTGAATGGGTAATTGTAGTATTAAACAAGGGAAGCTACAAAGAGCAACTGGGGAAGTTTGGATTTATTGAAGGTAGAAGTATTGTAAGTAGAGCTGTTGGATTGTCAATTGGAGTGTTTCAGGTAGATGTTGATGGTTCTTATTACTATACTATTTAGGGTCAGGTGTAACTTACAAGTAGTAAAGGTAAATACTGAAGTAATTAGAATTTACTGATAATTCAAGAAGATGAGTAGAAGAGGGTTTCTACACATTTTGTTATTTTTATACATCTTTTAATGTTTCATCAAGAGAATAGCTTGTTTGGTATTACTAGAAAGGAACTGATCAGCAACTGACAAGCCATTTATTATGGATTTGGGCTAAACAGCTCAAATCTGCTTTTACTAAAGAATGGAATTGGCAAACGGAAGTTTTTTGTATAATTAAGTGTTGTTCTTCTGCTTTTGTAACAGGTATCGCCAGATGCTTACTCTTCAAGGAATGATATACAGTAATATACATAAGTATTACAAAGAAAACTACTTATTGTGATTTGATTAATTGATTTTCAAAGCTTTTCAAATAAACTATACAAAAAATCTATTATCATTTTAAGTAGATGTAATATAGTCTTATGGTATTCCTCTAAAGACAGTTCATAGTAACACATACATTCTACACAACAACCATAGCACTAAAACAACGAAGAACCAATTGATACCGTTCTAGATACTCTTATTTGGTACACTATTTGCCATCTAATAGTCATACAACTCGATGATACTACCTGTTAACTGATATGTCGAACATAAAACAATGCTATGTTAATAAGAGCCTTAAAAATGAATATATGATACAATACACAAAAAAATATAGTATAATAAAACTAATTATATATACATACTCTTTTTTGTTTATGCCTCTCCCTGCTTATACCTTTTGATTATACCTCTTGTTGCTCATATCTAATACCATTCTACAGCTTCCTACTAAAACCAACAATTCACAAAATATACCATCCAAATGCACACAAGCTCATCGTTTCCTTCTATATTCCAAGAAACCCAAAAAACACTCTATTCCACACTTCCCTTTCTTCCACCACTACACTCCCACCACAAAACACATAAATTAAACACTAAATCCACATCAACCTCTAATTCTTCGTCACCTGGTGACTATAGTAATCCTCAGTCTCAAAATCCCACAAGAAACTCACCTCATCTGGTCTATCTCCAGACTCACACTGCTGGGCGTAATCCACCCCTTCCAATCTCTTCTCCACGTACTTTTCAAACGTCGAAAGCTTACACGAAAAGCCTGGGCCGTCCTGGCACGCCTTAAGTGGAAACACAGCGTCATTCAAAATAAACCTCACAAAACTGTCCTCTCCACACTTTAACTTTTCAGTATACAACCTAGCGCCCATAGGGAGCAACCTGGACTTGGAGTATGGAAGCGGGAACGGGACGTAGTCAATTGGAAGTGGATCCAACTCCTCTTCAGTTATTCCAAGCGCAGAAAGGTAATGTTCAATGTTGTTATCGTGAGTAAACGATAAAGCTACCTTCTGGGGAGGATTATCTTCCTTCAAGTACTTAAGCGTGGCCTTTAAAAACGGAGCGCCTATGGCTTTGGTCATGTAGTAGCCTGGACCCATGGAATAGTAGAAAAAGAGGTTCTGGTTGTAGCTGAGCTTGACAAACTCTTCTGTGTTGAACACATTACAGAAGGGCGAAGAACCCTTGACGTTGATCTCGTAGGCACACCAGGAAATGAAATTGTGCAATTCGTTGATGGTCAAGTTGAAGTCTTCGTTTCCCTTGAGTACTCTGTCAAGAGTTTGGTAGATAAACCTCGTGCTATACCGTTGGTGCTCGTTGACCAGATCAGTATAGTTAAAAGCTCTGCAACCCAAGCTAGGCGTTAAAGTGTTGGCTCCAAGAGGTCTTTCTTTCTGGAGAACAGCAAATCTGGCCGTATCGTTGCCGTAGCCATCGCCAAAAAGTCCCTGGGCAAAGTACCTGGCCGTAGCAAAGCACCTTCTGGAGTCAGTAGTGAAAAGCGTCAAAGGAGCATCCAGACTTTCGAAAAGCTCGTTGTAGCGGCCTCTAAACGCAGCGCCATGGTTTAAAGCGTTGTTTGAACCGATATAAGGCCCCTGGGCATTAAACGGAGTGGTGAGTTCATCATAGTTGTTCTCATCAGTGACAAAGTACTCATAGTCATTGAGGAAGGCCAATTCGCCCACAAACGTCTGGTTATAGTTTTTGATCTTTTCATAGATACCCTCAAACCGTTTTCCAACTGATTTGGATGGGTACCGTTCGCCGTGTCTGGAGATCATATGGACTTGTTCCACAGTACACTGGTCAGGCACATCTGGAGAGATTCCGTAGCCAGGGTGCTGGATATATGGCCCAGCGCCGTTCAACTGTTTGATCAAGTTGTACTGCTCTGTAGCAGCCTGGTTGGGGGTTGCCACGTCCTGGAAGACCGCCTGGGACGTAAGAAGCAACCCGTTGTTAAGGATTTGAGAGATAGAGACCATGAGATGATGTTTTGCTTTTTTTTTTGGGATTTCTGGGGTTTATATGGATTTTCGGGACAACGTGGGTGATGGAGGAGCTGGTTTTGTGGATGTTTTCATGGTCGTAGAGGTTTAGTGGTTGGTTTGGAGGAGGTGGTGAAATGGCTGCAAAATGGGGGTTTGAGGGAAGGTAGTACAGTTTATGGAAGTGGAGGGCAATTGGGGTACTTTCCTTCCAGGTCTGGGGACCTGAAAGGGCCAAATTGTATAGTTTGGGTTGTCTTATCTTTGTTGTTGGAGTGAAAAATACACCCCAATTAGCCGAGGTGCTTCCAAGCGGTTACTGACGAAGACCCTCGTGCTTTGAGATAATGTACGTTTAATAAACGGCTCCAAAATGCCAAGACCTGACGTTTGTTGTTTTTGCTGTGGTTGGGTGGTTGTTTTTATTGGTTTGCTCCAACGTGGGGTGCCGTTTGGTGGTGGTTGGGCATTGGTTGGTGGAAGTTTGGCTGGTAGCGGCTTCCGGTGGTCAGGCTTGATCAGGAAGGGGAAGAACGGGAGGATTGGTTTTGTGGACCAAAGAGGGTGACTTTTTATTGGTTGAAGTGGAAGAGGAACTTGGAGAGTTGGAGGTGGGAGAAGTGGAGGTGGGTTTGTGGAAGGAAGGTTTATTTAGTGGATGTGGTGGATGAAAGGAGAAGGGGAATGGAAGGGGAAGCGAAGAAGGTGGAAAGTAATGGAATTGGGTCGATTTTGAGTGGATTTGGAAGAGGTTTGGCGAAGTTTACTGGAGGTATAGTAGACAGTGTAGATGGAGTGGTAGAGGAAGAAGTAGGTAAGGTAATGGTAAAGGGTGGCTTTACCTGATGATTTTAACAGATTAAGTTTACGTTTAGAGCTGCGTAGGGGAGAAATTGATGGTTTTCGTGGTCTTTTTGGTCGTTTATTGGTCTTCTGCTGACTGCTTTTGGCTGATATGGCTCACTTGGTAGACTTGGTGAGTGTTTTTTGTTTGGGAGGTTTTGGGTGGTGAAGAAGGTTTGGGTGGTGGAAAGGACGTGGAATTGAGTGGAATGGAGTTATTTAGAGGTTTGTTTGGATTGTTGGTTCCCTGGTTGTGTGGTATTTGGTGGATATTGGTTAATGGAGGAGAGAGGGCAGAAATAGTTGACAACCTGGGCCTCAAATTCTTCAATTTGTTCGGTAACGGCTGAAAATAGGCTAAATTGGTAAATGGAAGGGTTTCTTAGGTTTATTTATGGTTACTTCTGTAGGTACTTGGGTGGTTCCATAGGATATACCAGGAAGAGGAATAGCCATGTGAAATTGGGCATGCTATCAGTGGAGCTCTAAAAGTAGAAGAATTGGGAACTACGTAGGTACTTATATAGGATGCCAAAGAACGAATTGCGTAGTACTATCTGTTCCTGACTTACGTAGTGGTTTACTGTCTCTCTATGGTTTTCACAGAATGAGCCATTGAAAGATACCTGGAGAGATTGGAAGTAAAAGTAGAGCTTCATAGTAAAAAGGACGTTCGAAGGAACCCAAAAAGTTCAATAGAACCAAGAAAATGATGCTTTGTTTGTAAATTGGTGTGGGTTGTTTCCTTCTTGGTATATGTCCAATGAGGTACACGTATTTCCACCATTTCACCCTCCAAAAGCACCAAAATTTTTCTAGGGCATCTTGGAATACATAAAAACAATTCAAACTGCTTTTCAAATAATTTAAACAAACAAGACGCAAAATCAGTATCCCATTTGCAGCCATTCCACTCAAATAACTTTAAACCCATTTATCTCCACAACCGCGCCAGCTGGAAAGCCCAAATTTCTACAAAAATTACTTCCAAACCAGGTCTATCCAATGAAATACTTAAAATATGGAAATATCAATGTTTCATCAAAACACAGTACTGTTACTGACATAACCTCTTTGCATATCAAATCGGGCGTGTGGTCTAGTGGTATGATTCTCGCTTTGGGCGACGATCTGGCTCACCAGATTGACAATACAAACATGCGAGAGGCCCTGGGTTCAATTCCCAGCTCGCCCCTTTTTTCAAAATCCATCGCCAGATGGATTTTCTTTTTTGAAACTTCTTTCTTCAATTTCTTCATTTTCTCTTCCTCTTCTTCTTCTCGTTTATTATATTACAAAAACCTCCATGAGCTTGCCGAAATCGATGCCGTCTCCCGTAGAAATATCAAAAATCTTAAGTCCCTGAAGACTGAAAACTCCTTTGGAAATACCAATAATGTCAAATTCAGATTCGAAAACAGCGTTGGGTTCCACTGGTCCGAGCCGAACATCGTTCGTCAACATAATCACTCCACACGTTTCGAGCTTATTTTGATGGTACTGGTTATAAAGCAGCTGACGATTATGAACAAGCACTTTCAGCAGATTCGTCTCTTTCACGCTGAGAACGTTCGACAGCGAGACACTGCTGGTGGCGCCGTAGTTGGTGGAGTAAACAGGATTGAATTTGAGTGGGTTTTTCACAATCAACGAAAGGTGGAGCGTTCGCTGGGAAAGGTTGATCGCCTGAATGCTGAGGGTAGCTATTTTGCCGAGTTCCACGTCGAGTTTGCCGAGAAACGTAAGTCGTAAGCCTGAAAGCGATGTGTTATTTGTAGTTGTAAGGTTGACAGTTACAGCTGACGAAGACATGGGAGGTTGCTGAGATAGAAGCGAACGGAAATTACGTTTGGCTGCTGATTTGCCCATCACTGGCTGGCTCTGGCCGACTTGTGTAAGTGCATTTGCCAGTTGGGTTCTGCCTGGCGCTGGGTTTGGCAGTTTCACTCGTTGTGGAATGGCAAATGTCAGTTTGGACGTGGGAGTTCCAGGAGCGTTGATATACGGCACGTTGGGCGACGAATTGAACGTGGGCGTGCTGAGGTATGCTTTTTTATGAAGACTTTGCGACGAACGCAGTCTTTGGGGCGTTTGAAACTGCAGTTGCATTTGGGAATGGGAAATGTTTGAAGATGACTTGAGTGAGTTGCTGATGGGCGGCGCCATGAGTCCAAAATCAAGAATGGGAGTCCATGAACTCAGAATTTTCGACCCAATTTGTTCATAAACGGAGCCATTGAGGTTTTCCAATTGGAATTCAAGGGTGATATAGAAAGGCTGGGTCGTTTCGGGCTGTTCGTTTTTTAACTGGTTTTCCACGTTATTCACGAGTCTATAAGTGATGGACGTGACGTCGTGGATACCAAACCGTGCTGGAAGATCCATACAAGAGAGTTTTGTCACTTTTCCAGAAGGCAAGTCGACCGAAAGACTCAATATCGAAAACAGTAAATTTGCGTACCGTTTTTCAGCGGCAAACCCAAGCAAATCTTCCGAAGCCTCAATGCTCAACGAACTAAGAAGAATATCGTTCCTTCCGCCAGGTTTCGTAGATTTAAGTTTCATCATAAGTGCCAACTGAACAGGAAGCGTTTCACTGGCCGTGACCGTTTTCGGGCCGTACGCTTCCTTCGCCTCTTCCAACGTCTCCAGCTCGCCATTGGCGCCATCGCCACCTCCATTCGGTCCAGAAATACCTCCATTCGCTGGAACACACGCATCAATCATCAGAGCCTGAAACGTCACCGCTTTGCCCAATTTCAGCCTGGGACTCACCACCACAGCACTAAACCGCCACATGGCCACGTTTTCAGCCTTGGTTTCAATCTCTGACGTTCCCTGGGCGACCAATTCCGCTCTGACCTCTGTAACCTCGTCAGCGTCCAGATTGACCGGTTTGAGGCCTGTTTCGGCGTGGTTTTCGAAACTGTAAGAGACTTGCACGTTCTTAGGGGCTGGGGATATCGTGGAACGGTGTAAAACGTATCCTTCGATGGTTTCACCGGAAAAAAGCGTGTTTCGCTTGGAAGTGGTGGATAGGTTGATGTAGAGGGCGTCGAGGTCGGTGTCGGACGGGTGGAACGCCGGGTCGGGCACGACTATCGAAAGGGGCATGCCGAGGTTTATATAGGCTTATTTTTGGGAGGGTTTTGCAGGAAACTGGAGTAGTTGGAGTTTTTTGGAAAGTGGGTTTTCGCTGTTATGTATTAAGTGTTGATGTGTCACGTGACCAGACTTCTATTTTTAATGATCCCAACGCTACAAAAGGGGTTCTATGGAAAAGTAGAGGAGGGTCGCCAAGGGGATGGCGATGTGGAGGGCCAGAGATAAATAGGAGGTGAGTTTTGGCTTTGGTTGGGACGTGGCTGGGACGTTTGGTTTGGGGGTCGTGCGAGGTTCATAAGTGCGGTCGCGAGTCTTGGCTTTTTGCGTGGAAGAGGCTATTTCTTGGGAAATGTTCATTTTTGATGGTACCAATTCCCTTTTTGTTCTTCGTTTTGGGCTCTTCTGAGTCCTAGGAAGCAGATTGAAAGAATTGAGTTTGGTTGGGAGCGGCAGTTTCCCGTTTGGGACCTTCGCTTTGACCTTCCTAGAAGAGACAGACACCCAAGCGTCAACTGGCACTTTGGGGCTGCTGGGCTGTTTCAAACTTTCCAGAGCTGTTTTTGACTTGGCCAGTGACGTTGGAGTCGACCGCCTGGACCTTCCTGATCCGGTAATTCCCTCTAGCCGTACTCTTTTCTTCACCTTCATCTCACATTTTGCAGCCATTTGTTTTGCCACCAACACCACCGATTTCTCTGGAAGTTTTTGAGTTCCTAGTACTTTCGACCAGAGCGCATCGTCTGATGCTTTTAGATTTTTGTTTGAACCAAAACTGACCGAGTTATAGTCAAATTCATCAAAATCACCAAAACGAGCTTTTTCAGCCAAACCTCCATCAATTTCCATACTTTTTGGATTCTCTGTAGTCCCAAAGATCTCAAGAAGCTCTTTACGTGTCTCTTCGGTCTTCAAAACAAACAGGGAACCTCCAAAAGTGAAATGTTCATGCACTTGTGGTTGGTTCTCGATATGATGTTCCTGCACACACTGCTCCTCCAAACCCAGATAAACCTCCGTCAATTCCACCTCCAGGTCCAGAAAATCACTTGGCGAAAGTTCCAATAGCGTCGAATTGACTTGCCTATTTGGATGGAACATCTGGATGTAGTTGGTTTGGAGTTTTTTGGAACTTTCAGCTGTTTGTGAAAAAATGGCTGCGAAAGTACAAACCCTCTTTGGATCCTCATGAAAATGCTCTATTTTTCTATAATCGACGAGTGGAAAGGAAGGAGAAGGAAGGGACAGAGTGGATGGTGAAATTGGGGATGCTGAAAGGGCTCAAAAGGTCTGGGAAGTGAAAAATGGACACTTATGTGAACCAACATCAAAACCAACACCAACACCACCGGAAATAGACAGTCCTGGCAACTCAGGATATGAAAAGGGAACTCTCTGCAGCCTTTCATGCTTTGTTGTGTTCTTCGTGTGTTGCTGGATGACGTTGGCTGGCCTTATATATACAGATAGGCAGAAGGTCAATCACCTCCCAAATCAGACCAACGTCAACGTAGCAAACCAAAGCAGCATCAGGGAGTTTCCTGAAACTCATTGATGGTTCCAAGAGTGGATATTGATTCTTTGGACGAGGTTTGCTGAGCAAGTAATTGAATATGTTTTGGTGAAAAGTAACCATAAGCTTTAATACCAAGATCAACGTCAACCAACGTCAACCAACGTCAAACGGCAATAACTCAACACCAAAATAACGCAAAGCAAACTCCAAACACTCCAGAGCCTCCAATCAATTCATCAACGCTCCCTGGCCAAATAAACACTCAATTTCAACCACCAACGTCAAAAACCTCCTTCTCCTTCCTTCTCCATCTCGTCTGGCCATGCCGGTGGCAGGCCCTATGCTATATTCGTAATTCGTGCCGTAAACAACTCCTTCTTCAGACGGTCTCCTTCGACTCTGTATCTTCAATTGGCGCCGTGAGCATCTGTATTCCTCGCATAACAACGCCAAAAAGACACCCAATGGTGATACAGAAAAGCGTCATGCTGTAAATTGCCGACATGTAGCGGAACGCCGTCAAACCGTTGTATAACCGCCAAAGCTCGATATTGGCCTGGGCCATCGTTCCAAGCGGGAAAGTCATGGACCAGAACCCACGGTTAAACCTGAGCATGCCGTCGAAATACCTCATGGCCGGCGATTTGCTGCTGTTTCTGATACAATCGAGGTTTGGCTTTTTGGCAAAGGGGCGTGATTTGGAAAGGGTGGAAGCTACTGCTAGAAACGTAGCAAAGTAGCCAAATGCAATAAGAAACAATGCAGCAGCCGTTGAACAAACCATGATTGAAACAGCCATCATGGTTGCAACGTTTCCAATATCAGCACCGATTTTTTCAGCTCCTTCGTGGATAAACGTGGTATATTTCGACAGAATCACTTCGTCGTGGTTCTCCATAAGCATGTTAACGCAATTCTTTCCAAAAACAAGAATTCCATATGCTCCCTGGCCCAAAAACCCAATGGGAAGGTACAAAGTGAACACTGCAGCTGTAGCAGGAATCTTATGAGTAAACAAACGCCAATAAACCACCGTAGTGATAATGGAAGCAAAGAAAACTGCCACTGACCACATCAAAAACAGCACCACGGCGGTTATCACCTTCACCTGGACGTTCGGCAAGTCTTCAGCAACGTTCCCGCCCATCAGCGCCGCCACAGTAAGCGTAACCACAGGCAAAAGGTACGTAAATGAGATATCTTTATAATCAACCAGACGGTCCAAGTGACGATGTTTCGCCAAAAGCGCCAAAAACACCGTCAAGAACGCAGAATACACCAGCAACGCCGTGGCAACCCACCAGAGGCCCCAGAGCGCCCAGATCCACGATCCTCGTGTTATAGAATGAAGAAACATCATCAAGGCAGTGTATCCCATGACAAAACAGCCAATGAACGGCGCAACCTGGGGATCTCTATGGATTTTCGTCCAAACGCCGTCTTTCCGTGAAAGAGCCAATAAAAACGAACAACTCGCCAAAATAAAGATCAAAAGCGAAATACTGCCCATTATATAAGCACATATCTGGAGCCACCGGGCTGGGAACGCAAATGAGTATAGAATGTTGGCTGAAATGGACGTTCCCATGACGGGAGCGAAGAAAACGGGGTGGAAACCATCAACAAGAAAGGTTTTAGCGTTTTCGGTGAAGTTTCGAAGCCTGGAAGAAGCTTTTTGGATGAGTTCTGAGTTTGTATAGGTACTTTCAGAAGATGAATCTTCAGGGGGAACGTGGGGGCGAGGTTTTTGCCGTGGGGGCGGGGGAGGGGTTGGTTTGGGGGGAGGTGTCATAAGCGCATATAGTAGGGTTGGAAATTTAGTGGTTGGGTGATTTCTGGGGGGGATTTGAGGTGGTACTTATAGTTGAGAGGAGATGGGGGAAAGAGTCAGAAAAAAGTGAAACATTTGTGCGAAGAGGCGTGACGCCACAGAAATGTGGAGGCCCGGTGGGTTGGCTGCCGGATTGGGTAGGTACCGCCACGGGGTCCGAGGGTAACCGAGGGTCAGCGTGGGCCACCGAGGGGGGCGGGCAACGTGCAAACCGAGGCTGACTTGCCCGAATAGGCAGGTGCCGTGGGGGTTGCCGAGGGTCGTGCGCGGCTCAACCGGGGGTGACCCACCGAGGTCCTCGGTGGAACCGAATGAGACCGGTGGGACCGGTAGAGCCAAGCAGGCCGTGCGTTGACATGCGTTATTATAGAGTTAGGCGAGGGAGGCGCATTGACAGATCGGTCCTTGACCGCCAGGTCAAGGGCCGTGGCCAGCCATCTAAAATCAATCGAAGTAAACCTCTTGAAAATGTCAAAAAAGAAGGACACTGAAAAAGTACCGAAAAAAGCTTCGGCTCCGGCTTAGGGCCCGCCGTTGAAAGGTTAAAAATCTCGTAGATGCAGATACCGTCTTAGTGCATTGTCTGGTGTAAAGTCTATTTTTGTCAGCTACGGCGATTTAATGTGCTCAAGGTTGGGTAGGGTTTTGGATTGGGCGGGACGAAGAGGAAGTGGAGGCGGTGTGGATGGTGAAGGTGAAATGGAGGTGATGTCACCGAGTGAGTCATGGAAAAGGGCAGTTAGGGAATTACGAGAAATGGTGAAATTATGGAGTTTTGGGTCTTTTGGGGGTTCTATTGATGGAATGGCGGGTTCCAGTGGATTTTAGAGGTTTTTTGAAGTCCAGTGGTGGAAGAAGTGAAGACGTGAAAGAATTAGGGAAAGTCTGTGCTAAGTGGTAGAAAGAGTACTTAGTATATGTTGATAAGTGAAAGTGTTCTTTTAATTATTGTATCATTTTAGTTACATTGCCTTCTGGATCTTATAACGCTCCTTTATTAGAGATAGTCTTAAGAGAAAGAGAAGATCTCTGGTAGTGAGACTACTCAGTATATGGAACACTAAAGATCTCTCTTAAGTAGTACCACTTTGAAGTGAACAGTTGTCTGGATCTTAAAAGATATCTTTCTGGACCAATTCTTTGCAACTTATGATACTTCATTGGAAGGTGACCATGTGGTGAAGTTTAGAAGAGTCTGGTCAATTAAAGGTAACCTTAAGGATTTCAAACAACCTTTTTCCACCTCTTTTCATTGAAACATCGACTTTCCTTATATAAATCTTTCTTCATCCACTGGCGCTTCTGTGGTGGTATTCCCAGTCAAAATGACTTTATCTGTAAAGTCTACCATTCCATTTGTTCACGTTTCCACTTCTTGTTTTCTTATCTCCATCAGAAACGCCTAAACTTGCTCCTAGTGAGAGACCTCTTTGCTTTTGTGTAATGAAGATATCAAATCCACACTACCATCGCCAAGAAGCGCCTGTGGAAGATGAACTTTCCAGCCAATTCCAGCAGCAAGAGAGATATTGAAGGCTTCACTATCAATCTCTGAGTCTTGGACTTATAGTCTGTACTGGAGCAATAAAGGTTCATTGATCAGTGGAAGTGCAAGTAACACAATGAACAGGAACAAAGAGGACTTTAAATGTTACGGGCCAGTGGAAACAATGAAATAGTATCAGATTATACCTCTTTTAAGTGCTGATATGTCTCTTTGTTAAGTGTTGATGGACCTCTATATATCAGTGGACGTGGAAGTGGAAGTGGAAGTAATGAACAAAGAACAAGTAGAAGTATGAGTTTGATCAGCAAGTCAGGAAGGTGAAGTGGAAGTCAGAAAGTGGATATATAACATCTTTTTGTGCCTTTCTGAAGCTTTGATGGTGATCTCAAGTGTTGATGTACTTTTCAGTATATGATTTGAACTGGAACGTAGAAGGATCATAGATTGGAAGTCACTAGTTCGAATTCTTCATGAATGGATGAAAGCAACGCCTTTATTGCATGGAAATGATATAATATACCTGGAGAAGAGAAGTAGACATCTGGATCTGCCTCTTGAAGTGGTTTTGGCTGTTCATGGAGGTCTTCAAAGGAAAGAACAAGTCAACGCTTGGCAGATTGGAGTTCTTTAGGCCTCTTAAGATCTTTAGGAAGTTAAGAGAATGACCGTTTCATCTTTAAAAAGTAAGTTCTTCCACTTCCTTTGAAATATAGAGTGCTCTTTAAGTTCAACCCAATAAATATCCACCAAATTTGAACTACCAGGGAACCCAAGGAACCCTTACCACCTCCACCAAACAGCCATCAACTTGAAACTTCCATCAACCCCGTAAACCCCCAAAAAATGCCGTTTCATGCACTTTCACATCCGCCAATTCTTTCAATTCCACGTAACTCGGGCCCCACCGGCCCAAAAACATCCAGAAAAAGACCCAACATGGTCTTGCCACGTCAGCAACTCCACAGAACTAAATTCCAGGTTTAAAAATAGCCAAACTCCTCTTCCCTTACAACATCCACTTCGTGTATACTTATCAGTTTGTCTGGACCGTCCAGGCCGCCCGGGCCGCTTCCTAATTGGGTAATCACCGACGCGCGACATTTCATCGGAATGCCGATACAAGGTTTTTACCCAAAATGTCTCCGCCCGACACTCAAATGTCTCTGTCCGACAAACGACATGTCGCTGCCCCGTCACCAGCATATGTCTCTCTCTCTCTCCGTGAAACGACATGTCGTGGTCCGCTTCATACATTAGCCGGTCACTCTCCTGCATACAGTCACGCCTCCCGACATTGCGCTTTTTTACACGATTTAACCCATCCTGCCTTATTAGGAAACCGCCGATCAGCCAACCGCAGCGGCCCCGCTGGGCCGCTTACCTGCAGTACACATTCCCAATCCGGCAGGTACTGAGCGGCCCTGGTCCTATCAGAAGCCGTCCCTTGACACATTACATATTAGCCGACGCATGATAGAGGTACCACCATGCATAAACAATGTGTTTCCATCGTGGTTACCCCCTTCCCCTCCTTCGAGCACTATATAAGGACCACCATTTTCCCACTTTCTGCCTCCATTTCTCATCATTTTTTGCTAACCACACCTATCTACGCCACACAACACAAATTTTCCAGCCATGCTCAGCGTTAACATCACTCCATCGCCTCTGCCCCATCTCCTCAAACCAGTGCCCACTTTCGGCAACAAGGAAGAAGAAGGCAACGACGACAACTTGGTGCTAGAAAACGAATTCGGCGACCTCATCGCCGAGCTCAGAGCTGTTTTGGGTACCTCCAAGGGCCTCGCTCTGGACGACATTGACGTGAAGCATATCCAAAACATCATGGCCAATTACGAGTCGAAAGAAGCCCACTGGGGTAAATACGCCTTGAGTGATGCCTCTAAAGGGTACACTCGTAACGGCATTGTCAATATCAACGGCAACGCCAATCTCTTGATTTTGGTGTGGCTGCCAGGCAAGGGAAGTGCCATTCACGACCACGCCAATGCTCATTGTTGCATGAAGATACTTAAGGGAGAACTTACTGAGCTGCTTTACGATATGCCAGATGGAGAGGGTGAAATGAAGCCTAGACTGGTGAGTACGTTGCAGAGAGACGAAGTTGGGTACATTCTGGATGACATTGGGCTTCATAAGATCAGTAACGAGACGAGTGATTTTGCTGTTCTGTTGCATTTGTACACGCCTCCATATGCTAGTCTTTATGGGTGTTCGATGTATGAGTCTGGGACGGCAAAGAAGCACCATGTGAATATGAGTCGGTATTATAGCTGGCAGGGAGTTTTGGTGGGGGGTAAGCTGTCGGAGTGCTAATCAACGGACACGAAGTGTTCGTTGATTAAACGACCGAAACTTGCCGAAATCGACTGAAAATGACTGAAAACGACGTTTACGTCGTTTGAGGTCGGTTGAGGTCGTTCTTAGTCCCCTGAAAGCAGTTTCACACTGCAAACCACTCCTGTCCATCATTAACTGCCCTAGAAGCGCCATCAGCGTCTCTCTAAGCCCTAACTTCACTGCCAATTCAGTGCAAGCTGGTTCCTTGAGAGGTTGCTGATTACAGAGATCTGGCGCTCTCCTAGACTCTCCATTTACATATGATTCCCCTTGTGTTACTCCATTTGTTGTTCAATTCTGGACGGAAGGCCAGCACAGCCAAGCGAGTTCCTTGGTGATTGTTGGTTTTCTGTTTTCCGATTGGAGGGTGGTTTCTTTGTCACCTGAAGATCGTGGTACCATTCATATTTAGCATTTCCGGGGACTTTCCCTGGGTTTATACGAATCATGAAGAAGAAGAAAAGGAAGGTGTAGGCGTGGAAAAGTGGAAGAAGTATCATCTTCTTTTGGTTGTTTTCGGTAAAAGAAGCCAAAATCATCAAACGACAGATGTAACTTAACAGAATTAAGAGATTTCCAGAGATCTCTTGTAGATCTTAAACAATAAAGAGGTTTAGTTAAAAAGACGTTGAAATTCAGGAAATTCATCAAATTCAGGTTCCTGATTTTCCAACTTTGCAACTGAAAACTTCCATTTCAAACGGCGTTCCTTCAAAAAGTGCCATTTCTCCAAAACACTTAAAACGTCTCTTTGCATTTCCATCAGAGTCAAAAAATGGAAACTTCAAAGAAATGAAAGAAAGTTGATTCTTTGGAAACTTAAAGATGCCCTTGATTGGCCAGTTCAGGAACTTAAGGAACTTAAGCGTATCTCAAGATCGTTTAAGAAGATCCAATAGGTTCTTAAGAGGCCTTTGTCCAGAAGGTTCAACCTGGTCAGTTAAATATACTCAAAAACCAGCAAGTACTTCGTCTTCAAAGAACGTTAAACTGACCTGATTGAACGTCTTTTCAGGTTTCCACTGAAATATCATACTTTTGAAGGCTCAGTTAAACTGGTGAAAGCTCAGGTCTTCAACTTAAGTCCTTCAGGTTTCCAAAACGAACTCTTCACCTTCAGATCGTCAACTTAAGATCTTAAACCTTCAGATTTTCGAATTAAGCTAGTGCAGTTAAGAACTTCGAATGTTCACGTTCGAATGTTCAACCTAAGGCCTTCAGTTCTTCAACTTAAGCACGTTAAACCTTTTCGGTCTTCCATTGAAGCTCCTAAATCCGAATATCCAAGTTCGAATCTTCACCTAAACACCTTTAGATGTTAAACCTTCAAGTCTTCAGCTTCATAAACTTCAATTTCAGATCTTCACCTTTAGATCTTCAACTCGGGACTCCTAAGCTTTCAGAGTTTCGGATTTGAACCTTCAGCTTGAGATCTTAAGCCTTCAGATAACAAAGCTTCAGCTTCAACATATTAAACCTTCAATTCTTCAACTTTAAACCTTCATTTCCTCAACTTTAAACCTCTAGATCATCATTTTCCACTTCAGATTCTTAACTCTTCAGACTCTTCAGATCTTCACCTCAGGCTTTTAAACTCTGATATCTTCAACTTGGACTCCTAAATTTAAGGCTTCGAGTATTCAACCTCAAGCCTTCAATTCTTCAACTTAAGATCTTCAATTCTTCCACTTAAGATCTTCAATCCTTCAACTTAAGATACTTAACTCTTCAAATCTTCTCCTTCAGATCTTCAATTCTTCACCTCAAGGCCTTCCATTAACCTTCGATTCTTCAACTCAAGCACCTCAAACCTTTATATCTTTAGATCTTAAACATTCAGTTCTTCAACTTCATCTTCAGTTCTTCAACCTTAAACCTTCAATTCTTCTACCTTAAACCTTCAATTCTTCTACCTTAAACCTTCAGTTCTTCAAATCTTCAAATCTTCAAAATCTTCAATTTCAGATCATGAACATTCAGTTCTTCATATCTTCAACTTCAGATACTTAACTCTTCAGATCTTCACCTTCCATCCTTAACCCTCAGATCTCCACCTTAAGGCCTTCCCTAAGCCTTCGTTTCTTCACCAATCAATCTAATCAGCCATTCCAGCCTTGTCTCTTTCCATACAAAATCTCCTTAACTTCACTTCCTCTACCTTCCCTTCCTCTTCACCTCCCCGGCTTAAACCTCGTTGGCCTCGAATGGTCCCCTCTCCACTTCCACCTTCCACATCTCGAAACTCTCTCTTTACAAGTCTCTCATCAACGTCTCTATAAAACGCTCCATTGTTTACTTTCCGTCCTTCTCCATCTTCTTCTTCCTCTTCATCTCTCTGCTCATCTCGTTGCTTTCTTTGCGCCTCTCGACGCTTCCAGGCGTGAAATTCGCCTTCAGGATCAACGTCGTCGACGTCTTCAACGCCATCGAATGTTTCTTTTTTCGCTTCTTTTGATGCTAGGGCTTGTTGGAACTCAGCTTTGGAAAGTAGGTGATTTGGCTTTGAAGGGTTGGATTTCACCGGTTTTTGGCCTTTTTTGACGAAAACTGGTTTCTGGAGGAGGGACGAGGGGGCGTCAGATTCAGACAGCGTTTCTGAGTCGGAAGAGGACAGGGAAGTTGGGGAATTGGTGTGGCTGGCTGAAGACATGGAGTAGATGGAAATTCGAAGGGTATATACCTGGTGTACGGGTCTTATACCCACCACCAACTTCTGTAAAAATGGTCAGAATTTAAATTTAATGGTATGGTTGGAATCCCCGGACTTTGTTTAGTCTATCGTGTCAGTTTCATTGGAATTGGCTGGCTGGGGCGGTGGATAGGTGGGGGTTTAGTGGTGCTAGGAAATGAGTGTATGGAGAGTGAGGGAAGGTTGGTGTATGTTGGGCAGTTCTGGGGTGATTTTAATGGGAGTTAATGGAATGGAAAGCTGGAGAGTAGGGGATTTGAATGAAGTTAGTTTGGTTTGATTTGGACGAGGTTTGGTGGAATTGGGTGGGGTTCAGTGGGTGGACTGAATGGCTGCGAAATGGGCATTTGGAGGTGGTTGGGGGATTGGGCCAGAAAGGTCAACGGTGTTTGAATTGGCTTTGGAGAGGTAAAGAGAGCTGTTTTGAAGTGAAAGTAGTGTCTTTTTCTGAAGTTTGGTGCCTTTTGGTGGACATCTCTAAGGCTTATATATGGAGAAAGGAAGGTTGAGGTATGTTCATATTGAGGTATCTTTCAGAAGTTTAGTTCCATTAATAGGAGTTTTTTAGGGCTAATGAAGTATATTTAATTATTTTTGGAGCTTCAGGAAGTACTTTTGTTGGGTTAAATGGACCTCTTTGGTGTTCAAAGAGCATTTAAGTACATATCCACAGAAGAAGCCTTAAAGGTAAGGGAAGTCAAGAAACACTAGAAAAGTGGTCTGAAGCCATTTAAATGTAACCCCGATGCCTTCAATTAACGAAGAAACCTCGTCTTGTGTGCTTTAGGTGAACATCTCTAAGTCTTATATATGGTAAGAGGAAGGCTAGTATTCTTCAAAGGGAGGTATTATTAAGAAACGAAGTTCCACTGACCGGTGTATTTGGGTACTTTGGGAGCGTTCTAAGGTATTTTTGAAGCTTCTGGGTTTATTTCCTGTAGAAGTACATACTCCTACTTGAGTGTTTAGTGACGTACAACTCTAGATCCACAGAAGGCTTTAAGGTAAGGCAATAATTGAATACATGCTTCTTTTTTTTTTTTTTTTTTTTTAACTTCTTTCAAGTAAATAAAGACCACTTAGAGTACCTGACACCAAAAATCCTTTTCAAACTGAGTGGTGCCTTTTCCAGACGTACATTGACAAAACACTAGAAACCAAGCTTCCAACTACACATTGTGAATAAAATAACCAGAGAGCTCTTTTTTTCCTTGTTCAGGGCGCATTAAGAAGTGTTTTTAATGTATTACTATCATTTGAGAGTTTAGGGGAAGTAGAGAAACGGCAAGTAACAACCCTACTTTGTTTAGTGAAGCTATTCGTCTCTTATGACATACTTACGTCCACTTCTATCACAACTTCCACTTCCATATATACTTCCTCTAAAAGTACTCTTTTCAACTTATATAGAAGAAATGCAAATGAGACTGTCCTTCTAAGTTTCTTTCTTTCTTTCTTTCTTTCTTTCTTTCTTTCTTTCTTTCTTTCTTTCTTTCTTTCTTTCTTCTTTCTTTCTTTCTTTCTTTCTTTCTTTCTTTCTTTCTTTCTTTCTTTCTTTCTTTCTTTCTTTCTTTCTTTCTTTCTTTCTTTCTTCTTTCTTTCTTTCTTTCTTTCTTTCTTTCTTTCTTTCTTTCTTTCTTTCTTTCTTTCTTTCTTTCTTTCTTCTCTACTTTCTTTGTTCAGTACTGTCTTACTTTCCTACTCTGTTGCACAATTTCTCAATTTCATAGTCTCTTAGTCTCATTCATTCATTCTTTCTTAGCTTCTAAGTTCCCTACTCTTCTTCAATTCAGTGAGTTCGTTTACTTTCTAATTAACTTTCATACTTTCTCTCTTACTTTCTTTCTTTCCTACTCTCTAAGTCTCTCTTAGTCTCTTAGTCTCTTAGTCTCATTCTTTATTTCTTTCTTAACTTCTAAGTTCCGTAATCTTCATCATTATAGTTCCACATTACCTGAGTTCCTTCACTTTATAAGTAACTACTTTCCTACTTTTTCTTCTTCATTACTTTCATACTTCTCTTACTTTCTTACTTTCCTACTTCTCTTCTTCCTTAGTTCCATATTAACTAAGTTCCTTTCTTTTTCTTCGTTCATTACTTTCATTCCTTCATTCTTTCTTTCTTCTTACCCATTCTCTAGCTTCCTTTTCTATTTGATGCTAGGTCAGTTTCTTAGTTCCTTACCTTCCTACTCTCCCACTTTCATAGTTCATTTATTTCTTATTCATCATCTTCAATTTGTCAACTTCAAAAAGAAGGCATTAAACAGAAACTAATTCTTGACTCTTCTTCTTCTTCTTCTTCATCTTCTTCTTCTTCCCCTTCACCAAACGAACTCCCTCATCTGCCAAAATCTAACAGCCATGGCGACAATTTGCAACACCAAAGCCACAAACAGAACCATAATTACACCTCCAGAAACGTTCACCTTCACAAACTCACCTTGACTTCCACCCGGCATCAACCCAGCAGCCAAAACCAACGTTGCCCAGCATAAAACATACACCATGCCACATACTCCCGAAAAGTCTGCCCATTCCAACGGTACAACCGTTATAACCAACCCAATAACCAGAATTTGAAGCCAGAAAATCTGGATAAGGTGGGGAAGAGTGCTTGGACTTTGCAGATTAAGCAGGTTGATTGTGTGGATCGCTTTGGGGGAGATTTGCCTTGGTTTGGACGGTTCAGGGTTGGTTCCAAATGGATTGGGCAGTATAGACTGTCTACTTGCTTTTATGGCTTCGTGAGCAGCCGTTAAGGCCATATCAAGTGCCTCTCTCCATTCAACCACTTCTGTGCTTTGCTTTACCCTTGGAACATCATTCACCACGCTTCTTCCGATTCCAACTCTTTCGTGAAATCCTCCATAACACTCTGGTTTCCTGTTTTCCAGAACTCGACAGTACCCCAACGGATTCTGGTAGTAGGAGGTGTTTTCGAAGGGCCAGCTGTCAGGAAGGAACTGTTTCATCGTTCCAGTGCTTCCAGGCGCTGCCTCTTCACAGGCATCCAAGAGGTTTCGAGTGTAAGCCAAGTAGTCGCCGTTTTTTAAGGTATATTTTGCTGTGGAGGCGTACATGTTGGGAAACCAGAGGTAAAGGAGGAGCCCAAACCCGGAGGACATAAGTATGAAGGGTACTGGGAGGAAGAGGATTTTTTTGAGATTGAATGTTGATGGTTTTAGCATTTTGGAAAAAAGTGGTTGTTTGGAGGGAAGGGAGTTGGGGAGGAAGAGGAAAAGGGAGAGTTGGGGTGGTGGAGTTACTGGAAATGGCGTGGAAGGAAGAGGAAAGGATAAGAAATATATTGGAATTGGTGGATGGAAGGTTTTGTAGGCAAAGACGAATAAATGCAGAGTTTGGTGTTTTTTAAAGTTGAATTTGCTGTTTAATGGATTTGCTATTTAATGAATTTACTGTTTAATGAATTTATTGAAAAGTGGAGAACAGGGAAAGTGCAAGGCAGGGCTTACTGAAGGTTTTAACCAGAAAGTGGAAAGTGTGATGCAAATTGCCAGGCAGTGGATTTTGATGGAATTGAAGGAAATGGAAAGAAACAAAGAGGGTTTGAAGGGGAAGAGGATTTGGGTTGGAAAGTGAATTGGTGAATTGGTGAATTGGTGAATTGGGCGTTTTGTGGTTTTCAAAAGAGGGCTAAACATATAAATGTGTTCTTACATGCTCTTTTATTGAAAACAGAGAAGTTTATTTTGTTTCTGGCTGCCTAATTACGTCTTTTGTTTGGTAATCAATTTGAATGTGCTGGAGTGGATTACATGGTTGGTTGAGATTCCACAGGTTTACTGAATACCCACCAAAGTGAAGCTAATAAAACGCAGAAAGCAGAATGCCCTCTGGTAATGCTAGGTAAAAGTATTAAATTAAAAGACGTCTTGTTTAGTTTCCTTGAGTTAAAGTAGGCAGTGATATATCTAGTACAGTCATTCTACCTATACTGGTCAATTGGACCTTCACTATTTTTCAAACGCTTTCTTCAGAAATACCATAGACTTAGTCTGTTCCAGAAGAATTCAAACAAGTAGATGTTTGCTTAATCCAGTGGATCCAGAAAGTCCAGTAAACTCAGAAGAACCGTATAAGTATGATAAGCATATGTCAACAGTAATCCAGCTTTAGGACTTCAAGTAGATTCTCCCAATACATCAAGTCTTCCTAAAACGACAGAAGACCATGAATAACCAATTACGTAACAAAAAGAAGTTAGAGAGCCCAAGAAGTCCCATAAACCACAAAAGCCAGGAAGTGACATTTCGGATTCTCCAATTCCCCAAATTCCAAAACCACAACTAATAAATCAACAAAGGCAAAGAGTGTTATTTATTTGTATTTATTGAAACACTTTTTTCCTTCTGGCTGCTGCTTTACTATTTATATTTGAATGGCTGGAGTAGATTGTATAGTTGGTTCAATGAATTCCTGCCAAACGAAAACCACAAGAAACACAGAAAGGAGAATTCCCTCTGGTGCCAAAGAGTTTACTTAAAATACGATATGAATACGATATGATCTGTTGAGCCTCCTTGGGTTAAGCAATGAAATATTCAGTTTGCTCATTTTAGGTATACTGGCCCACTGAGCCTACTTACTTTAAACAGCATTTATCTCAGTTACTCTAAACTTCACTAATTACAAAAAGCTTCCTAAAGATAGAAATCAGACAATTCAGCAAACTCAGTAAATTTTGAGGAACCATGTACTTGAAAGTGCCGTATCTACAAAACCACACATTCAAACAGTACCAGTATTCCAAGCACCTCCTAAGATTTATTCAGTGTATCTGAATCACCCAATTCGTCATAACTCGAACATTCAAATCTTAGAGGACTCCACTTTTTCCATTATTTGATCAACTCCTTCTGTCTTTTCTGCTGGGACTGGAAGTGGAGCACCTGCTTCTATATGTTTAATTGGGCAAGCTTACTGAACATTACTTTATCGATAATCTTGAATACCCTGGGCAATCGTGAAGCAGCAGGCTTTCTTAAATTCCAAAGATTCTTTAAAGTCAGCAGATATCCATTTGCGTCTATTAGAATATCCCATGAAGTTTCTTGTTCTTCTTGGAATAGACATATGGATCGTAGTACCTGATCGGCTGCCTCAAAGACCACTTTTTTCTGTCTTTTGAGTTCTTCTATACGTGTATCAAGATCTGAAAGAAGAAAGAAAGCCATTTTTTTACATTCTGTGGATTCCACTGAACATTTGATCTCAGACGGAACATAAGAACCAGATGGAATTCTCTGATAAACAAATATAGTTAAAAGCAATGAACGGAAATTAAAGAGAAGCATGAAAATACAAAAAATCCAAAGAAAACCATAAAATTTCATAAAACCCACCGTAAACCACAAAACACAGAAAACCTCACTGACCAGCCAACCATGTCTCACATTTCCACCAATCCACAAACCACCAATTTCCAACCACCAATCCACCAAAACCAAAGAAACAGCCAAAATACCAGATTCCTTAAATTGACCAAATCCACAAAAAAAGACCAAAAAAAAAAAAAAAAGGAAAAAGAACAAAAACCAAACCAATCCTTTCAACTCACCTTCCACTTTCCTTCTTCAATTCTCACCAAACCAGACTTTCCACCAAAATCCACCAAAAAAACAAATCCATAATAAACCAACACTCTCTATCAATTCTCACCTCTCCACCTCCAAAACCCATAAAAACCTCCAAAACCTATAGTTATCCCACCCTGGTCTGCCCATTTTTCGCAGCCATTACCCTCCACCAACAATTCCCCCAACGGTCCCCCACACCTCCCCCAATCACCTCCAAACTTCTCCCCCACGATCCCCCACGCCCAAACACCACGCCCAAACCCCCACTTCCCCCTCACCTTCCCATTCCACCAAAACATCTGACCCATTAACCAACCTAAGTTAATTGTCCTGCACACAACCCTCTACCCATCTACCCATACTAAATATCAACCTCCACCATCAACTACAACTCCAAGAAACCCCCAACTTTTCCGAATTATCTCCCCATTCTCCTGGCCATGTCCCTCTACGCGCCACGGCAGCTCCAGCCGCTCAACTCGAAAATGCGCCACGGCTTCGACGAGGACTATAACCTGGAACACTTTCTTTCCTCCTTGGCCAACACTTTCTACATTTATTTCGATGATAAACGACACAATACGAACGGGAATCCTGTTACTGAAAATATGAAAAACTTACCTGAATATGCCAAAAACCACCAGCCAATCAGAGACTGGAAAGTGATGAAGGAACGCCAGAAAACTATCAGTGCTGTATTGGTGCTATGCTTGAACTTGGGCGTGGACCCTCCAGATATCATGAAAACGTACCCGTGTGCTAAATTGGAGGCGTGGTGTGACCCTTCGGCGTTTCCCGATACAAAGAAGGCGATCGAAGCTATAGGGAAGAACTTGCAGAGCCAGTACGAAACGCTTCTGCTTCGAACGAGGTATAAACAGCTGTTGGACCCGTGTGTGGAGGACGTGAAACGGTTCTGTAATACACTCAGACGGAACGCTAAGGATGAGCGGATTTTGTTTCATTATAATGGGCACGGCGTGCCCCAGCCGACGGCTAGCGGTGAAATATGGGTATTTAATCGTGGGTACACTCAGTATATTCCGATTTCGTTGTATGACTTGCAAACGTGGCTTGGGGCGCCGGTGATTTTTGTTTACGATTGCAATTCGGCTGGGAATATCGTTCACAATTTTAAAAAGTTTGTCCAAAAACGTATAGACGACGATAACGAGGGAAACCACGACTTGAGTGCTCCTTCGCCAACGTCTGCGTACCTTGATTCGATCCAGTTGGCGGCGTGTAAGTCGAACGAAACGCTTCCCATGAGCCCAGAGTTGCCGGCTGACTTGTTTACGGGCTGTTTGACTTGTCCTATTGATATTTCTATAAAGTGGTTTATCATGCAACTGCCGCTTAAAGATTCGTATTATCTGATGCTTCCAAGAAATAGCAACGGCAATGTTATTATTCCGGGAAAGCTTACAGATCGGAGGACCCCGTTGGGAGAACTTAATTGGATCTTTACGGCCATCACAGATACCATAGCATGGACTTCCCTTCTGAGACCTATCTTCAAAAAACTCTTCCGCCAGGACTTGATGGTGGCGGCGCTTTTCAGGAACTTCTTATTGGCGAAACGTGTGATGCCTCATTTTAATTGTAATCCCATCAGCGACCCGCCATTGCCTGAACTGGTCCGTTTCCATTCAATGTGGAATTCCTGGGACTTGGCTATAGATCAGGTGTTTGCACAGCTTATCAAGAACAATAACCCTGATCCTTATTCTTATACGGTGCCTTCGCCAACGCCTCCACCAGCACAGCAGCCCCAGCAGAACCAGCAACAGACTCCTCACAACACATTAACTAATGGTTCTGCCAACGGCAGCAGAGCAAGCATTTCTCTTTCTCAACAGCAAAACCAGCAACAACCACTTCCTGGCCAACGTCAAATGCTTTCTAATTATCAACATTCGACGTTTTTCGAACAACAACTTACTGCTTTTGATATCTGGTTGAAATATGAAGGTCCATCCACGAAAAACCCTCCTGAACAGCTTCCAATTGTTTTGCAAGTGTTGCTTTCCCAAGTGCACCGTTTGAGGGCTCTTATTTTGCTTTCCAAGTTCCTTGACTTGGGTCCCTGGGCGGTTTATTTATCCCTTTCCATTGGTATCTTCCCGTACGTTCTTAAACTCCTTCAAAGTCCAGCGCAAGAACTAAAACCCGTGCTTATCTTCATTTGGACGAGAATTATGGCTATTGACTATAAGAACACTCAACAGGAACTTTGCAAAGATAAAGGGTACAACTATTTCTATCTTATTCTCAATTCGAGTCCTCTGAACTCGATTGGCGCTCCTGGAGCTCCTGGAGGTAATATGAACGGTTCTAATGGAGGAGGCGCTTCGGTGATGGTGAACGACGACCATAAAGCGATGAGTGCTTTCATTTTGACGCTTTTCATTAAAGATTTCAGAAATGGCCAGCGTTTATGTTTCTCCATTGAACTTGTCAGTAACTGCCTCAAATTCCTCCAGCTGAGCGAGAACCCGTTGCTTAGACAATGGTGCTGTTTGCTTCTTTCCCAGCTTTGGTATAAGTATAAGGATGGAAGGTGGATTATCTATAAAGATGGGTACCTTGCCAAGTTCCTTACGTTGATTAATGATCCTATCCCCGAAGTCAGAACGTCGATTATCATTGCCCTTACGACGTTTTTGACTGATCCTGAAGGTCTGCCTGCTGATCTGCCACAAAAGAAGTCTTCTGGTCAAGGCGGTGGCATTAATGGCGATTTAAGGCAAGACGAGTTGAGACAACAAGATTTGAAGCTTGCCAATGTGATTTTGCGTCTTATGGGCGATGGGTCCACCATTGTTCGTAAAGAAATTGTGTTTTTCATCAACAGATTCATCAATATCTATACCAAGTTCTTTATGGTTGTGGCGTTTAACCAGCTTGAAGAGGAGATTGTGCTTATTGATAATCCTAACAATTTGCAAGAGTTCAGAAAGAAATCGCCTGCCTACGGTTCCATCTTTAGTTCTATCTGGAAGGCACTTTTGATCCTCTCTGAAGATCCACATCTTGAAGTGAAACAACTTGCCGAAACGCTTATTGACTCTGTGATGGTGAAACTCAACGAAAGTGAACTCAGCGAGCTCGTCAAGGAAATGCAAGACTACTTACTAAGCAAATCCACCATCAGCATTTCAGACAACTTGAAGCCTGTTAAGCCGATTGTGAACCGTACGCCTATGCTGATGGGCGATGGTGTACGCAGACAAGCGTCTAGCGGTTCAGTGTTAAACAGAAAGAATACTTTGACCATTGACGGTTCTTCCCTCAAAACCAGAGCTGTTTCCCAAGGAAACATGTCCTCCAGGCACAACGAGCGTGACGACGTGCTGGAAACGTCGTCTATTTCATCCAAACTCAAGCATTTAAGTCTCTCCAAGTTGTTTAAGAGTTTCCAGATCAACGACGATACTGAACTTAATAATTTCACCAGAATGTTGAAATCTGGACCTGTTGCAAGTCAGTACGGTTCAGAGTACAAGCCCAAAACGCCCAGGTACGTTGCCAGGGATATTGAAGCCGATCCAAAGCTCCCAGACGAATCTGGGTTTTTGAATACAGTTGTGAGTACTTCCAGGAACCGCAAATGTCGAAAACGGAAATCGACGAGCCCGGGTCCAAAGAGTACATGAAACGGCTCTGGAGAAGAAACAGAAACGAAAGCACAATCCAGGAAACGCAGCCCCAGAAGAAAATGGCCATTCGTGGCGACTGGAACCGAGAACTTTCTGTTCTCAGCAACAAGTCCCAGCCAAAACTCATCAAGTTCATGCAATTCGAAAAGCTTCTTGTGGCGTCCGACGAAAAAGATAACGTTTCCGTGTGGAACTGGGAAAACAAACAAGTTGTCACGAAATTCTCCAACACCAACCCGTTCGGCACGAAAATCACCGATATCAAGTTCATCAACGAAGACGACGAGCCATTGGTCATGACTGGTTCCTCAGACGGTGTTATCAAAATGTACAAGAACTTCCATCTCGACCAGGACGAACGGAACGTCGAGCTTGTCACCGCCTGGCGAGCACTTACCGACCTTCTTCTCACGTCCAAAAGCTCAGGCCTCATCAGCGACTGGCAGCAATCCAGAGGCTCTCTTTTGGTCAGTGGAGACGTGAAAATCATCCGTGTGTGGGACGCCCCTCGTGAACTTTGCACCATCGACATTCCCGCCAGATCCTCCTCGTCAATCACGTCCCTTACGTCAGATCAAGTTGCAGGCAACATCTTCGTCGCAGGGTTTGACGATGGCAGTTTAAGAGTGTACGATCGAAGACTCGATGCTAGGGAATCTATGGTGAAAGTCTGGCAGAACGGCCGTGGCGGTGTCAAAGATATGGGCAGAGGATCTATCCGTAACGTCCACATGCAAAGAGGAGGGTTCAGAGAACTTGTAAGTGGCTCTTCTGACGGTTACGTGAACTTATTTGATATTCGTCTTTCTGAGCCCGTGCTGACGTTTACCAGCGACGAACGCAATATCAGGTGTATGGACGTCCACGAACACGCTCCCATCATCACTACAGCTTCGAAACTGGTGGATATTTGGACAACCAGTGGAGATATGATCCATACTTTGAAGAACCCACATGACCATTATTTGGCAAACCGAACGCTGAACTACCTTTCCAGCGTTGCGTTCCATCCCCACAGAATGATGATAGCTACGAATTACAACCAGGATGGACATATAAATGTTTACCAGTGCAGTGATATTGTTGAAGAGTACTAGTTGGAAGAGCAAGTTTGCAGCCGGTCCGATATCGCACCGGCTATACTTCCCAATATGGAAGTATGCCCGGCCACTTCAGGCCCACAATTGCCACCTCTAACGTCCATACACTTCCCCTGGCTCGCCATGACCTTCCTTTTCCATCAGAAATCACCGTTTGCTGGGGTTTTCGGTTTCGTGGTTGAGTTTTGCCAACAAGTTAAACGACTGACGTGCTTATATGCAGTACGCAGCAGTCAAACACTCAGCCAAACTCCAACTGAAAAAGTAACCTCCACTTTACTTTACTTCCCCAGTCCATGTCCCTATCGTCTGAACTAGCAGCTGCTATCGAAGATGAAGACCTACACTTCCGTTCGTCCAGGACGCTGACGGCGCCGCAGATCCAAGACCCTCGGCCTTTAACCACCACTGGCGAAATAACCGCTCTCCAGCGTATGTTATCAGCATGTCTGGGTTCTTTCATCACTTCGCTTGTTGTGACTCCTTTTGACGTGGTTAGAATCAGAGTTCAGCAGCAGGAGGTCATGCAGGGGTTCCAGTGTTGTTCTCAGGGCCCCAGGACGACGAAAGTTGCCACAGCATCTCGAGGAGCTGGAGCTGGAGCTCCAGCGGCAGCGCCAGCGCCTCCAGGCGTGTTTTGGCTAGATCATCATTACTGTGACTCGGCTGAGCGGTGTCCACGAATCACGTCCACTTTCCAGGGCATGTCTGTGATTAGCAGAAACGAAGGACTCACTACTCTCTGGCGAGGACTCAGTTTAACGTTATTCATGGCCATTCCTTCCAATATCATCTACTTCACGGGCTACGAGTATATTAGAGACCACTCGCCCATCAAGGGAGAAATGTTGAATCCGCTTTTGTGTGGTTCTTTTGCACGTACCATGGCTGCCACGGTGGTTGCGCCCGTGGAGCTTCTTAAAACACGGCTCCAGTCGATTCCCAGCGAAGTTAGGAACGACCAGCCTCGGTCTCAGATTTTAAAGAACCTTCTTAAAGACCTAGGGCTGTCGCTACAGTCACGAGGCATCGGTTCGATCTTTACAGGCTTGAAAATCACCTTATGGCGAGACGTGCCGTTCCTGGGCATCTACTGGCTGTGCTATGAACTTTTTAAAGACCGGATAGGCCGAGCCATGAAGGTGGATTTTGCTGCTTCTCACCAGGACGACTGGAAAGTCTTCACCACCACTTTCTTATCTGGATCCATGGGAGGCGTGGTCGCTGCTGCATTTACCAACCCATTTGACGTGGGCAAAACACGGCTCCAAATTGCTACCGAAGAAAAACCACGCTCCAACACCCTGATGTTCACTTTCCTTCGGCAGATCTACCGCAACGAAGGCATGGCTGCTCTCTACAGTGGGTTTGGCCCCCGTGTGATGAAAATCGCCCCGCTGTGTGCCATCATGATCTCCTCCTACGAGATTGGCAAGAAGATCTTTAAGGATCAGATGTAGAAACTTTTGCATGTATTATAGACGAATGGATACACTTTTCCATTGGCGTGCAATGGGGTTTCACCAACCGTCGAACGACCTGTTCCAGAAGAAACGGTGCTTCTTTTCTTCCAGGGCGACGTTGGCCCATTCGCTGTGTAACTCGGTTCTGTTGATCTTTTCAGCTTCCAAACGAGCCTGGGCCATTTTCGTTCCGGGGCTCAAACTTTCCTTCTTTCTTTCAAGGGAAAGCCTATTCAAACGGGCCTTGATATCTTTTGGATTCATGGGAAACTTTCTGGGTTCTTCCTTTGCTTCTGTTTCTGGTTCTTCTGGCTGGTCTGAATTTTCACTTTTTTCACTTTCCCCAGATTCCCCAATTTCCCCAATTTCCCCAACTTTCCCACTCTTCAACAACGCCAGGGCTTTCTCAAACAACGAAGGAACTCGAATCCTCTTTGCCGTCAAAGATTGAGGCGTTGGCGGCCCGTGGAGCGTTGTTTCTGGCGATTGGCCAAAATCTGGTGATACTTGTCCCAATTTGGCAATTTCCCGTTCGTTCATCCCAGAAACACCTCCATCGCCTTCTCCAGCCTCGTGTCTTTCTTTTACAGGTGAAAGGATCTCAAAACACCCATTTTCCATGCCGCTAGCGCTCTCTTCGTGTCCCAAGCACAGGTTCAAGTTAACCACCGAAAACTGGACCTGAACGGCCTGCCGATGAATCCAATCGCTATATTCCACCAACGACGCCTTCAACCCGCCGTTTATAGCCGTTTCAAGTTGCTGCTGTGTCAGATATATCCTCGACTTGGTCTCACCAATCTCATCCTCAAGCTCCATCACTTGGAAGCACCTGGGCCCGTATTTCGCTGTAAGGGCGTCTTTTGCCTTCCCAAGCTTGTCATGTTTTGTTGTGAGTTCTTCAATTCGGGTTTCCCTGCCGCCCACAACCTCCATTTGAGCCTTAACCGTCCCTGGACTCTCTTCCACCTTATACATGCCTCCTACGGCGTCCAAAAGCTCAATGTACCTGAAAACCATATTTCTGGATTCCTCCCGGGGTAGCGCCGACGCCCACATTTGCAACGCAGTTCTTTGTTTATCCATAGCCTTGGTGAGTGCCTTGTTGCGTTTGTTGGTTTTATGTATGAGTCTGACCACATCGTTTGCGGAAGTTTTGCGAGTCCACCAGGCAAAACGGTGCTTTCGGGTGGATGTGGGAGGCCGCTGGAACTGGGAATAACCGTCTTCCATTTGGATTTGGTGGGTTTGCAGTGGAAGAAACAGTGGTTGCAAAATGGGTGCAAAAAGCGCACCCAAGGCGGTACAAACGGGGTGGAGTGGATGGTGGAGGGTAAAGAAGACATGGGGTGGGTCAATTTAGGCTGTCTCTGCGGCTGGGACAATGCCGTTTTTGAATTGGACGACTGGCGGTGACGTTGGCTGGGAGTTGGCGATGCTGTTTTGAGGTTTAGTGAAGGGTAAAGGAAAGAGTGGGGAGTGCTGAAGTGGTGGAAGAAAATGAATGGAAAGTGTCCAGTTGGGTTCTCTTAGGCCTCTTTGGTAGTTTTTACTGGTTTCTGATCCTTCTAGTTGTTGTTGGTTGGGGTTACTTGAGTGTTTACTGAGCTGATGGTGGAAGAAGAGAGTGTATGTACATAGAATGCCAGGAAGTGCTTGGATCAATATAGAATGCCTTTTTGGGTAATTAGAAGGTAGAGAAGAATAGGGGAGGTGTTTCTGGAGGTTTTTGGGTGGTCTTGGGCGATTTGGGATGCCTCTTGAGGTGTATATGGGTATATTCATGGAAGGAAGACAACTTGGGTAAATGGAATGGTAAACGAACAAAAAGTGACTTTCTGGGAATCTCAGTGTTGTCTTTCATGAATAAATGCATTTTTGGAATGTCAGTGATATTGGAACCTTGAATATCATGGACTGTGGTATTCACCTCTCTTTATATGGAAAGACAGCAAACGAGAAGATATCAATGAGTAAAGATAAAGGAAGTCCAGAACCAGCTTTGATGGCCTCTTTTAACATCGAAAAGACCATTTAGAGACCACTTGGAGTTCTCTGGATCCTTATTGGTTGGTCCTTTCAGCCATAGATAAATCCATCATATAAGACTCCCAGAAACCTCAAAATCAACAATTCCAGAGAGAAAGTACCACAAATCGACAATTCACCATCCCCTTAACATTAAAAGCCGGTTTCAACTGTCTTTCTGGCCTTGAAATTGAAGTAAGTTCGACCTCCCTCTCTACCAATCAGCAAACACCAATTCACAAACACCATTTCCTCAATTCACATAATCCTACCTCCACCAACGACTCAACTCCACCTACATCGCCCTGGGCCCTTCGTCTCTTCCTGGGCTTCCCTGGCTCTTTCGTTTTGTCTATTTCTAAAGACCACTTTATCGTATCGTATCTCTCAACCTCAATCAACAGTTCTTCACTACTTCTTTGAAACGTCCTCGTCAAGGTTCAAGCCCGTGGCAGACGCAAGCTTCCGTCTCGCCGAGTCAATGCCCAGACTGACCTTCTCCTGGCCCAGCACAGCACTCTTCTCCACATCCTTAACCCACGATTCAGCCTTATTATACGCCAGAACCTGGTGCTGTGCAACCTCAGGCAACGTTCTCTTCTCCACGCTCCAAAGAAGCCCCACCGTGTTGCTGAACGTGTGTGGCAAGAAATACCTAAACGAAGCCAACCCTAATATCGTAGGAGCAAAGAACCGTGCAACCACTCCACGGTTTCTGGCAAAGATATTCCCCGACAACGCCGCCACGGCAATATAAATCCCGTTAGGAAGAAGATCCTCCTTCTTATCGTGCAAACTGCTAAACGTATCTGTAACCGACCGTTCCAGCTCAATATACCTAGACTTGGTACTGTTAAGCCACGACTCAGCACATGCAAACGTGCCAGTCACAGACTCCCTAACACTCTGAATAGCGCTCTGAACGACTCCAGTCGTCCTCACAGTGACTCCTTCCAACACATACAGCTGGCCCAAGTTCTCTGGGGTTTCAGCTGGAGTGATTGTTCCTGGTTTCGGGTAAGTGGACCGTTCGTCCTCGTAGAAGGCTCTTTTTTTGCCTGTATCGTTGAGGGCCACTGGCCTGGCGGCGAGGGCGGCCGAGAGACCCACGAGGGCGCCAATTGCTCGTTGCAGCATGGTTTGGGAAGAAGAAAGGTTGGTGTTTGTTGAAGGTGGAAGTGGAAGTTGATGTATTGGCTGGTGCACGGGTGTGATGGTAGGGGATTAGGAGAGATGGACAGGTATTTCGGGATTGGAAGGTTGTGGAGGTCTGGGATTTTGATATGTTGATAAGAAGTGTTAGAAGATGCTGCTGGTCAATTTTGGTTGAATTTGGAGGCGGTTTGGGTGGATTGGGTGGTGGTTGGTGGCTGCGAAAAGTGGGATGTATGTGTGGGGGAAGGAAGTGGATTGTGGTTGGGCCAGGGGAGTGAAAAGTAGGGGTTTAGTGGTGTCGTTGGGATGGTAGAAGTCAGGGAAGTATAGTGGTGTAGTTGGATTTTTGATTGGATGGATGTAGAGGGAGTTAGCTGGGAATGTGTGATTTAGTATGGGAAAGACTGAAAAACTGGATGGGTAAGCTAGGTTGGGGGACTTTGAGGAAAAGAAGATTTTAGTGACTTCCTGGTGTTTCTGGGGAAGCAAGGAATCTGCTAATATCTTTACTTTCTTAAAAATATGACTTTTCGTGGAAATGGCGGTGGGTTTCTGTGGATAGATTTGGCTGCGAAAAGTGGTTAGTATGGGAAAGAAGCAAGCATGGTTGTTTCCAGGGAAGTGAGTCAAAAGTAGGAATTTTATTAAGTCAATGAGTAACTTGAACTTATTTTATGCCATTGACGACTTTTGGTTGATTTTGGATGGTAGATGGCCGTTTTGGTGGTGGGTTATTCTTCTCGTAGTGAGCTTGTATGGTGAAGACAAGAAGCGTCAGTGAAAGTTGGAACGTCTTTGTCTTTTAGAATCAAATGTGTATTATTATGGTTATTGGAGCTGCTTTAATTGCTTTGGATGGTTTTTGCTGACTTGAATTGATGGAATCCCATTAACTGTTCATGGTTGACTGAGGGACTGAAGTTACTGAACCAACTGGTACATTCTAACGAAGGAACTTTAAAAGTACATACTAAGTGATTTACAATAGTCTCACAATATCAGCAGATGTCTTCTAGTCTTCTTTTATAGTACGTATAAGTATCTTCTTATGCTCTTATGTTTCATCTTATAGTAGTACTAAGAGGAAGAGACAGTACAAGTTAAAACACACAAATGTTATAAAGAATCATCCAAAGCTCTCTTCTTCGGTACCACTTGACTTCTTTAAAGAGATTGAACAGCTTTTAGTGGTTTTCATTCATTCAATCACCCTTTGGCTCCTCTTGTTAGCCCTTTGGCTCACATTAAGAGTTCACTGGAAAGTACCACATAAAATGGAAAAAACATGAACTTCTGAAACAACTTTGAACCCCCCTGCTTCTCTCGCTTCCTTTAGAAACCAAAGAAAATTCATTTTCTTAAAACCCTTCATTTTTCATATAAACCACTCAGGAACGTCTTTCCCCAGCTGAGACACACTTTCAGGAACCCCCATTTATCTCCACAACCTTCACAAAAAATCTTCAAAAAAATCCACCAACCCTTCTCTCCCACCTTAATTTCTCCCAATCCACCAATAAAAATCTAAAAAATATCCCATCCACTTCCACAATCCACGAATCCACCCAACTTCCATCAAATGGCTGCGAAAAGCACACTTTCCATAAACTCTTCAAACAACCCACCACAAATTTCCCAAAGACCACCAAAACACCCCAGAACAA